GTGCGCATGCGCAGAGTTGCCAGACGAAGGGAACAGCTAAAGAACAAGGGTCGATTTAGGAGTAAGGCCACAGGTGGACAATGAATGGCCCCTCCCAGAGGGAATAAAAGAGGAGCGAAAGGGGAGTGGAGTTTGCAGGAGACAATTAGTTCATTACTGCATTCTTGCCAAGTACTGTGGCCCTCTGAAAGATATCGGCCTGGCCACTCTCCAAGCCTGATAAAGGTCGGTAATTGTGAACTGTCTTGAAAGACTGTGGAAGAAGGAAGATTTTGCTGGAGAGGAATTCACTCTAAATTAAATAAAAGGGGTTTTTGTCGGGATAAGGAGTCTGCTTCATGGTTTGGGGAAGACTAGGTCAGAACAGTTAGTACTTGAATAGGATAAAGTAGGGAGGGCTACAGACTAGGTTGAGAAGTTGAAAAAACATCCTAGAATATGGGAAGGCAACAGCAACCTCTTCCATAGTCAAGAAAAGTGCTGGATATATTCTTGGAGTCTTCAAGAGTTGACTTTTGTCCTTGAAGATGTTCTCTTCCTTCATCTTAATGTTCTACATGACGACTCTTTCCTGTCTCCTTCCATCCAGTTTCCTTCTGGTGATGGATTACTTTGGCATCAACATGGCCTCTCTCAATTCCTGCATCAACCCCGTGGCTCTCTATTTTGTTAGCCGGAAATTTAAGAACTGCTTTCAGGTAAGAGAGTTGACAAAAAATGGCATGGGAGGGAGGGAGGGAGGGAAGGGGGACATGATGAACAGAGGCATCAAATCCGTACCACCAAAAATAGAGAGGAACACTTCGTTATTATTACTTCTCATGAAAGAAGGCACATATACATGTCTCAGGATAATGTTGCAGGGTCCAATCTTGAGTTGGTCACTGGGATCAGAGGTTTTGTCTTCCGAGCTTTCAGCCTTGTGCTGGAGCCCATCCTCAGGAAACTTCTCTTTAGCCTAGAGCAATGATGGCTAACCTTTTCCGGACCGAGTGCCCAAAGCGCATGCAAAAGCGTGCACATGCGAAGGCGCGTGCACACGTGTGTGAAGGCACGTGCGCATGCACAAACCCCCAAATGCAATGTGCGCACTGCATGCACCCCACCACCTGCGCGTATGACATAATGTGTGAAGGCACAGCTACAATTAGTGACTCCTTGGCCTAACCTGAGCCAGGAAGAATGAGACAAACTTCCATCGGCGATTGATGATGATGTTTGTGATCTGTCAATCTCAACATATTCTCCTCCAATACCGGGTAAGGACAGATGAACTAGTACTGCTCAGAAACCTGTGCGGTCTCTCCAATCCTGCCCTAAATGACTCTTATCTCTTGTTTTGTTTCTCCTAGTCCTGCCTTTGTTGCTGGTGCCAACGGCCAGCACTTGGCATCCTCCCAACAGACGACAAGGGATCTGTGGGAAAATGGAAAGCCAACGGGCAGGAACTCGACCGGAGCAGTTCTCACCTGAGTAACAAGTGTAGTTCCACTTAGACCCAGGAAGAAACGAGATGAGGACATTTGGTTGGAATTCCGAGGTGGACGTCTTGGATACGGGACCTTGGTTTGGGGTATTCTTCTTAAATTCAATTTTCTTCCCCAGGGCTGAGCTTTGATCTCAATCATCTGACTTCAGTCACAGCTCTTTCAAAAAAATCCCTGCTAAAAATGTTGCTTTTCTCTTCTGTTCCTTTTTTTTTTTAAATCTTTTAATGATCATCACCGTTTTTTCTTTACTCATTCTTCCTTACAGAATAAAATATTGTTTAGGGCCGTAAGAATGGGCACGATCCAGGGTTTTCTGCTCTGTGTAAAGGGGACTACACCGAGCAGAAGACAGGGGCTGATACTGTGCCAGGAGAAAACAAAAAAAGGGTTAAAGGTTGACCCAGACCTGAGTTTTTTCTCAGTGGACAAACATGGCTTGTCACTGTCTCCTCATCCAAGCTTCGGGATCATGACATTTCTTTTGTTTTTAAGATAAGTAGGTAGGAAGGAACGTGGTGGCCCAGGTGGTTAGGACGCTGGGTTGGAGGTTAGCAAGTCCGCGTTCGAGACCCAGGTGCTGCTGTGTAGTGGGGGTGAGCTCCCGTCATTCGCTCCAGCTCGACAGGGATATGAAAAGAGCCCCCGTGGCAAAGGTGATGTCACCGGCTAATCCTTTCAACCCAGAAGCACCTTAAACGGTGCCTCTTGACACAAACGGGAGAGGATGGGAAGATGGAATCTCTTCTTGCACTCCCCATGTTCCTTTCCACGAAAATGCAATGGGATTTGTAGTTCATCTGCAACAGAGCCTACATCAAAATGGCAGCATGCACAGCAACATCATAATTCAAACACGTGCGCCAAAGTCTGACATAAATATGTAAATGGCCCTTTTTTTATTTCTATGCTGCAGCATTTAATTGTATCATCCATTCCTTTTCCCACTAACAAAGGCCCATGATTAGGTGGCCAATGTCACTACTTATTTCTGTGATGAATAGCAATAGCAATAGCACTTACTTATATACTGCTTCACAGTGCTTTTACAGCCCTCTCTAAGCGGATTATACAGAGTCAGCATATTTTCCCCAACAATCTGGGTCCTCATTTTACCGACCTCGGAAGGATGGAAGGCTGAGTCAACCTTGAGCCTGGTGAGATTCGAACTGCCGAACTGCAGCTAGCAGTCAGCTGAAGCAGCCTGCAGTACTGTACTCTAACCACTGCGCCACCTCGGCTCTTGGTGGATGAAGCTAGTGTAAGTGTAAGTGTAAGACTAGTGTACTAGTGTAAGACAAGTAAGACTGAGTTTGACTTTTCCAATCAACCCTGAAGCTAAGTGGGTGATTTTAGGTCAAGTACCATCTCTCTCAACTTAGCTTACCTTACCCAGTTCTTTGTAGTTGGGACAAAGTGTGGGAAGATCCATACCAGGTGCTTTTAAGATTCTCTAGAGGAAAAGCAGGTTATAAGTGTAAAGTAACACCCATTAATTGCAGAGTAGAACGATCATTAGGACAGAGATGTGTGGGCATTAACCTTGGAGAAGGCTTGCAGCAACTGTTACGAAATCATCTTGATGCAGAAAAGCAGGAGGGCGTGAGAATGAAACTCAAGATTGAGCTACCTTGAGTGTCTATGTCATAAGAGGGAGAGAAACTCTCGCTGGCTTTCAAGATTGATAACAGCCTGTCCAGTTTAGGTCATGTCAGGAAGTAGATCCTACAAGAAATACCGGAATTGTATTTTATTGTTCTAGAGGATAATAAACTTGAGATGTCCTTAGAAGAACACATCATCCATGAAGCTGAAGATCTAGAGCAGTGATGCCAAACATTTTCAGCACCGAGTGCCGAAAAGGGAGCGTGTGAGCATACATTCATCTGGGCTGCAACCCGGAAAAGCAGCTGCCCAGGACACATGCACATGCCCAAAAATGAACTTCCGGTTTCCGGCACACATGTGCTCACCAGCCAGCTACTTTTCCAGGTTTCTGGCATGCATGCATGTACGACGATCAACTGGCCGGTTCGCAACAGGGCCATGTATGCACGCTTTGCGTGTGCTTCTGCACATGCGCAGAAGCTTCCTGATGACGTCGGGGTCAGTGGGCGGAGCCTCCCGCCGGTTTTACTACCGGTTCTTGCGAACCGGTCCGAACCGGGTGCAACCCACCCATGGCATGTATGTATCTAGGTCCCAGTCTTTTAGTGCAGATATTCTAGTAGGTTGCCAACCTATGAGCTGGTTATATGTATTATATTGTATTCTCTTATTTAGAAAGATTTCTTTGCTTAGGATACCACAGCAGATCCTGAAAGATGAAATGCTTAGGAAAGTTGCCTCTGTTTTGGATCTTGTTAATATTTCTTCCTTTATCCCTCATCCTTACCTTTTGCTTTCATTATGTTCCTCATGCTAGGAAGCGAATTAAACGTATTACTGATAAAAGACTGAAATTATAATCCTAGATCCATTTACTGGGAAGACCTCCATCAATTTTACTGTCTTTCCTTCGGGCTAAACCTCCTACAGCAGCGATGTCAAACTAAAGCAGGGTGTTTAGATCTGGCCTGCAGGGCCACCCTGGAAACAGTGAGGGACCAGCCTGTATGTGGTTCTGTCTTGGCTGGCAGAGGGTTGCAGGAGGCCATCCCAGCCGGAAACGGAGCTCGGAAGCCCATTTTCACTGGCAAAGTGCTCGGGCCGCCACAGGTGCCCCCGACATGAATGACGTCGAGCTGGCCAGGCCCACCCTGCCCGCTGAGGTCAAATACAACCCTGATGCAGCCCTCAATGAAATCGAGTTTGACACTCCTATCCTAGAGGTATTTCTCGACTTATGAAGATCGGGGCCAGAATTTCGCGCTAAATTGGACTGATATAACAACCAATTTACTGTGGTTGGTGAGTGAATCATATCGTCATTAAGTGAATCACAGTCATTGAGCAAATCCAGCCTCCCCAATTGAACCAGCTGGGAAGGTCAGAAATTGTGATCGCATGACTGCAAAACACTGCAGCCATTTACAAATGTGAGTCAATTTCCAAGTGGCTAAATTGTGATCAACTGACTGTGACAGTCGTAACTTTGAGGATGGGTTGTAAGTCGGTTTTCCTGACACCATCAAAATGGCCTTAAACAAATTGCCGTGATCCTAAAGGTGCTTTTTCGGGAAGCAACTTTCTTGTTTTTTTCTTTTGAAGAGGTTTCACTTCTCATCCAAGAAGCTTCTTCAGCTCTGACTATATGATGGGGAATGGAAGGATTTATACTCCTTGCAGACAATTTGTCATTTTGCTGTTTTTTTTTGGATCAGCTGGAATTTAGGAATGTTTGAATTCAAAATTAAATATTTAATTTTGAATTCAAATATTCCTAAATTCCAAGTTAATCAAAAAAAAAAACAGCAACTGTGCTTCCTTTTTTAAAAAACTCAAGTAGCCTCTAAAGAGTTTGTAATAGTCTCAATGTAATATTATGATTTAGGATCTTTCTGACAGTCTATGTAAACTATAATGTGTGTTTAATGTAGACTAAAATAAGAGTCACTTTTTTTTCTGAATAAAATGCTGGTTTCAAAGGTTACAGATATTAGCGATGGCAACATTTGTACTAACATTTCTCAGGTCTACACGATATGATCAACAGATTGAAGCCACGTTCAAAAACCTTGACAGAATATAATTTGCAAGAGCATCTAAAACTTTGAGGGAGAACTGTCTTATTGTAAAGGGGCCGAAATATTTTTGTTCAGTCGCACACTTTGGCATGGAAAACCCTGTATTGCCTTATAGAATATTGAATAACAGAGTTAGAAGGGACCTTGGAGGTTTTCTAGTCCAACCGCCTGCTCGGGCAGGAAATCCTACACCACTTCAGGAAAATGGTTGTCCAATCTCTTCTTAAAAACTTAGTCTTGGTGTTCTGTCCCCGTCACACGCACACACACAAACTGACAGCCAGGAGTTAATGAATCAAACAGTGGGGAATTCCTTTAAGATAACAGTCTTGGCAGAGAACCATGAACTGCCTGCCAAGAGATTTTACTCACTAATGGAGGTTTTTTCTCCTCAGTCCGATATACCAAATTAATTCCGCAAAGCAAAGAATTGTCCAGTCTGAAGAAATCTAAAAAGAGATTCTAACAGGGTTCTAGAAACATGATGTTCTGTCCCCGTCTCACACACGCACCCCCACAGACAGGCAACAGTTAAAGTACTCAGCCGACAACAGTTTATCTGGCATCAGAATTGGCAGCAACTCAGTAGCTGGCTGACAGGTATTCTTTACTCACGAGGGGGTAGTTTCTCCTTTCGTCCGGGAACAAAGCCAATACACAATAATCAACAAAGTCCAGTAAATACAAAGAAGGTCGTCCGATATCCGTTTTTTGCTTGTCACAGAGCTGAACCGGCCACCACACCCTCTTTTATACCCTGTGGGGTGTGGTCCAATGACTGAGACTAATCCCTGGCACGCCTCTTCTTCTGTTGCGCGTGCTTATCTCTGCGACGCTGCCGAGGATCCAGCCAAGACTCATCTCCCTCATTACTGTCCACCTGTGGCTGTGTGGACGTGCTTGGCCCCGGGCCTAACTCTTGACCTTTGGCAGACACCGAAGGCATTGCCAGAGAGGACGGTCCTGGAGAGGGAGGCCTTGCCAACTCCTCTCCTTCACTCTCGGAGTCCTCTCCTGCCGATAACACAGGCTCAGGTAACGGAGCCACAACACACGATATGACTTCCGAGCTTTTCAATTTGTCCGTCACAAGGCCTGAATAGCCAACACACCCCCTTTTATTCCTTGTGGGGTGTGGTCCAGTGACTCAGCTCAATCTCTGGCCCGCCCACACCTCTTTCTCTGCTGCGCATGCTTATCCTTCCGACGCTGTCTGGGATCCAGCCAAAACTCATCCCCCTCGTTCTCTATCTGCAGCTGCTCCGAAGTGCCTTGCTCCTGGCATATCTCTTGGCCTTCAGAGGAAACCTGAGGCATTGCCAGAGAGAAGGGTCCTGGAGAGGGAGGCCTTGCCAAATCCTCTCCTTCACCTTCTGAGTCCTCTCCCTCTGTTAGGACAGGCTCAGGGGTCAGAGTCACAACAGTTGGACCATTCGCAACTTTTGGAGGCAAATTGTTCCACTGGTTAATTGTTCTGTCAGGAAACCTTAATTCAATGTCAACCAAAAATTCTCACAAATGAAAGACTGAGACAAGACATCAGGGCAAAGATTTAGGCAAGTGCTACATAATTAAGACTTCTAATATATTGGTCTCCCTTGAGCCATTTTTATCGAGTTGAAAGGGATCTTGGAGGTGATACAGATTAACAGAGTTGGAAGGGACCTTGTAGGTCATCTAGTCCAACCCCCCCCCACCCAAGCAGAAGACCCTACACCATTTCTGACAAATGGCAGTCCAATCTCTTCTTGAAAGTCTCAAGTGATGAAGCTCCCATAACTTCCGAAGAAGGCAACTTCTGTTCCATGGGTTGATTGTTCTTATGGTCAGAAAATTTCTCCTTAATTCTAGATTGAATCTCTCCTTGATCAGTTTCCATCCATTATTCCTTGACAGGCCTTTCGGTGCTTTGGAAAGTAGCTTGACCCCCTCCTCTCTGTGGCAGCCGCTCAAATATTGGAAGACTGCTATCCTGTCTCCCCTGGTCCTTCTCTTCCCTAGACTAGCCATGCCCAGTTCCTGCAACCATTCATCACGTTTTAACCTCCAGTCCCCTAATCCTCTTGGTTGCTCTTCTCTGCACTTTTTCTAGAGTCTCAACATCTTTTTTATAGTGCGGTGAGCAAAACTGGATGCAGTACTCTAAGTGTGGTCTTACTAAGGCTTTATCGAGTGGTATTAGTACCTCCCTTGATCTTGATTGTATCCCTCTGTTGATACACTTTAGGATTGCATTGGCTTTTTTTGGCTGCTGCTGCTGTAGTCTTTTGGTCTCTCTCTTTGCCCAGAGCAGGAATCCTCACACTATCCCAAACCAATGGCTGTCCAACCTGTTTGTTGGTCTGTGATCATAATAAAGATTAATTCCCTCTGTTTGAAAACCCTCCATACGTGTAGCGCCACAGAAGCAGGCTACTCCTGCTTAATAGCTCTCCTGGTTAAGAAATACCTCCTTATTTCAAGTCTCACTTTCTTTCTCTTAAGCTTCCACCCACACTTCATGTCCTTCCCTTGGGCATAGCAGAACATATCTCCACACACCCTCTTCCTGGTGTGAAGCCCTTCAAGTTGAAGAAGACGGTTACCAAGTCTCTGTTGTGGCTCGTCAGTGGCCTGTGCAGATTGTAGCTGATTCGGACAGCGAGGAGGCTGGTGTGGTGCTGCACCAGCAGCCTGTGCAGCTGGCGCTCGAGTCAGACAGTGAGGAGGCTGGAAAAGATGTGGTGCCAGAGACGGGGATTCAGCCAGGGCTTTCAGAACCTCCATTAAGTGAAGAGGAAGAAGAGGAGGAGCCTCTTCTCAATGCACGGGCGCGCAGAGCAGCCAAAAGGCAGGAGTGGCTCCTCAGGAGGAGGTCTCCTCGAGAGTAAGGCTTGGGGCTAATTGGCTACTCCCTTAGCCTATTTAAGGAGGAACGCTGATTGCAGCAAGCTGTAGGGAACAACTTTAGTTCACTCTCCTTTGCGTCTGGATTCTCTGCAAAATTTGCTTCTGGGCTTTCTGCCAACCCTAGTAAGACTGTGATTACTTTATCTTAGAATACTTGTAAGCTGTTAAGGAAGTTTGTTAACAGCCTTTGGTTGAAAAAGACTGAGTTATTTGAGTAAAATAAGCTTTGTATAGATTTTGTGTGTGCTGCGTTCTTTGGGGTCTGTAGCTGGGGCAGAACAGTCTCCTCTTTTACAACCTCTTCCTTCGGCCGAACATACAGGTAGCCCTCGACTTACAACAGTTCATTTAGTGACCATTCAAAGTTACGACGGCATCAAAAAAAGGTAACCGATGACCGATTTTCACACTTACAATTGTTCCAGCCCTTGGACATGGGATCAAAATTGAGCCGCTTAATTCGTATTTATGATGGGTTGCAGCATCCTGGGGGGGGGGGGTGTATCACGCGATCCCCTTTTGCAACCTTCTGACAAAGCAAAGTCAATGGGGAAGCCAAATTTGCTTAATAACCCTGTTGCTGACTTAACGGCAATGATTCGTTTAACAACCGGGGCAAGACAGGTGGTAAAATGAGGCAACAACAGAAATTTTGGGCTGAAATGTGGTCGTACGTCGAGGGTTACCTGTCATCATTTCTCTGAACTGTTCTTCATAAGATTGTCACCTTGTCACCTTGTGTTGTCTTCTCTACACTCTCTCCAGCTCAGGGGTGTCAAACACGAGGTCCACGGGCCGAATCCGGTCTGCGATGTGGTTGGATCCGGCCCGTGGGGCCATCCAAAACAAGACACATATTTCAGTGCAGCTCACTGGAGCGAGACGACCATTTCCAGGATCTCAGATGTCACCAGATGTCAGAAGCTAGTTCACCAGAAGTAGAGCATTCCAGTCTTCCCACTCTGGATGGCCTTTCAGATACCTTTTTATTAGCCCTCAATGGCTTTGAGGGGAACATTCCACAGGCAGCTATTCCGACAGCTTTAAAAAAAAGAAATTTCAAATATGGCTGAACCGTCAGCTGAAAATATATCCTTTGTGCCCATCGCAAACCTGATAAGTTACCATAGAATTAAAAAAAAACCTGCCGTATTAACGTAAGATTCTCGTCGCTCCCTGGCGATAGATGCGTTATAAACCCTAAAGGAAGAACATGGATTCCATCATGCGGGCCTTAGAAAAAGAGAGTTTTTTTTTTTTTTTTTAAAAAACCAAAATGTCTTTTTAATAAATCGTAGTCCCCAAACCCATTGCTGTATGCAGAGGTTTATCCATTCTGCAGGTGTCGACCTACTACTGCATTGTCACATCGTTCAAGGCCTTGTATTCTTCTACGCTTGCCTGCAATAGAAAACAGAGTCCTGAGTTTTTGGGCCACAGAATCAACGATAAGCACTTCAGCAAAAGTCAGTTATGTTCTGACCAAGACTTCCTGAGACAGTAACAATCACACGCTTAGTCCCAAAAACCCTTTTTACTTCAATGGCTGTGAATTACGTTCATTCACAGCCCGGAATGAGTCCCAAGCAGTTTGTGAATAGTCCAAAGAAATCTGCCACAGTCTTTTGGGATAAGGCTGATAAGCACCCACCTTTATCTCCCTTGAAACGCTGCCAAAATACCTAATTGCCAATTAGCTTTGCAAGACCAAATGGAGCACAAAATCAAAATGGAGCTTCAGAATTTAAACCGACCAGAACAAACAAAGTTGCTTCCTGCAAAGGCTCACGTGCCTTTGCTCCACCTTTATGTCTTATGGGAGGGGCCAATCATCTCCAAGCCTTACTCCTGAGTCGTCCCTTTTGTCTTAACTGTTCTTGCCTTCTGGCAGCTCTGTGCATGCGCACACTGGGAACAGGCTCCCCTTGTTCCTCTGCCTCTCTGATGTCCGACTCTGGTGGCTCCGGAGTCTGCACATAACTCCCAGATGGCCCTGGCCCCCTCTCTGCCTCCAACACTGAGCCCTCTTTCCCCAGACTCCAGGACTGGCCCAAGTTTCTCCCCAGCCTCCTCACTGTCCGACTCTGCTGCCAGCTCTGCAGGCCACCGGTGGACTACAAGAAGTTAGACCAGTCCCTTGATTAACGGATGTCTGTTGTTACACCATCCGGGCATGAAAATGGCTACCAATAATTGCTTTATTAAGATCTCCTCATTTATTTATTTATTTTTACTTATTTATCAAATTTATTTGCTGCCCTTCTCATGGTTCAGGTGACTCTGATTCTAGCCTCCTTTAGAATGGAACCAAGGCTCTTCGCAGGGGCATCTGGCAGAATCATGGAACTGAGTATGGACAGTCTAGCGAAAGGAAGGACTAGGGACAACATGATAACAGTGTTCCAGTATTTGAGGGGCTGCCAAAAAGAAGAGGGGGGTCAACTTATTTTCCAAGGCACCGCAGGATAGGCCAAGAAACAATGTTTGGAAACTAATCAAAGAGAGAAACAACCTGGAATTAAGGAGAAACTTCCTAATAAAGGACAATTAACCAATGGAACAGCTTTGCCTTCAGAAATCGTGGGCGCATCATCACTGGAAGCACCCCCCATGCCCCATTTTGGGCCTAGCAGGCCTCCCTGCAGCCTCCTGGGCCCAAAAACAGCCCAGGGGGGGCAGGCCACACCCTCCACGCCCCGTTTTGGCCTAGCAGACCTCACTGCAGCCTCCTGGGCCCAAAAACGGGCCGTGGGGGGGGGCATGCCACACTCCCCTGCACTCCGCCCATCCCCCACGCATGTGCCGACCCCCCCGCGCATGTGCACGTCTCCTGCATATGCCCTGCCCCCCCATGCATGCCAAAAATTAACTGGCCGGCGGGAGGCTCGCGTGCGTGCATACACGTTATAGCTGAGCTGGGCAATGGCTTGCGTGTTCACAGAGAGGGCTCTACATGCCAGCTGTGCAAGCCTTCTGTATTCCCTTTATCTAGATGTTATACACTTCTCTGACAGGCACATTGCTCTGACTCACCTCAAACGTGTTAAGCACGTGTTGGCAGACACCCATAAGGTCTTCCAGTCCCTTCTGGAATGCGTCTATAGCAGGTAGGCCTCCTGTGCGATCAGAGAAAAGATCCATTTTATTTGTATTATTTCTATGTTGCTCACATCATCAGAAAAGGGACGCGGTGGCTCAGTGGGTAAGAAGTTGAGTTTGTCAATCGAAAGGTTGGCAGTTCAGCGTTTCAAATCTCTAGTGCCGCGTAATGGGGTGAGCTCCTGTTACTTGTCCCAGCTTCTGCCAACCTAGCAGTTCGAAAGCACGTAAAAAATGCAAGTAGAAAAATAGGGACCACCTTTGGTGGGAAGGTAACAGCGTTCCGTGCGCCTTTGGCATTTAGTCATGCTGGCCACATGACCACAGAGATGTCTTCCGACAGCGCTGGCTCTTCGGCTTTGAAACGGAGATGAGCACCGCCCCCTAGAGTCAGGAACGACTAGCACATATGTGCAAGGGGAACCTTTACCTTTACCCATCATCAGGTGGCATCAATAAGATTGTCAAAATCATGAAATAGCAACGCTAGAATCAATATAAATCCCCCAATGGCCCCAATAGGATAAAAATAACTTATCCTCCAATTCATGTCTTTCCCTTGTAAATTAGTTAATGTAAACAGTAATTATTAGGCTGCATTTTTTTTTTTAAAAAAAAAAACCTTCTCTCATGAGCATAGAAGACCAGAAAAGAAGCGGAGCCCCCTGCATTTCCCACCAGTTCATCTCCTTGCCTGTTTACAGTAGTCAAAAGGAAGGCAAAAAAGTCAAGATGGCAGCCAGTCCAGTGCAAACAAAGACCTGCCCCTTCGGATTTGTGTCATGCAAGGGTGCAAGGCACTGATTAACGGTGATTTGACCTTCTGGACCTGCAGTTTTTGCTGCCTATATATTCGGCATATACCCTTGCATGCAATTCTTGGTCGTCCATGACAAACAACCAAGTTATCCAAAGCAGGCTGCACACTTAATAGCTTTGTAGCATCTGAAGAGGCAATCCATTTCATATATGCATTTTATGTATAATTCTCAGAGCAATCACTGCACTTAGCAATTGTCAGATCCCTATCGTGATGCTGCCATTCTTCAGGGGAAGGGGGGACCCCCGGATATGTTATTTAGTTTATTACTTTCTTCCCTATATCATTCACAGCTTGTAAAGGTAAAGGTTCCCCTCGCACATATGTACTAGTTGTTCCTGACTCTAGGGGGCGGTGCTCATCTCCCTTTCAAAGCTGAAGAGCCAGCGCTGTCCGAAGACGTCTCCGTGGTCATGTGGCCGGCATGACTAAATGCCGGCCAAATGGTTCTGACTTTATGGACATATCCACATAATTTTCTTGGCAGTACATAACATTTTCCCAAAAGGTTTCCACAATTTTGGCCACTACTGTAGTGCACACAGGAGGCCAAAAAAGATTTAGCTATACCAGAAGCTGAACTTTCTATGCAGCTCTTCTATAGACACAATCCTCGTGCTGTGGTTTAATGGCAAATCAGTGCAGAATCGCTCCCTCCTTGCCCGTCAATGGACAGTGACCTGTCATCGTTCTGGAAAGACAAGCTTCCCTAGGGCAACGGAGCTCGTGATCTGAAATAGCAGGAGCACGAGGTTTCTCATGAAAGGAAGAAGCTGGCCGGGCCCTCCAGGAAAGAAGAGGGCCGAGCCGATGGAATGAGCCGAGGTGGCGCAGTGGTTAGAGTGCAGTACTGCAGCTACTTCAGCTGACTGCTAGTTCAGTAGATCAGCGGATCAAATCTCACCGGCTCAAGGTTGACTCAGCCTTCCATCCTTCCAAGGTGGGTAAAATGAGGACCCAGATTGTTGGGGGCAATATGCTATTTAGTATACTGTCTATTGGTGTAAGCCGCCCAGAGAGAGTGGGCGGCATAGAAATATGACTAATAAATAAATAAGAGCTGAGTGCTCTCACCTCTGGTCTGGATGCGGAAGTTGATTTTGCTTTCTGAGGGATGGGTGATGCTGTAACCACAAAACTCGACTTCAGGGCTGCAGGGAAAGAAAGAGAAGATTGTGACAGAGGCAGAGGGGGGGAAAAAAAATCAAACAATGCTCTCTCTTTGGCTGGTGCTCTGAAAATCATACACCAGGAAAGGTTTGGCTCTATTTTTAGTACTCAAATGTTGTTGTTGTTAGTTGCGAAATCGTGTCCGACCCATCATGACCCCATGGACAATGTTCCTCCAGGCCTTCTTGTCCTCTCCCATCCTCTGGAGTCCATTTAATCTCACGCCGACTGCTTCAGTGACTCCATCCAGCGACCTCGTTCTTTGTCATCCCCTTCTTCTTTTGCCCTCAATCTTTCCCAGCATTTAGGCTCTTCTCCAGTGAGTCCTTCCTTCTCATTAGGTGGCCAAAGTATTTGAGTTTCATCCTCAGGATCTGGCCTTCTAAAGAGCAGTCGGGGTTGATCTCCTCTAGGACTGACCGGTTGGATCGCCTTGCAGTCCAAGGGACTCAGAGCAGGAGTCTTCTCCAGCACCAGAGTTCAAAGGCCTCCATTCTTTGGCACTCAGCCTTTCTTATGGTCCAAGTTTTACAGCATACCTCAAATGGATATATGCTATCATATCTGTTGCAACCCTGCAACAGAACCTTACACTCACTTTTTCATAATCATGTATCTCAAAGAATTGCCGAGGGTGTGATCTTCCTTGTTGAGCACAAACGTGACACAGCTCTTATCCGACCCCTCGGCTCGTACCTACAGACAGAGGAAGAGGAGGAAAAAAAGTCAGAAGATGGAAGGTAAAAGCTGAGGAGCAAAAAATGGTTTGAGAGAAGCACACCTATGTTAGATGGTGGAACACTTTTTCCTTTCTTCTACTTCTTCTCTCTATCCATCCATCCTTTCCCCACAGGGTGGATTTGATTTAAATCAAGTCGATTTAAATCACGATTTAAATCATGATTTAAATCACTAGTAAAAAGGTTCGATTTAAATCAACTCAATTTAAATCGTAATTTTTAAAGAGCAATTGTCATCTTTGTCCCGCAGTGGCTCCTTCTCTGACCCGCTGTTGACTCACCGATAGTCGCAGTGTTGCAGAATCAACAGCCTCGTGCTACATAATTAAGCTCCATTTCATGCTGAATAAACTCAATTATTAATGTATCTTAAATAGAAAACTATCTTTAGATAGACTTTCATTCCAAAAGCATTTTATTAAAATAAATTTGATAAAAATAAAAACAAGTCCGATTTAAATTTTAAAAAACCCCGATTTAAATAGAAAAATCTGATTTTTTAAAAAAATCATCGATTTTTATCTATCCTGATTCCCAGCTATCAAAGTCCTCGACTTACAATCATTTGTTTGAAGTTACAACGGCACTGAAAAAAAAGGGACTCCTAACTGTATTTCAGTGGCGACTGTTGGAGCATCCCCAGGGCCATATGATCAAAATTTGGGTGTTTGGCCACTGGGATGTGTTTATGACAGTTTTACTGTCCCAGGGTCATTTATCATCTTTTTCGACCTTCCCCACCCAGCTCCCGACAAGCAAAGCCAATGGGGGAAGCCAGATTCATTAACAAGGGCAGTGATTCACTTAACAACATTGGCAAAGCAGTCGTAAAATGGGACTCACTCACTCACAGTAAAACTCACTCAACAACCACCTTGCTTAGTAGCCATGGCAATTGCTAATTGTGAAGATGGCAAGGAGGATAGTTTTTGAATAACTAAAAAGCCAAAGTGAAAGCTTCACCCGATAGATTTCTCCCTGCTACATTAGCCCTTAAAAGACCCAGGAGCAGAAAGAGAGAGAGACAGTCAGACAGACCTATGAGAGAGAGAGAGAGGTGATAAGATAGACAGATAGACAGATAGATAGATAGATAGACAGACAGAGAGACAGACATGGATGGATGGATGGATGGATGGAGGTAGTCAGGCAGGCAGGCAGGCATGAGAGAGATAGAGGTGATGGATAGATGACAGATGGATATAGATGGGCAGAAATGAGAGAGGTGATAGGAAGATAGATAGATAGGTAGGTAGATGATAGATAGATAGATAGATAGATGATAGACAGACAGACGAGAGAGAGACAGAGATGCAGGCAGGCAGGCAGGCAGACATGAGAGAGATAGAGGTGATGGATAGATAGATAATAGACACAGATATAGATGATAGACAGACAGACAAGAGAGAGATACATATACATATGATGAGCCGAGGTGTCACAGTAGTTAAGAGTGCAGTACTGCAGCTGACTCCTAGTTCAGCAGATCAGCGGATCAAATCTCACCGGCTCAAGGTTGACTCAGCCTTCCATCCTTCCGAGGTGGATAAAATGAGGACCCAGATTGTTGGGGGGCAATATGCTATTTAGTATACTGTCTTTGGTGTAAGCCGCCCAGAGTCCTCGGAGAGTGGGCGGCATGGAAATATGACAAATAAATAAATAAATAAAGATAGACAGACGATAGATAAATATAGACAGATATGAGAGAGATAGCGGTGATAGGAAGATAGATAGATAGATAGATAGATAGATAGATAGATAGATAGATAGATAGATAGATGATAGACAGACAGATAGATATAGATGATAGGCAGATGACTATCTATCTAAGGTAGGTGAAATGAAGACCCAGTTTGTGGGGGCAATAAGCTGACTTTGTATAAATATACAAAAGCATGAAGGCTATTGCTTAACGCACTGTGAGCTGCCCTGAGTCTCCGGAGAAGGGCGGCATATAAAATTAAATAAATAAATAAATAAATAAATAAATAAAAACCCAAGCACATAAACATCTAAATTCTATGCCAAGGTCTTAGCAGATACACCAAGTTGTAAATTTATTATTTACTGTTTATAAAAAAATTATTATATGTATATGAAATCTTATTCTGTTCACCGCCCTGAGTCCTTCGGGAGAAGGGCGGTATAGAAATTCAAATAATAATAATAATAATAATAATAATAATAATAATAATAATAATAATAATAATAATAATAATAATAATAATAATAATAATAATAGTAGGAAGAAGAAGGCCCGGGCTTACCATCTGCAGCACACGCGGCTGCTGCTTCTCCTCTTCGTCTCCCATCTTTACCGCATGCGCGCTGTGGAGCGTAGGGGATGCCGGGAGTCGTAGTCTCCAAGTCAGGAATCCGTTTCCCCCTCCCCACTCTTGTTTCCAAACAAGAAGCGTTCCTGGGGGAAAAAGCTTCGGCAACGAAGGCGTTAAAAAGGCGCGAGTTTCTTTCCTTCCTTCCTTCCTTCCCAATCGTCCAATCGGTGGCTACTTCCGCCTTCCCCTCCCTCCCTCCCTCCCCCCCAGCCGCGCCAAAGAACTACGCTTCCCAGCAAGCGACGCGGGCCTTCGTGTCTTGCGGCCGGACTCGCTGTCCCAGAAGCCTCGGCGGCCTTGCGGCGGAAGCTCACGTGGCCTTGGTTGTCTTCGGGTGAACGGAGAACCGAGAGGCGGGGAGGAAAGGGGGGGGGGAGGCGAAGAAACGGGGCTTTCGGCGGGCGCCCAGCAAGGTAAGAGAGCGCTGCCTTCTGCGCCTGCGCCTGCAAGGAGCTGAGGGGGGGTGGACCGTGGTGGGCGGGGGGGGGTCCGCAGGGGGTCGTGGCAGCAACGGTCGCCTGGCAGGTCGACGCCCTGTCGCCATGGCAACCCTGGGGAGGCCTGCCCCCCCACCCCGCATACTTAGACTCCGCTTTGCTCCCCCAACCCCTAACAACCTCCCTGCGAAGTAGGACGCTCCCTCCCAACCCAAAAAAATGGTTTCCGTGGCCGAGGAGGGGCTTGAACCCGGTTTTCTCTCTCTCTCACACACACACCCCTCTCAGAGCCCTTCCCGCCCCTCTGCCCTTGCGGGGTCTCTCTTGCTTGGTCCTCTCAGCCAGGGCCCTGGCCTCCAATGGCAGGCAGGCTGGCTTGGCACAAGGGGCCGAGGGCTGACCTGGTTGTGATGATGATGATGATTATTATTATTATTATTATTTATTGGTTAATCTTTAGTGAGATCCACAGCCTTTGAGGCTGGTTAATAGTTCAGCAGCTCGAGTCCTAACCAAGGACCTAGGAACTGTTAAGGTATCGTCGGAGGATGTAAGCTGTTCCGAGTAAGGTGGTTTTTTGTAGACTCAAAATGTTCAAGTCCGGCAAATTTAGAATTTCTAAATAGCAGGGTAGCCCTTTGGGTATTGCTCCGAGGGCTCCAATTACAATCGGGACAACACACGATTTCTTTTTCCACAGTCGCTCAACTTCAATTTGTAAGTCCCGGTACTTTGTGGTTTTTTCTTGCTGCTTATCTTCAATCCGTGCATCACCAGGTATTGCAATGTCAATGAACCATCCTTTTTTCTTTTCAACTATTGTTATGTCAGGTGTGTTGTGGACCAAGTGCCTGTCAGTCTGAATCCTGAAGTCCCACAAGATCTTGAGTTTCTCATTCTCTAAAACTTTCTCAACCTGATGTTCCCAGTGGTTTTTGCTGTACTCAAATCCAAACTTCTGGCACAATTTCCAGTGAATTATCTTAGCAACACGGTCATGGCGTTGTAGGTAGTCAGTTTGTGAAATTTTGCTGCACCCACTGATCAGGTGGTCGACTTATTATTATTATTATTATTATTATTATTATTATTATTTTCATTAAATGTGAAACTCAGTCAGTCAACTGAACATTCAAATATACATCATAAATACCATTGACTCTGGTGCTAATGGTTGATACAGGTTGCTGCCAGCATCCTAGGTATCAACCAAGTTAATAATAATAATAATAATAATAATAATTATTATTATTATTATTATTATTATTATTTACTTCATTAAACGTGAAACTCAAGTCAACTGAACATTCAAATATTCATCACAAATACCATTGACTCTGGTGCTAATGGTTGATACGGGTTGCTGCCAGCATCCTAGGTATCAACCAAGTACCTTCTTAAAATGTACTATTATTATTATCTTTTATTCATTAAACATGAAACTCAGTCAACTGGACATTTAAAAATGCATCACAAATACCATTGACTGGTGTTAATGGTTGATATGGGTTGCGGCTCTCTTCCATCCAGTCCATGGTCAATACCATCTTTCATTCTTCTACCATTCCTTTTTTCACTTCCTTCTAGAGTTGTGGCGTACAGGTGACATATAAGGTTAATAATTAATAAATTATGCGAGTCTTTTATCTTTTAATCAAAAAGCAGCTACGACTAAAGTGTGGCAGATTGAAGAAACTTGACATAAAGCGATTACTTACAAATGTTCACAATGACTTACAGCAGTGTTTCTCAACCTTGGTAGCTTGAAGATGGGTGGACTTCAACTCCCAGAATCCCCCAGCCAGGGCTGCTGGGTGGGGGATTCTGGGAGTTGAAGTCCACCCATCTTCAAGCTACCAAGGTTGAGAAACACTGACTTTCAAGTTTGGGCTTTTTGGGGGGAGGAAGTCAGTTGTAGCGTTTTGCACAACGTGAGAAAGCTGGTCTCTGTGCAGAAGGTCTTGTAGTCAGATCTGACCTGGGGGAAGGAAGGAAGGTTATTTTTATCAGGCTACCTAGATCTATTCAGTAAGGATGTGATTTTAAGCCAGGGGTCTCTAACCTTGGCAACTGTAAGCCTGGCGGACTTCAACTCCCAGAATTCCCCAGCCAACTTTGCTGGCTGGGAAATTCTGGGAGTTGAAGTCCTCCAGGCTTACAGTTGCCAAATTTGGAGAGCCCTGTTTTAAGAGATGATAATTGCAAGTTTTATAGAAAAGGTGGTTGGGGTTTTTTGACTGGGATGAAAAGCACACCCTTGAGGGAAGGAGAGCAGAATTTGCAATTTCTTGCAGTTTTTTTTTCACTGAGATAAGAGGGACGGATATGGATTGATAAAATAGTAGTGAGATCATGTCCCTCACTGTATTTTTGAGGACAGAGAGATCGCAGGGAAAGGTTTTTTTTTATTATTATTATTTTCTTCGGAAGAGGAGTCAGCTAGGATTTATTTGGAAAAGTTTGCAACATTCAAGGAACAACCACACTGCTTCTTTTGTTCCACAGAGCGAATCGTTTCTTATTTAGATAAGAACACAATCTGGAAAGAAGTTGGGCATAGAATAAAAGCGAATAAAACTAGCAATGTAGGGAAGGCATAAAAAAGTTTGGTCAAAGTAAGTAAGGAAAAACTTTTTTTTTTTTTTTTGCTTAGTCACCTTGAGCAACAGGGATCTAGGACTACACTGAAGGCTTTCTAACTCCCTTCCAGAAGTGTATGCGGGAAAAAAAAAAAATAGAAGATAAATGGAACACAGCTTTGCTAAACATTTACAGGGGGACGGCAACGATTTTAAATATGTGAGACGTTGTTGCGCAAACGGGGCTCTGATCTATTACCCGGGGAAGAGTGAAAAAGCCAAGCATTTGTATGATATCTGTAAGAACTGATCTTGTGGTTCCTGAGCATGTTGTAATACTGTTATCTTTTAGGAAGGAACTGAAAAGTGGAATGGAAGCCGATAATGCAGTTTACTCTTTCACTGCTCCCCCACCACACCTGTATTTCTTCCGCTGTAATGCCTTATTCTGTAGCAGAATAAGATTTGGCCGCTCATGAGTTCGAATTAATTCTAGCGTGTTAATGAAGTACACTTGAGTGAGCATAAATCTCTGGTTAACCAAAGTTTCAAAGATCTGGAAATCTGCATTCAGTGACTTTTAACGGCAGCAATATTTCTCTCCCGTGCATGGATGTACCTCGTATTGAATTACCCTGTGGAACTGAGAGATTACATTTTATTTTTCTTGCATGATTTTAGATCTGATAAGCCCTTAGAAACTGCATTCATTTCATGGTACGATAGGCTGCAAACAGACCACGGGAGAGCCACTTTCCTGGGTAATATTTATTTTTATTTATTTGTTTCAATTTCTATACCGCCCTTCTCCAAATATAACTTCATGCTTATAGCCTTAATATTTTAAACAATGATGGGAGATAACCACCAAGTCCCTACAAGGGAATCTGTATGTATTGTTATTCCCAGACTGAGCATCTGCCTTACGGCAGTGGCCCCCAGCTTTTTCGGTAGCAGGGACCGGTTCCATGGAGAGAGCTTTTTTCACGGACCGGAGGGGGCATGGTTTTGTGGGCTGCCTGCATCTCGTGGATGCAGGCAGCCCTGCATCCCTGTTGTTTGCGTGGACCGGTGCCAGTCCAAGGACCAGGGGTAGGGGACCCCCGCTTTGTTGCTTATCTCTCATATATTCACCTGACCAGGTAAACAGGCCCAAGGCCCTAATATTCTTCTGGGCTCATAAGAACAAAGATAACTGTTGTTACTAGTTACGTTACCCACATCTGACGATGTTTGTGTAGCTACTTTAGTCATCACGGCCATAAAACCATAGAGCCAACACTGGGAGGAACAGGGCAGTCAGTTTTAAAGGGAATTCCTCCACTTAAACATGAACAAGTATTTAATAATATTAACTCGGTGAGCACTGACTAGATAATCTTGCATCTTGCCCTGTGTAAATTTCATGTAGTGGCCTATGACTAAAATTGGCCTTTAAAGCAGGGGTCTCCAACCTTGGCAACTTTAAGATTTATGGACTTCAACTCCCAGAGTTCCTCAGCCAGCTTTGCTTAGTCTTAAAGTTGCCAAGGTTGGAGACCCCTGCTTTAAAGCAATATGGCAGCTGCTCTTTGATTACTTGAAGGAATGATCTGGCCTCTTGCAGAGAACGTGGACATCCAGAGCCACTGTTGCTACCACTGATGTGGCACAGAACCAAAACAGACAGAGTGGAATGCACCTGTTAGGACATTGCCCTATACTTTGATCCCTGGCCTGCATTTCAGTGGAAGCAACTGCCAGTGTAATTATGTGCTTCCTTTCCTCTCCTCTCTACTTATTCCGGCAATGCAGTGTATCCTGCAAAACCTGTTAATCTGGGTACGTGTGCAGGCAGTCCTCGATTTACATCCACAATGGAGCCCGGCATTTCTATTGCTAAGCAAAACGGTGGTTAAGTGAGTTTTGCCCCAGTTAAGCGAATCTCTGAATCTGGCTTCCCCATTGACTTGGCCGGTCAGAAGTTCGCCCAAGGTGATCACACGACCCTGGGACGCTGCAACCGTCATAAATATGAGTCAGTTGCCAAGCATCTGAATTTTGATACCTAACCATAGGGATCCTGCAACAGTTGTAAGTGCAAAAAAACCGGTCACTTTTTTTCCATGCTGTCGTAACTTTGACGGTCACTAAATGAACGGTGGTAAATCAAGGACTACCTGTATCTTTTGGGAGTGCACATGTTTTGTTGTTAGTTGTGAAGTTGTGTCCGAGCCATTACAACCCCATGTACAATGTTCCTCCAGGCCTTTCTGTCCTCTACCATCTTCCAGAGTCCATTTAAGCTCACGCCGACTGCTTCAGTGACTCCATCCAGCCACCTCGTTCTCTGTCGTCCCCTTCTTCTTTTGCCCTCAATCGTTCCCAGCATTAGGCTCTTCTCCAGGGAGTCCTTCCTTCTCATTAGGAGGCCAAAGGATATGAGTTTCATCCTCAGGATCTGGCCTTCTAAAGAGCAGTCAGGGTTGATCTCCTCTAGGACTGACCAGTTGGATCGCCTTGCAGTCCAAGGGACTCAGAGCAAGAGTCTTCTCCAGCACCAGAGTTCAAAGGCCTCCATTCTTTGGCGCTCAGCCTTCCTTATGGTCCAACTTTCACAGCCATCCATTGCAATTGGGAAAACCATAGCCTTGACTATACGCACTTTTGTTGGCAGGGTGATGTCTCTGCTTTTTAGTATGCTGTCTAGATTTGCCATAGCTTTCCTCTCCAGGAGCAAGCGTCTTTTAATTTCTTGGCTGCAGTCCCCATCTCCAGTGATCTTGGAGCCCAGGAAAATAATATCTGTCACTACCTCCATTTCTTCCTCATCTATTTACCAGGAATTGAGAGGGCCGGGAGCCATGATCTTAGTTTTCTTAATGTTGAGTTTCAAGCCAACTTTTGCACTCTCCTCCTTCACCCGCATCAAGAGTGCTTTAGGTGACAGGAATTTACAAGTCACTGATAAGACAGAAGTCCATTTAAAATGGGCCTATTGATTATGGTTGAACAGGACTGCTTTTCCATGGATCTTGAAAAGGGGGGGAAACTGTCTTCTCATAGAATTTCTGCATAGGGTGGCTTTTGCCTTTTCCAGCTGCATACATCAGGGTTGGGCAACTGTGGCCCTTTTACAACCTGTGGACTTCAACTCCCAGAATTCTGGGAGTTGAAGTCCACAGGTTGTAGAAGGGCCACAGTTGCCCACCCCTGGCATACATGATAGGGGCACATACTGTGTTACGCTGCAGTGGTCCTGCTTCAATCTGTGGAGAAGCACCTTCACTCTGTGTCTCTTGTCCCCACAGCCAACCTCCAGCGATGGCGATCCTGTTTGCTGTTGTAGCCAGGGGCTCCACCATCCTGGCCAAGCATGCCTGGTGTGGAGGCAATTTCCTGGAGGTTACAGAGCAGATCCTGGCCAAGATACCTTCCGAAAACAACAAGCTCACTTACTCGCACGGAAAGTGAGTATTTTCTGGGGAAAGGACAGGAAAACAAAAATCGATGGAAACCCAATAACGGGATGGAAATGAAAAGAGCCATTTGGCTGTTGGGCTGGGGAAGAGAGCAGGAAAGAAAAGGGTTTGCATGCCCATTTCAACTGATGTGCAAATAATCTTGGAATGCTTATACCACTATTCAGAAAACGTATTCGGTGTCTTCTTTTCCCCTCAGTTATCTGTTCCACTATATCTGTCAGGACCGGATTATATACCTCTGCATCACAGACGATGTAAGTACTGAGAAAGCTACAATGGGGAATTGCAAAATTGGTAAAAATTTGTACTCTGTAACGGTGGGTTGCTAGAAACTTGGGATATACCCTTGGGATGTACCGTTTCCCCGAAAATAAGACATCCCCTGATAATAAGCTCAATTGGGCTCTTGAGCGCATGTGCTAAAATAAGCCCCCTCCCCGAAAATAAGCCCTCCCTGAAAATATTTAAATGCATGCACAGCCGGTCTCCCCCATTTCCTCTGGTTAGGGTTAGGGAGACAGAGCTGGAAATCAGGTAAGACGGCAAGAGGAGCCCCGTCTTGCTCCACTTGCCCCAAAATAATAAGACCTCCCCAAAAATAAGGCCAAGCACTTATTTTGGGGTTCAAAAAAAAATATAAGGCAGGGTCTTATTTTCAGGGAACCACGGCAGCTGTGCTGAAACAATTTGCTTTTGCATTCTTTCGTTGTGATAAGTATTATTTCCTTCCAAGAAACAATGGCGGACTGAAAACGGCTTTGCTGTTAGCAGAGTAATTTCAGTCTTGGTCCCTTAAGCAAGAATGACCCTTGACTCAATTTGCTGTGAAAGGTTTACTTTACTAAAGGCCAAGTGGATTACAGTATAGCAAAGCTAGAATTGAAGTTCGCTCGACAAAGCTTTCCCGGTTTAACTTTTTCCCCCTTTGTCCCTTCTCATTGCTGGTTCTCCCCCTTTCCCCCATTGTCCAATCATATTAAAAAAAAAACAATTTTTGAACGGTCTCTTCAATTTAAGATTAGGCGGTGAGGAGCTGCATGATGTTCCCAGCTGGGCAACCTTGAAATTGTGTGTCAGGCCTGCCTCCGTTCAAAACCCAAGAAAGAAAACCCCCAACTCCATTGAGTTAAGAGAAGGAGTACTTATTTACTGAGTTTGAAATGATAGCAGCAAAAGCAAGGCAAGATCTGATTCAAAACGCGCAAAAGTTACAGATTGAAAGTTTCCCCAACCCCTCCCCCCAGGGTTCCCTTGCTGAGTGTCCAATCAACGTCCAGTATGATGATGATGTGAAGCTCATCTTCAGGTATTTCGCCCATCTGAAGTCCCAAGACGGTTGGCCTTGACAGGGTGTAAACAACTCCACTCAGTGGCGTAGTAATTCTTGAGAACAACTCTCCCTTTTAGTTCACATGGGACTACACCTCCAGCTCACTTCCCCAACCCAAATGCTGTGCCCCCCCTCCCCCCCACCTTCCCAGCCAATAGCAAGCATGCATCAAAGTAGATTCCCATGCTGGAGATCCGGCTGACATTGTGTCTCTAGAAGGTACGATGAGTCCTTGGTCTCCCCACCCCCCGATCCCACTCTCTGCCCCCAAAGTGCAGATTGGCAGACTGGCAGGTAGCAAGCCTAAAACAAGGTGGCAGTTCTGACAGTAATTTGTTATCTGTCCCTGCTACTTCCTGCTTAGATAAAGTTCTTAGATCTATTTCTGTCCTTTCTAGTAATTCACTATCTACTTTATTTTTCTGTGGGAAATTAGTTTAGTTTAGTTTTAGTTTTAGTTTTAGTTTTAGTTTTTTAGTTTTAGTTTTTTAGTTTTAGTTTTAGTTTTTTAGTTTTAGTTTTAGTTTTGTTTAGTTTATTGTCATTGCACCTGGTACAATGAAATTAAATGCCGTCTTCAGTGTACATTATAACTATAAAAATCAAAACACAAATATACATCCTTTATATTCTGTATAATTGAAATTGAAAACCCAATATTGCACTATACCGTAGAATTCAATATGGTTATTGCCCTGGGATAGAAGCTGTTTTTCCAGCCTATTTGTCCTTGTTTTTTATTATCCTGTACCGTCTGCCAGATGGTAATAGTTCAAAAAAAGGCTGCCCAGGATGAGATGGCTCTTTAAGGATGTTTTGAACTTTCTTAAGGCAGCGGGAGCTATAAAGCTCTTCCAAAGAGGGGAGAGGGCAAACGATGATCCTCTGGGCAATGACATTGACCCTCTGGAACGCTGTCCTATCTGCCACTGTGCAATTAGCAAACCATACACGGATGCAGTAAGTTAAAATACTCTCTTTGGTGCAGCGTTAGAAGGCCACCAGCAGTTTTTCATTCAGTTGTCGTTTCCTGAGAAGTCTCAGGTAGCATAATCTCTCCTGGGCCCTTTTGACCAGTGCTGCAATGTAAGTGCTCCAAGTCAGGTCCTCTTTTTATGATAACACCCAGAAACTTAAAAACTGGCCACTTCCTCCACTTGGTCTCCATTGATAAGCAAGGGTCCCAAGCTGTTTGTGTTTCATTTAACACTTGTCTGTTTTGTTCTCTCTCTTCAGAACTTCGAGCGTTCCCGGGCTTTCACATTCCTGAATGAAATCAAGAAGAGGTTCCAGACCACCTATGGGTCTCGAGCACAGACCGCCCTGCCCTACGCCATGAACAGCGAGTTTTCCAGTGTCTTGGCAGCACAGTTGGTGAGATCCTGTGCCATAATTGCGAAGATCCTTCCTTTTGGGGGAAAGCGGAACTACGCACACCTACCTCTTCTGGAGCTGAACGTTGACCGTCTAATCTTCTGATGACAGGCTATGTTGAGTTAAAACCGGGTGGTCAGTTTTCTTTAAAGCCCAGGAGGATCGTTTTTGAGGCTGCATTATTATTATTGTTGCCTCTTTTAAAAACCACTCATAGGGAAACGGGTATGTTCATTTTAAATAGGATCCTTGTAGCTTTCCTTGAAAGGGACACGGTGGCTCAGTGGCTAAGAAGCTGAGCTTGTTGATCGAAAGGTCGGCAGTTCAGCGGTTCGAATCCCTAGCGCCGCGTAACGGGGTGAGCTCCCGTTACTTGTCCCAGCTTCTGCCAACCTAGCAGTTCGAAAGCACGTAAAAAATGCAAGTAGAAAAAATAGGGACCACTTTTGGTGGGAAGTAAAGTGTTCCATGCACCTTTGGCGTTTAGTCATGCCGGCCACATGACCATGGAGACGTCTTCGGACAGCACTGGCTCTTCGGCTTTGAAACAGAGATGAGCACCGCCCCCTAGAGTCAGGAATGACTAGCGCATATGTGCAAGGGGGGAACCTTTACCTTTCCTTGAAAAGTGCAAGCTGATTATGTCAGAAAGCATAAACGAAAGGAAGTGTTTATTGTTTTAGTTCACTTTAAACACTTCTAAGTGAAGACGAGCTCACCACTTGCTGAGATATGAATGAGCAGGTATTGCCGTTTAGGCAATTTAATGTTTAACCATAATTTAGTTCTCTCCAACTCTGCTCAATATTCTACAACAGGGGTGTCGAAACATGCGGTCCGCGGACCAGATCCAGTCCGTGATAGGCCCAGAGTTGTCCTTCAAGGCTGCCCTGGAGACAGTTATGGACTGGCCTGTGCCACCCCACCCCTCCCAGTCAGCCACGACTACCAGGCTACACCCACCCCATCCCCCCAAGGGCAAACATAATCCTGATACGGCCCACGATGGGATCGAATTTGATACCCCTGTTCTACAAGGTAGCTTTGTAGCTGTTGAGGATTTCTATCCTACCTTCCTTAAATGCTGTCTTTCTGGGCTGCTAAACTTACTTAGCTCATCTAGTCACTACAGCGGTTCAGGACTCTGCATGTTCTTTAATTTGGCTTCCTTAAAATATGGCTCCAAAAACGGTGCAAATGTCACTTAAGGCAACCAAAAAAAAAAAAAAGCAGAATTTTATTTTATCTCCTGGATGTGCTGATGCATCACAAGATTGCATTATTATACGTTAGGGGTTTTTGTTTGTTTGTTCAGCTAGACTTGGTTTACAAATAACCTCCCCAAGTTTCGTCTCTGCTGCTTATTCACATCTTTGATTTTCCGAAGCATTTAGTTTTCCTCTGTTCTTCTTCCATTTAGAAATATCACTCTGAGAACAAAGGTCCTGACCAGATAGTAGAGACCCAGGCTCAGGTGGACGAACTCAAAGGGATCATGGTCCGTAATATAGGTACGGGTGACAAAAGTGTATTTGAACCCCTATACACCACTGTAGATGCATTTGGCAAGGGCTGATGCTTTGTGGAATAGAGACTTGGTCTCTGACAGAAAGCCACTTGAAGGGATTGGAAGTATTTGAAATGTGGATTTACAGGCGGCTGTTACGTATAAGCTGGGTTGACAAAATCAGAAAGGATGAGGTGATAAACCACCTGGGAAAGCTAAGGGAAATTATCAAAGCCATTAAAAAGCAAAAGTTAGAATATTTCGGACATGTGATGAGACACCTGGAAAAATACGGCATACTTCACTTAATCCTCCAGGGAAAAATTGAAGGCAAACGAGGTCCAGGCAGAAGAACACCATGGCTTCAAAATCTAAGCGACTGGTATGGACGAAACTCAGCAGCACTTTATCATGGGCTGTTGGTAAAAATAGGATCACCATCATGATCGCCAATGTCCTATGGCAGATATGGCAGAAGAAAATGATTTGTGAGGAAGGGCATGAGTGGGAAAGGGACAGGAAGTGGGTGGACTGCATTTCAACTTACCGTATTTTTCAGACTATACGACGCACCTAAATTTAGAAGAGGAAATCAACAAAAAAAAGTTTTGGGGCCTTTTCAGGCCTTTTCCAGCCTTTTTTCTGCCCCTTTTCTAGGCTTTTTTCTGTGTTTTCTAGGCTTTTTTTGGCCCGTTTTTGAGGTTTTTTTCAGGCAATTTTCCCCTAAAAAGTTGGCCAAAAAAGCCTTGAAAACAGGCTGAATAAAAGCCTTGAAAATGGGTCAAAAACAGCCTAGAAAACGGGCTGAAAAAAGCCTCAAAAATGGACTCAAAAAACCCTCAAAAACGGGCTCAAAAAAGCCCCGAAAATGGGGCATGCAGAGGCAAAAAAACAGCCAGCAACTGGGTGGGGCTTCGGCACTATTCGGTCTATAAGACGCACAGAAATTTTCACCCCCTTTTGAGAGAAAAAAAGTGTGTCTTATAGTCCGAAAAATACAGTATTTAGATATAAATGTTTGGGTGGAACAAAAGAAGTAATTTGCATTTCTTTTCTTCTGTTCCTGCTTGAACCGCAGAGGTATTTTAGCTTCCCAATCTGCTGGATCCTCTATGAGCTTCTATGGGGTGCCTCAGACTCCCAAACTCTTAATTAAGGAACTTGCTCCAGTCATAATTAAATCAAGTACCTGGGCCAGAAACAGAGGACAGTACAATGCTATTGTTCAGCTTCTGTGGTTTAGGAAAACACCGTGGGAGAGTTGCTTCTCCATTGGAATGCTTATAATTGCTCTCCCTTTCATCCAAGATCTCGTAGCTCAAAGAGGAGAAAAGCTGGAACTGCTGATAGACAAAACGGAAAATCTTGTGGATTCGGTAAGTTCTGAAGATGGTGGGGTGAATCCTTTAGGATCGGCTCTATCTTAAGGGGAGGCCTGCAGGACTGGTGGGGGAGGAAATGCATACAAGACAAGTCTTGAACTAGTTGTGTTTTAGAAGGTAGAGCACGTGTTTTTGGAAAGCGTCTTCTAATGTTGGTATTTGAGACAGATGTTTCTTCACCAGAGTTCCATTTACCTAGCCAAATATTTCCCTTTGCAGAGCAAAATTAACATGTGCTGGTTGGCAATCTTTTGACCTTGCAGAGAGATATCAGCCAGTCTAGCATAGGCAATGGCAGCTGTTTTTGGGAATAACATTGCCTAAAAAAAAAAAATCAGTTGGGAATACGGTATTCCTTGTTAACATCCATTCATTCAGCAACTGGTTGAAGTTATGACTGCTGAATGAACTTACGATCAGTCCTTGAAGTCCTAACTGTTGCATTTCCCTGCAGTCACATGAACAACATTCGGGCCTGTCTACATTTACAACTGCCCCTCATGCCCCACGGAACCCAATCTAGTGGCAGGCAGGGCGGGGCGGCCAAAAGGAGAGAGATGGGGCAGAGGGGTTGAAATGGGAACAGTCCTTTGCCTTCTTCTGACAATAGCTTGGATCCACATTTCTCCCTAGGAACTGTGTAGGATTGCCAGGACTGCTGTTGTTAGGCAGTCACGTGATATTTTGCTTAACAACCATGCGGGTTAGTGATTAGAGTCCCAATTAGAGTCGTTAAGTGAGGACTACCTGTGTTCTGAATGCCAGCAAAGCCTGGCAAGAATCTCCAGCAGAGGGCAGTGTGGTTATTTCTGCTGTAATATTGAAGGTCATAGTACCGTATTTTTCGGAGTATAAGGCGCACCTTAGTTTTGGGGGAGGAAACTAGGGGAAAAAAAATTCTGCCTACCAGATATTCATCTGGCTAGTCCTTAGCCTGGTCAGCTTCAGCACATTAGTTGGCTCACTGGTTTTGAGGTTGGGGCTGGTTGGGGCTAAAAAACAGCTTCTAAAGCACAGCTGATCGTTGGAGGGAGCTCCAGTGACTAAAGCAGGCAAAGCGCGGAAGGGGTAAGAGAAGGAAGGGGCTGTTCTGGGTAGCCATTTTGGGCACTGCGCGTCACATTTTCAGCCTCCAAACGCATCGCATTTTCGGGCAGCGATCGGCGGCGATGTGCTTTGGCAATCCCCGCAGCTTTGAAGGGCTCTCAAACGGAACCTTTGGAGGCTGAAAATGCAACGCGCGGAGCCCAAAAAACACAAGCCATTGTCTGCGGCACTCTCTGCAGCCAGGAAGAGGACCCGCGGAGGCCGGCGGGTGGGCAGGGCTACATTCGGAGTATAAGACGCACCCGAATTTTCAGCCTCTTTTAGGAGGGAAAAAAGTGTGTTTTATACTCTGAAAAGTATGGTATTTGGATAGGAGACTTTAAAAAAACTGAAAAGGCATTCCAGAAGATACACTGGAAATATGAATGAAAACGACAGTTAACCTCGGCATCCCTTTGGTGGGGAGGAACTGATATTGTCTTCCGAACAGGCTGATGAAGTGTTGGGTGCGGGTCTGCGTTCAATCCTCTCCTGTGCTTTTCACCCTTCCAGTCCGTCACTTTCAAAACCACCAGTAGGAACTTGGCCCGAGCAATGTGCATGAAGAACCTCAAGCTCACCATCATAGTTGTCATCGTATCCATCGTAAGTTTGTGGGGGTTTTTTTCCCCTCCACCGGTATGAAGGGGAGGAACTCTGCGTGGCTATAAAAGGGAAATTACTTCTTATGTCCTTTTATCCTTGTGCTTGTCAATGAATTAATGGGCCGCAAGAGATCTATTTCCCTTATGGGAAGGACTCGGGGCGGTGTACAGCCAATTAAAAACACAAGGTACAAACAACAGTTTTAAAATTGTTAAAAGTATTAAACAATTTCGGCCCGAATTTAAAAGCCAAAATTTAAAACACCCAATTTAAAATCATTTACATAGATAGCCCTGCCTGGCGGAACAGCAGGGTCTTGAGGGCACAGCAAAACACACAGAGGTCGGAGATCTTGCGTATTTCCGGGGGCAGTTCGTTCCACAGGGCAGGAGCTCCCACAGAGAAGGCCCTCCCCATGGGTGTCGCCAGCCGACATAACTTGGCCGATGGCACCCTGAGGAGTCCCTGTCTGTGGGAGCGAATTGGCCGGTGGGAGGCTACTGGTGGCAGAAGTCGGTCTCGAAGGTACCCCGGTCCTAAGCCATGGAGTGCTTTAAAGGTGGTAACCAACACTTTGAATCGCACCCGGAAGACCACCGGGAGCCAGTGCAGCTCGCGCAGGAGAGGTGTCATGTGGGCGCAACGAGTTGCGCATATAACCACCCGCGCGGCCGCATTCTGGACCAGTTGGAGCTTCCGAGTGCTCTTCAAGGGGAGCCCCATGTAGAGAGCATTACAGTAGTCCAGCCAGGAGGTGACAAGGGCATGAGTGACCGTGCTTAACATCCATTTGAACGAGGGAAAAATAGGTGGCTTTTGCACGCTAAGGCGGCTAGCCCTACGAATTGTTTTCCTGCGGCGCTACGTGGAGGATGCTAAAGTTGCTAAATGCTTTCCTCCTCCCCCCACAGGTCATCATTTACATCATTGTGTCGGCTGCCTGCGGGGGCCTCTCCTGGCCAAGGTGCGTGTAGAAATAGCCGCCCGAGCCAAATCCGCCCCATGAAAGGACACACAGGCGCCCACAGGAATGTATGTCATCCAATTGTGGACTTTTCTCACACTTCATCCTTCCAGGACCACTCGAGAGTCTTTTTTGCCTTATCGCCTTGTAAGGTATGCTCCTTCAAAAACCCAAAGGATGTTTTTTTTTCTCCGAAACGAGCAGGACTTCCTGTGGAAGGAGAGAGGAGGGCAATGGACAAGGTATCTTTTAAGTATTTGCATCCTCATGCTTTGCACTTTACTTGGTGGAGCAGGTTGGGGGAGCTGAAGGCCCCCCGTAGACCTTAGGGGGGGAAGAGGTGAGTGATGACCACTGAAGTCAAACCGAGTTCTTGCTCACGGACCCAGCCCAGAGATGTGATCGGCTTTTTTTTTTTTACTAAAAACGGCTTTTTCCTGCAGTGCCTTTCTTAAAACTCATGACAGGCTGTGGCTTTTTCCCCTTTGAAGCTTCCTTTTGCGGCCCTTTCGTCGGGCGAGTGAAGAGGTTCTGCTTTTCAACTTGAGTGACTGGTAAATGTATAGTATTAACGTTGCTGTAAACATTGCTGCTATTCGTGATTTTTTTTGTGTGTGTCTTGGGTTCGTCCTCTCGCCTAGTTTGGAAGGTCCTTTCCGACTTTATGGTACTTTGCTCTGGCTTCATCTCCGGAGGTGTGTTCTAAAAGCTGTTTTAGCGCCTCCAAAGGATCACACCCTGTGCAAGATTCGGTGACTGCCCTCTTCTCTTTGAGCATGGTGGAGCTATTGTGCCTAGCTCAAAAAACACAAGAGGCAGGTGTTCTCCGAGTGGGAATTCCCCCAAGCTACTGATTTCCAAGGACAAAGTTAATAGAGAAGCATGAAGTATTTGAAAACCAATTTTTAATCTCAAACTGCCGTAAATTACTTGTGAAAAACTTTAACCCCCCCGCCTCCCATTTGCGCATAATGTAAAGGAGGACGAATCTTAAATAGGAAGGTTCTTAAATCTTCCCCGAGTTGTTGGCATTTTATGATCTCATCCTAGTTTTCTGAGGAGTCTCTGCTCGCTTTCCTCAGCATACTGCAGAGAGTAAAACTGGTGCACCTATCCTTGTTTCCTACAAGTCATGGTCTTCCCCTTCAAATGTCTCTGCAGGAACAAGCCAACATTGAATTAACTGTGCATGTTTTAAAAAAAGAAATGTCAATCGCAGTGGTTAATTTTCTATCATTTTGAATGCCTTTATGTAAACTGCTTCCTCCTCTTTTAATAAAATGATGCACTGATGCATTATTGTAAAATAAATTTAAAATCTGTTTAAATAAATGTACTTAACTGCAGACAATTGATATTCAGTTTTTTTTCTCGTCAAATACCTTCTTGACAGCTAAACTGCTTTTTTAAAGTCCTGGAGAAACCGGGATCCGACAAGTAGAAAAATAAAATCAGTGGGTTTATTTCAAAGCTTATACTGAGCTCTTATCGAAGAACTTCCACATTGCTGTGAGCTTCATGTGGTGGCAGTAGCTCTTTGATCTTGACTGCTGAGATTGTGGCAGGTTGTACAGTACTTGAAGACCTGAAGACATAGCTTTTTCAACAAATCTCCTGATCTGTTGGGAATTCAGTTTTAATTGTTGGGTTTTTAATTGAATTATTTTTCTATTTCATTTTATTGTTGTCGTTTTATTGTTGTGAGCCGCCCCGAGTCCTTCGGGAGAGGGGCGGCACATAAATGTGAATAAAATAAATAAAAAATACTTGGATTGGAGACTATCCAGACCATCAGCTAGAATGGGAATGTCGGAAGGCAGCAGTGGCAAACAATTTCAGGACCACTGCCACCAAACTGGATAGATGTATTACCCCCAGGGCGAATTACAAAAGTGGTCCAAAGTGATATTTTGCCCATAACCTTGTGTTTGCTTAAACAAAATTGTGTTAAGCAGAGGTGAGCGTCAGATACTGTAACAACCGGTTCGCACAGAACCAAAAATGTGAGCGTGCACACGGCATCGAAAACATGGCGATTATATAGGACAGGATAGTGCCAGGCTGGATGGGCGGGCCCAGCTGCTGGTCAGAACTACCGGTTCACACGAACCAGTCTGAACCGGCGGCAGCCCAACTCTGGTGTTAAGTGTTTACAGAATGGTTTGAAAATCTGAAATCAAATTCCGGCCAGCCTTTATTTTACAAGTAAGCATCCAGTAATACTTATAATTTAATAGCCATTTTTTCAGGGTGCATTTCTGATTGGGCAAAAACATTTTATGGTGTGCCTGTTTAACATCTGTTTACACATGGTCTGACTGACTTCTACTGTCTGATGACCCTTTGAAAACACTCTAAGTACCAGCTGGTCCATCTCTGAAATTTCAGCTGTTATTTCAGGAAGTATGGCAGGGAAGGTTGTATAACCATTCTTGTTTAAAGTATCCATCCTATTGCAGGAGATGACCAGTGAGCTCATTCACAAAGCATTTCAAGCAAGTAGGAGTTATACCTACTTATTAAGTCCGTGTGGCTACAATTAAGTGTTATTAACATTTCTGGATCAAAAGGAAACCACTTAGCCCAATGGCCAGGAAACAAATACAAACTGTCCGACTATACCAAGTATTCACTCATTTGGCAAATGACTAACAGGAAAGCTTAAAATTGCTTCATGAATTCTCATTGTGTGTTTTTATGGGTCACCGCCTCGGCTTTAACTATATCAAAGCATTACCGATGCATTTGCTAAGTGTCAGTGTATTTTTCTCCCAACATCATAATGGATCTTGTTTGAGAGAAGACATTGTTTCAGGATAGTGTCTACCAGGGTAGATTTGATTTAAATCAAGTCGATTTAAATCAACTCAATTTAAATCACAATTTTTAAAGAGCAACTGTGATCTCTGCTACTCCCCTGACCCGCTGTTGACTTACCAACAGTCCCAATGTTGCTGAATATAGCGCCTCATGCTACATAACTAAGCTCCATTTCATGCTGAATAAACTAAATTATTTATGTATTTTAAATAGAAAACTATCTTTAGATAGATTTTTACTCCAAAAGCATTTTATTAAAATAAATTTGATAAAAATAAAAAAAATCCGATTTAAATTAAGAAAATTGATTTAAATTTTTAAAAAAATCAATTATTTGATTATTTTTTTAAAAAAATCATCTATTTTTATCCACCCTGGTGTCTACTACAGGTAGTCCTTGACTTATGACCTTAACTGAGCCCAAAATTTCTGTTGCTAAGTGAGGCTAAGTGACTTTGTTACACGAACAAAATGATTCACATTTGTGAAGTGAGTCGCTGCAGTTGTTAATAACATGGTTGTTAAGTGAATCTGGCTTTGTCATTGAAACGTTGCTTGTCAGAAGGTCACAAAAGGTGACCACATGACCCTGGGACACTGCAACCGTCATAAATTTGAGTCAGTTGCCGAGTGTCTGAATCTTGATTATGTGACCATGGAGATGCTGCAACAGTTTTTAAGTGTGACAAATGGTCATAAATCACATTTTTTCAGTGCCGCTGTAACTTTGAACAGTCACTAAATGAACCGTTGTTAAGTCGAGGACTATCTGTGTTTCTGCCTATGTAAAGAAAGCCAGCAGGACGCAAATTTTGCTACTAAAGACAAGGTAGCACTAGAGCCCCCTTCACATTTATTAACTACAATATCAAGTCACATTGGTGGCAAGAAGTAGGGTTGGCAGATGGGCCAGTTTGCATTCCCAGGTATGATTGTATTCTTGCATTTGGCAAACTCCAAGAGCCACAAGATTTAATTTAAAAAACCAAGTTCCTTCATCCAAAAACAAACCTTCCCCACCCCACCCCTCTCATCACCAAAAAAAAACCCCTGGACAGTAGAAAAGACTTGTACAAAAGAAGAAAGGTAGATTTTAGTATCAAGGAATTAAGTGACGGTCATGAGAGAACGAAACACTTCCAAGTGCATTTTTTTTTAGCTGGCAAAGGTGTTGCTACCACCCCCACGAAAACCCGCCTAGCTAAAAGATAAAAAGGAAGAGAGTAAATGGGTAAATAAGACCTCACATTATCAGCCTGCAGGCAAGAGCACATAATAAACAACTCTTGGGAGACAACGGGCATACCAAGCTTTTAAGACATTCTCCTGTGACAGACGATGCACGCTATAGCTATTGTTGTTAAAAAAACCTTTTCTTCAAATTTTATAATAATAAAAGTAGTGAAGATACCTGTTCGGGACAAGTAAAAAAAACTCCTCTGAATTTTCCTAGAAAAGTTAAGTTACACCAAGTGACATAAGAAAGAGTCATTTCTAATTATGTTTACCTTATCTAGCTGCCTTTTGCAAAGGGGAGGAAAAAAACCCCCACCCCACAGACTCAAAAACGCCTCATTGCCACAGGAGCACCATCCCACGCTCTTCTCCTTCCTTGTTGTGTACCATGAACGAATCTTCAAATGTGTGCCTCGGGCCACACCTGTACCTCCAGGTACAAGAACTACCGTAATCAAGGCTCAGCAGTAAGACAAGAATAGCAGGAACAAAAAAAAAAAAATCCAGCCATCAAGGTCCAAAGAAAAAACAAATGTCCCAAATTCATCATTCCAGTTTGTCAAGCGTGGTGGCAATGGGGAGGAAACGGAGGCCTTAAGCATGTCCTCCTGCCCAGCCAGCTGGGCTGTTGTCCAGTTACATAACCCAACAAACAAGTCATTGTTCATTATTCTCCTTTTTTTTTTTTGGTTTGGTTCAGTAACATCCATCTTTCCAAGAGTCGTCCACAGGGATGCTGGCCTTTGGATACCTGTTGGGATGTACACAGACAGACATTTTATTTGCACAACGCTTTAATAAACAGTATTCAGGAGACAGAACTCATTATCTGTTACTAGTCTTAAAAAAATATTTATCTAAAAGGCAAGTATCTTCCGCTATTTGGTTTGGCTCGCAGTGTGTCAGATCGCTGCAGAATAAAACTAGGTAGGGTATAAAGTTTCTAAAAGGAGCAATCCTGCAGTTTTATAGATGCAAGTCAAGTTGCTCGTTACTCTCAATTGCGCCTCCGAAATGCATCACGGGGCAACCCTGTGCTCTCCTCTCCTAGATCCAGTCTGAAACTGGGAAAGAGGAAGGGGGATTCTTTACAATTCAGGGAAATCTTTCCAGCTTTCAGCTGGCATTGTTCTCTGATTTGCTTGGTTGGCTCAGTTTCTTAGCCATCTGGGAGCCGGAAAAGGCCCTTGAGATCAATGCTGTTGGCAAAGTCAGGCATTTAGACTGCAATCCAAATACAGGTAGTCCTTGACTTACAACCACAAACTGAGCTCAACGTTTCTGTTGCTAAGTGAGACATTTGTTAAGTGAGTTTTGCCCCATTTGATGACTTTTCCTGCCACGGCTGTTAAGTGAATCATTACAATTGTTAAGTTGTTAACGTTGTGAAGTGAATCTGGCTTTCCCCATCAAGTCTGCTCATCAGAAGGTCACAAAAGCTGATCACATCACCCTGGGACACCGCAACCGTCATAAATATGAACCAGTTGCCAAGTGCCTGAATTTTGATCACATGGCCAGGGAGATGCTGCAATGGTCGTAAGTGTGAAAAATGGTCATGAGTCACTTTTTTCAGTGCCGTTGTAAACCGTCACTAAAGGAACTGTTGTAAGTCAAGGACTACCTGTACACCCTCTGTAGGAGCTTTTAGGTCTCTCACCTCTTGGCTGGCTGGCTCAACTTGCTCTTCAGAGTGGATGCTCCTGCAACCGATGCTTTATTTTTAGGAAGAGAGCTTTTTACTCCTGAGGCCATGCCGTTGCTCCGGTACACTGAACTGCCGCTATTCGAAGCGCTTGGGTTCAACGTGGAAGACTGTAGCTTTCGGACACGGCCGGCCGGACTAGCATACCCAGCAGATCTAACTGGCTGCCGTGGGGTTAGAAGAGTGTTAGCACAGGGGCCTGCTTTCACAGGCTGACGGACTGTCAGGGGGGACTGCCCAGCACCGGAGGAATAACGGAGTTTATTTGGAGTCAGGCCTTAAAACAGAAGGGAGGGGAAAATAGAAACGGTATTAATAATTATAAAATGAGGATCAATTTGGGGAGTGTATCCAAAAGGGAACGGGACGCGGTGGCTTGGTGGTTAAGATGCTGAGCTTGTCGATCGAAAGGTCGGCAGTTCTTCAGTTCGAATCCCTAGTGCCGCATAACGGGGTGAACTCCTGTTACTTGTCCCAGCTTCTGCCAACATAGCAGTTCAAAAGCAGGTAAAAAATGCAAATAGAAAAATAGGGACCAGCTTTGGTGGGAAGGTAACAACGTACCGTGCGCCTTTGGGGTTTAGTCATGCCGCCACATGACCACAGAGACGTCTTCGGACAGCGCTGGCTCTTCGGCTTTAAGCGGAGATGAGCACCGCCCCCTAGAGTCAGGAACAACTAGCACAAATGTGTGAGGGGAACCTTTACCTTTACCTTTTATCCAAAAGGGATCAGAAGGAGAGAAATGTTTTCAAGCAAATTCACGCGGCTAAAGCAGATCCAGGCCATAGAGGGCTAGAGAAATCAAGCTGTCCACTGAATCCACAAATTAAAAGGTAAAAGTTTCCCCTGTCCAGTCATGTCCAGGTCTAAGGGGCCGTTTTTTAGCCTAGGGAGCCAGCATTGTCTGAAGACATCTCCATGGTCATGTGGTCATTTTAGGCCAAGGGGCACGGAGTGCTGTTACCTTCCCACAGAAGTGGTACCTATTCATCTACTTGCATATTTACCTGCTTTCAAACTGCTAGCTGGGCACCACAAATTAAATTAGTAGCCAATTCATTTGGCAAAACATATAGCAATACGACAGCAAATGAAGCTGCCGTATTGTGGACAGCTGAAATTCATGAGCGATTTTCAAGGGCAGCTCTAAGCAGAACACATTAGAATAACCCAACTGAGATTTGTACACTAAGAATGACTGTAGTCTGGCACATTTCTTCAGAGAAGGCCCAGCTGATATCCCAGATGAAGTTGTGAAAAGCGTTTCTGGTTTTTTTTAAAAAAAAGAGAGATCTCATTGTTTCAAATCGTGTGCCAGATTTAAAAGCTGCGGCTTCTAAAAAGTGGATTTGGAAGCAATGGTGCAAGTTGCCACTGTATAAAGGCCCTAATTCTTATCCGTGGGAAAAGATTTTCATTTGAGATGCCTTTTTTTTTAAAAAAAGGGGAAGTTGTACTTAGTGTTATTGTACTTAATGTGCCAATTAATGTGTCAACTGAGTTGTACTTAATGCGTCAGCCACTTGCCTGAAATGGTAGGGTCTCCTGCTTGAGCAGGGGGTTGGACTAGAAGACCTCTAAGGTCCCTTCCAGCTCTATTCTGAATTGCAATTGAACTAAAAACAAACAAGGTTCCCAAAGAACTTCCAAATTTAAAACTGTTACTTCAGGGAACGTGCAGCCCCATTAAAACCTGTGGCAAACTAAGATCTCTCAAACAACATGCTATCTTTCCTACTCTGCGGTAGGAAATGTCATGGAACACTCTGAGAAGAAGAAGCCAACTTACTGACGGATTCCTGATGGATTCTAGAGAGTCGACTACTGGGAATCTGTAAATCTGAGTCCAAGCTCCGGCTATTTCTTACTGACTCCAAAGATCGCAGACCGGTCCTAGCCAGGTTAGGCATACTGTGACGCAGTTCCTCTGTGAAGGATAACATAACAAGAATTGAAAAAATCCAACTACTGCTATCTAACCTTCTGGTCCAAAAACCCGGGCGAGATTCAGAAACGGGACCACGCTACCTTCGTTTGAAGAATACTTTAGTCTATCTTGCATTGGGCTCTGCACTGTCCTCCGCGGGGGCCGAATTCGGGTATTTGTGGCCCTCCCGTAATCCGCGTTTGTGGACGGAGACTGGCATCGCGGTGAGCTGAGTGGGGATGGAGAGTATCTGTGACTGCTGTGATAGGAGAAAGAGCAGTCATCGTCCTCATCTTCCAAACTGTATGTGTCAAAATCCTGGTCACTGTAGGTGCCCCTGCGCAAGGAGTGTAAGGAGGCACTGGAACTGCGGCGGGAAACGGAGGCAGAGCTGGAGGCACAATCCTGGCGAAGACCTGAAGAAAAGCCAAGGCCAACAGAAGACATGGTTACTTCTAGCAATATCAATTCCTGACAAGACAACTGATTAAATATGATGTAAATTTCAGATGGCTGATACCTGAGGGAATATTATTAGTCACCTGGAATGAAAAAAAGATACAGCCTGGATTCCATAGATAAAGCACACGAATTCTATGATCATCACTTCAGTTCATATGAGGAACGAAGGAGAAGAGAGGAAATAGAAAGTAAAAGACAAGAGGAAGTAATAGGAGGGGAAAATATACAAGAAGAAAGTGAAACTGACAAAAAAAGAAAGAGCAGAATGAGAATGAGCAACGGCAAAGGAACAGAGAGAAATAAGATCAACTAGAACGACAAGACCCATTTATAAGTGAAACGATGGAAGAAGAAATAAAATTATTGTCAATGAACATAAACGGATTGAACTCGCCTATGAAAAGGAAAAGAACTTTTACCAAATTACAAAAATTAAAATTAGATTTAATTTGTCTTCAAGAAGACATAGTTACTTCTTGATCATGCTGTTTTTAGCATACCTGTGATGACATTTTAATATTTCCCACCCACGAAAGGGCTAGCAAAGCAAAGATGAAAGCAACCACATCAGACATGTAATGAAACCCAGGCGAAGCAACGGCAGCATTTTCCGCTTGCAGCCTCAATCATTTTAAAGGCGCCAAAATGAGGGTTGCAATCTAGCTTTAACATCTCTGGAGACACAATTAATCCCAGAACAAGTAGTTTATGTGCATTTCAGCACTCGTAACCAGTATCTGCATTTTGGGGCAGAATAACAATCGAGTGTTTTAATAGGGACAGCATATTGTAAATCCACAGGGCCTCCCTCAGACGTTTAGGCAAATATCAACGTATCAACTTTTTCATTCTACGACTTTTTCATTTTACACATGTTTATCAGTAAGAAACCAAATGTTTGATGCAATATATAGTAAAGATTCTCCTCGCACATACGTGCTAGTAATTCCCGACTCTAGGGGGCGGTGCTCATCTCCGTTTCAAAGCCGAAGAGCCAGCGCTGTCGGAAGACATCTCTGTGGTCATGTGGCCGGCATGACTCAATGCCAAAGGCACACGGAACGCTGTTACCTTCCCACCAAAGGTGGTCCCTATTTTTCTACTTGCATTTTTTACGTGCTTTTGAACTGCTAGGTTGGCAGAAGCTGGGACAAGTAGCGGGAGCTCACCCTGTTACGCAGCATTAGGGATTCGAACCACTGAACTGCCGACCTTTCAATTGACAAAGCGTCTTAGCCAATGAGTCACCGCCAATGAGCCACCGCGTCCCTCTTGATGCAATATACTGAGCTATAAATGACCTTAATTTACCAGAAACAAAGTAGGATGCTGTAGTTCTTTCACAAAGGTGGAATTTCAAAGCTGAATGATCCATAATGAGATAGTCTAATGTAACCTGCTCTAAAAGCAAGACTTTTCTTTCTTTCTTTCTCAATCTGGAGAAGAAAATACTTTTTCTTCTCTTCTCCAGATTGTTGGGGGCAATATGCTGACGCTGTAAACCACTCAGAGAGGGCTGTAATGCACTGTGAAGAGGTATATAAGTCTAAGTGCTATTGCTATTTTCCCCAAAGATTGTCAAGCTATGCTGGAACACGCATGTACTTCAGGAGCATCTGCAATGAGTTCAAGAGCAGGTGCTTCTAGACAGACATAGCCAAAGCAACAACAAACATGTTTCTTCGTATCATTAAATGGGGACATCTAATTTACTAGCAGGGGCTAGTAAATTGCCCACCTAAGAAGCTATCTGTTTGTTCTCTTGGACTGTTAGAATGAGTGAAAATTCTGTAAGTGGAAAATTAGTATTTTGTATTATTGTTTCAAAAAAAAAAAAAATCATCCTGTAAAAGGTGATGTGGAGACAGAAATACTATAAATTGCTTTCACCTACTTTCTTCCTGTAGGCGGGCCATAACTTGCACGTCAGTCAAGTCCTGCAGTTTGTAGCCCATTGAAATCGAGTCGTCCGAGGTACTAAGTTCGCTATCGACAGAAGACTGAGAGCTCAAAGCTGAATGCATGTTCAAGTAACCTTAGAAAGAGGTGGGAGAGAAGGAAAAGGTGAGAGTGAGGAAGCTAAAGATAGTTATAATATACACAATTGTACAAGCACTGTAGTAGTATGCACTCCCCCCCCCAGTTTTGTACTCAAACACCTTTACAAGGTAAACAAATTTATTAAGGATTGACCAGCAATGATTTCAAAGTGAGAGAGTTTTTTCAATATTCAATACGGAGGAAAGTTATCCTGCCATATATGGTAACTGTAGAATTCTGTTATTAAAATCGCCATTCCAGTTAATCTTTCCTATCCTAATGTCCCAGATGAATGGGCATTACTCTGAGCTGCCTCCTACAAACTTTTGGCAACTCTGTTTCTGTGACGTGCAGGGAAAGAAAAGGATTATAGACTGTAAAATAGTTTGGATGGAGCCACCAAGAGGCATCAAAACTAGGTCAAACATAATTACATCATTTCCTATAACAGCAGAAATACAAAACTGTGTTTGTGAATGCAAAGTCAACTTACTTTATTAGCTACATTTTAGTTTTTATACTATGAGTGAAGGGTTTCCCTAACAGCATGTGGCTGAAGATATTAGTCATCATCCTCTACTAAAAAAGAGCAAGCATGCCAATATTAACATGTGTTGGCTTTACCAGATCATCAGTTCTTCATGAATTTAGGGTTTCTTAAATTATATCAGTCAAGATGACTCTGCAGATGGACGAGGATTTTTGAAAATTAATCTTTTCAAATTCAAAGTGTGAATTTAAGATAATGCCCAAGCCTGCTGCAAAACATATTCTGTTTTTGGTTCGAATACTTCAGAAAAAAGTGGTTATTTTAAGAAGAAGAAAAAATAGACAAGACAAGAGAACCAGCAGACATTTTGGCCACCAAGTTGCACTGTAAACATGTTACTAGTTCACAATTGATTGTTTCTAGCCTTCCCCTCAATATACTTTATAGGTCATTTTGACATAAAAAAAGGGGGGGCATTATTTGCTTGACTGGCCAGAGCAGATTATTGTTAGACAAGCAGGCTACTTATTTACGAAGTCCTGGATACGTTCAAAGAAGCAGTCGCTTAGTCATTAAACAAGAAACTAAGCTAATTATATGGCAAGATTCATGTGTGTTTAAACAGGATAAGCATTCGTGACTAACCACAGCAATCTTAATTCCCTTCTAAGCAGCACTGTCATGTTTGTTACTCAGAAAGCAATTAAAATTACTAAAAGCAGTGTAGGATCAAACAAGAGAGATTACCATTCTCAGAGTTAGCAACAGTTTGGATGGCTTTCAAAAGTAAATTCATAGGGAACAAGGGGAGCAGGTCAAAACTCAGATACTGCTCAGATATTGCTGAGCACATTGTAAGCCGCCCTGAGTCTTCGGAGAAGGGCGGCATATAAATCAAATTAAAAAAATAATAATAATAATAAAAAAAAAAAAAAGATACAGAAATTAAAACAGACCTTACGGCCATTCCAATCTAGAGTGAGGGCTCTCCACTTACAGGGTGGATTTGATTTAAATGAAGTTGATTTAAATCATGATTTAAATCACTAGTAAAAAGGCTTGATTTAAATCAACTCAATTTAAATCGTAATTTTTAAAGAGCAACTGTCATCTCTGTCCTGCAGTGGCTCCTCCTCTGACCCGCTGTTGACTCACCGACAGTCCCAATATTGCAGAATATACAGCCTCATGTTACATAACTAAGCTCCATTTCATGCTGAATAAACTAAATAATTAATGTATCTTAAATAGAAAACTATCTTTAGATAGATTTTTACTCAAAAGCATTTTATTAAAATAAATTTGATAAAAATAAAAAAAATCCGATTTAAATTTTAAAAAACCCGATTTAATTTTTTTTAAAAAATCATCGATTTTTATCCACTTAATATTCATTGGAGAAATAAAATTCTTGTTCCTTTCAATGGGACTTTCCCTCCCAAAACAAACTACCATGTGGAAAGGTAAAGATCCAGAAACTAATCAAGAGCAAAGACTTAAAACTGCCACGCTGCACCTCCTGTCTGTCTACAGTTAATCCTGTCCAATCGCTGCAACTGATTTACTGAAATCATACGAACGACTGCTAATTGTATAAGTAACAGAAGCAAACTACAACAGCAACCTCCCTGGGTAAAATTCTGTACAGAAATATTTCTCAACTGTGGCAACGTTAAGACTTGTGGACTTCAGCTCCCAGAATTCCCCAGCCAGCTTTGCAATACAGCATTGAATATTTTTGCTATATATTGTTATACAGATATTCACCACTATTGCATTGCTATACAGCAGGGGTGTCAAACTCAAGGCCAGCGGGCTGGATGCAGCCCACGGAGTGCTTAGATCTGGCCCACAGGGCCACCCTGGAAATAGCGAAGGACCAGCCTGCACTGCCTCTGCCAGCGAAAACGGGCTCCCAATCTCTGTTTTCGGCTGGGACGGCTTCCTGCAACCCTCTGCCAGTTAAAATGGAGCTCGGGAGGGATGCACACTCGCTGGCAGAGGGTTGCAGGAGGCCGTCCCATCCGAAAACAGATTAGGAGCCCATTTTCACTGGCAGAGCACTCGGGCCACCACAGGCGCCCCTGGTGACGTCAAGCTGGCCACGCCCCCCAGCCTCCCCCGAGGTCAAACATAACCTTGATGCTGCCCTCAATGAAATCAAGTTTGACACCCCTGCTATACAGTATCACAAAATACACCGATTTAGTTGGCAGGATAAAGAAAGCAAAATGTTGGATTTGAGAGCAAGGTCTGTAAGGACCCCCCCCCCCCCCCCCCCGTTCTAATTGATTAATTTCATTGGTGGCTCCATCAAGTGGAAGGAGAATTTCCAGTTCAGCAAAAAATGAATTTTCACATGACTGCAATCAAAATCATGATAAAGGCCTGCAAAGAGATGCCAAATTTCAGACTTGCAGAGCAAGCAAGAGTACCAATTTAAAAGCTGCTTGATATGTAGGCAGTCACTACATGTGGCCTTCCCTCATTAGTTGCAGTTTGAGGATACTATATCATAATTCATTAATGCACTAAATATGAAAAAAAATGTATTTTGGGATTCACTCGTTGCTCTGAAAGGTTTATTTGTTACAGAATTCTCAAATAATCGGTCTAAATTAAAAAAAAAACAATTTAGAATGTAATTTCTGTATTGCTATTTGATCTGTCTTTAGGGAAGTGAAAACACTGAATTGGCAGCAAACCAGATAAACTGGGCAGTTTCTGTGACTGAAAGGAAAGAAGAAAGGATCCAGTAATAAAAGACAAAAATAATCAAGTACAAGTTAATGTTATAGCCTCCATTTGACAAAGGAAATTCAGTATTGTCTTTTATTAGAATGTAAGATGTCAGTAATTTAGTCTTAATAGGCAGGGATTACTTCACTTACTTTCCCTACCGGTTCGCAAATGTGGGTGCGTGCATGCTTCGCTAGCACGCGCCCCATCCACACATGCGCCCGGCCTCAAAAATGTGCCTAAATAGGATAGCATAGAGCATAGAGATAGCATTTCCGCTACTGGTTCCAGCGAACTGGCTGAATACCACCTCTGTTAATAGGTTTTCTCCACCCCAAATATCCAAGAATAGTTAGAAAATGGTTTAATGGTATTTCATTTGTCCTTATTTTTAAAAAAATCAAGCATGCAATAAGCGATTGGCTTTTAAATGCTGGTTCTAAATGCAAATCAACTCTCTGTACAGCTAGGTGAGTTTTGCAAGCTGTTTCAGCTATCACCTTCAAAGCAAACTGGTCATTCCAACTTTTCGAAAACTTCAGGCAGAGCAGACAAGACATGTGGAGGTCTATTTATTATAGACTTAGGACCACAGGTAGTCCTCGACTTACAACAGTTCATTTAGTGACCGTTCGAAGTTACAGCGGCACTGAAAAAAGTGACTTACGACCGTTTTTCAGACTTACGACTGCTGCAGCATCCCCATGTTCAAGTGATCAAAATCCAGACGTTTGGCAACTGGCTTGTATTTATGACGGTTGCAGTATTCAGGGGTCGTGTGATCCCCTTTAGCAACCTTCTGACAAGCCAAGTCATTGGGACAACCAGATTCACTTAACAACTGGGGCAAGAAGGTCGTAAAATGGAGCAAAATAAATGTTTCACTTAACAGCAAAAATGTTGGGCTCAGTTGAGGTCATAAGTCGAGGACTACCTGTATAAGCTTATTCTCACCAACCGTGGGAGAGGATATATATATACATGCAAGTTAAAACATTTTCACACACATAAAGCAACAGAGGAATGCCATGCTAAAGAGGATTCTCCATTTTCCTAAGGGATAATCAAATGCCCTGGGTCTAAAGGAGACGGGCCAGACAATGGTCCTTGATCCCAAAAATACAGACCTTTTATGTGGGAGGGACGGGGACCGGGGGGGGGGACCAAATTAGCACAAAGAAGCAAGAAGATTTAAATAAGATTTCTGGAAGCATTAGATTGAAGAAGCCCTTAGATCAGGGGCGTCAAACTCAAGGCCTGGGGGCCTGAAAGGGCCTGTGATGTGGTTAGATTCAGCCCATGGGGCCGTCCTCAAAAATGTAAGGTTGCCGGCCTGCGACGCTTCGGCCCGGTCTAACCAATGCAAAGAGGAAACATGCCAGCAGTTTGGGGAGTGGCATCAGGCTGGCCACGCCCACCCAGTTGGTCACACCCACCCAGTCAACCATGCCCGGCCGGCCCCCCTGAGATCAACCACAGCCCTGATGCGGCCCTCAATGAAATTGAGTTTGACACCCCTGCTTTAGATCATCACGTTAAACTGAACAAAGCAAACCAGTCACATCTTGTCCTCCCTCGGTATGCATTTCCCACCTCCATTCCTCTAAAAAGTATCCCAGATGCCATGCCATACCTGAGCTACCGCAAGTTAGTAGTGGTTTGTTAGTTGATTTGTAGTGCCCAGGAGAGTTTAGTGCATTGCTACAGGACCCTGTGTCTGCATTCAAGTTATGCACACTTGGAGACGCCAATGGACTGCAATACAGGGATTTCCACCTACTGGCTAAAGGAAGATACAAAAAAAGCCACGAATTGTTACCACATTAAACACAGAAACTCTGATGAGGAGAGAGAGAGAGAGAGAGAGAATGTCAAACCACATCTCCATGCGTTACATGCCAGACACACTCACCCCCTGAGTCATGATACAAACCAAATTCAATTTCCAATTATGGCTGACAGATTAATCTCTGGAATTAAAACAAAGGAAGACAATCCTTAGTTCTCCGTGGGCTATCCTGTCTTAGCATCTGGGACTAGCAGGTGTCCGACAAATATATGCTGCGGTGTGAATTTTACAATGTTCACATTGTTGGACATACTTGAGTCAGTTTGAAGTGCTAAAGGGAATTCTGAAAGATGAGCTGTGGTTCTTCTCTACAGCTTCCCAAGTAACAGGCTAGATGAGAAGATATCTAGTATTATAGGCATTTTTCTCCAATGAAGAAATGCATAGCTTGCCATCTCTTATCCTGGAATGTGGATATACATTAAGGTGTAAGTTTCCCAGCTGGACAATCTTAGAGATACTATTATATGTCAAAAAATTTCAACATGAATCAGGTTTCTGGAGTTACGAAGGACAGATACAGGTAGTGTGGTCTAATGAAAATATTATCTAGTGGGAAAACTGTTCTGGGCCCATTTCTCAAAATGCTTCTTTCTGGCTAGGTATGATGGGACTGTAAAATTGTAGCATCCCAAGAGCTCCCAAAAAACTTGAACAGACCTATTAAAACCAAATAAAGATTTCCCATCATTACCTAGGGGCTGAGTTTTAAAACAATATTGAAAATTCAAAAAGGGATGGCATTATTTATGAAAAACAATCATTTTATTCTGATCTACATCGTCCTCACATTCTAGGAGTGGATGACAAGTTTCTTTAATCTGTTGACAAACTTGCTAATTTGTTTTAAGTTGTTACAGCGTTCAACTTAACACACTTTGAAAAAAAACAGTATTTAGCTAGCAGTGTTATACAATTGTTCTGTTTCCCTGAGAATGTAATATGATGCCAGATGACAAAATCAAGTTTTCATGCAAAAATCTCTCTAAAACCATTCTTTGGTTTACTGTAATAATGTTTTCCACAGTAGCAAGATACTCAAATTATAATTATTCAGAGGGCAGCAACTTACAGTACTGAATGTATTGTAGGTGCCAGAATTAAAATAAGTTTTTATATTTTTAAGTGCTATGTGCCAACGAGTAGAGTTTTATATGTATGTGAATAATGAGTTACATTAAAGGACTATTTCAAATGAAACAGTACAATATAAAAACATTTGAAAGAAAGTATTTCCTTTAAGGTTTGCAAAATATATTTTTAAAAGATTATCCCAAGGTATCTCAATATCTTAAGATATTAATCTTAATATCAAGTGGAACAACTTGCCTCCAGAAGTTTTAAATGCTCCAGCATTGGAAGTTTTTAAGAAGAGATTGGATAACCATTTGTCTGAAGTGGTGTAAGGTTTCCTGCCTAAGCAGGGGGTTGGACTAGAAGACCTCCAAGGTCCCTTCCAACTCTGTTATTCTATTCTATTCTTATGAGGGCAGAGGAAATTCTCTAACTAGGGCTTCTAGTCCAAAGGATCATGTAAGCTTTCTAACTTGGGGCAAATCCAGAAGCAGGCATAAAAGATGGCTGGGTGATTTAAGGCTAGTCATCCCTCTCTCAATTCAATCCATCTCACAGAGGAATAGTTGGGGGGAAATACGAGGCAGGAGCATAATATAGGCCAGTGATGGTGAATCTTTTCGGCACCAAGTGCCGAAAAGGGAGCGGGCACATGCTTCTGGGCCACAATCAGGAAGAGGAGCAGCCCAGGGCGCATGAGCGCGCCCGAAAATGAACTTCCGGTTTCAGCTACTGAACTTCCGGTTTCAGCCAGCTATTCCTCCGGGTTTCTAGCGCGCATGCACACGCGAAAATCAGCTGGTCGGCACACATGCTCACGCAGGAAAATGGAAGACCAGCTCTTCTAATTTCTGGCACTGCCGCATGCAAAAAGGCCAGCTGATTATCGCACGTGCATGTGCTCCAGAAACCCGGAAGAGGAATGGGCGACGCGCGTGCCAGGCGACATGACTACATGTGCCACTTCGGGCACGCGTACCATAGGTTCGCCATCATGGATATAGGCTAACTTGAGTTGTACAAAATAAAGGCAGGATATAAATATAATAATCATAATTGTGATTAGCTCAGCGATATCCCACTTAAGCACTAGGCTGGGTTTGATCTGTATCAAGCGAATGCAAAAAGGCCCTGATTTCAAGGGGTTATAACTGATCTTATGATCCAATTCATTTTTCTCGAGTCTTCTCCATTATGCCGAGTTCTTTAAAATTGCAATAGTTAACAAATCAATCCTACTAGCTTTCTTGGTGATCGCTTAAGGCTTCTTTCAAGACAAAACATAGGCCTACCTTGGTCGAGTCTGCTGATGAGGGTACGGCAAGCTGCCTCGGTCTCAGGACTAGGGTGATCCAACACCTGTCTACACCACTTCAGGGGAGATTCCTTGTTATCTGTCGGTGGTTTTCTTGGAGAAACATACAGCCTTAAGTGGGAAGATAAAAGGTTTTAACTTGACAACTTGATTGGAGCAACTATTTCGATATCTCTATGCTTCCATTAGTATTTTATCAATAAATGTCAAATATTACAGCAAAGAAATATAACAAGTCTTCCCCTTCCTTAACTATTTGGGGGTCAGACAAAATTATTTCCATTTTTAAGATGGATTCCAATTTCGTCATTCATCCAATAATGAAATTATCTATCCTGCTGTACTTTCTCGTAAGTCTGCTTCATTTTCTAACAAACAGGTAGTCCTCGACTTATGACCACAATTGAGCCCACAATTTCTGTTGTTTAATGAGACAATTGTTAAGTGAGTTTTGCCCCCATTTTATGACCTTGCTTGCCACAGTTGTTAAGTGAATCACTGCAGTTGTTATGTTAGTACCATGGCTATTAAGTGAATCTGGCTTCCCTATTGACTTTGCTCGTCAGGAGATTACAAAAGGAGATCACATGATCCCAGGACGCTATGACCAAAATATGAGTCAGTTGACAAGCATCTGGATTGTGACCATGGGAATGCTTCAATGTCCCAAGTGTGAAAAACGGTCGTAAGTCACTTTTTTCAGTGCTGTTGTAACTTTGAACGGTCACTAAATGAACTGATGTAAACGAGGACTACCTGTACATAATTTTTTTGCTAAGGAAATAATGATCAATGGCAGGAGAAACATTTTAATATTTGTGTAAAACAATGATTGGTCGATGATTGTAAGAGATGTAATATCTCTTCAATTTTTTTTCAAAATACACTATTTAGGTAAATACTTGCAATCTTAATAAGAATAGTCCTAGCAACTTATCCTCTGAATGATCTGAGTTAATTATAACTTTGAATCCCTATAGCAGAACTTATTCATTCTTTTTTAAAAAATCATTTTTTAAAAAATCCTCAGACCCTTTTTCAAGTATAGCCCCCTTCCTACTTCTAGCAAGCATCTTCCACTTCCCAGGGAGGAAAAAAAATCCAATAATCCAGTCTCCAATCTCTTTCATCTAATCCAATTATTTTTTCAATAACGAGCTTAAGGAATGGTTACTTAAGGAATTGTTGCTTAAGGTGACCTTACATCTTACATTTTGCTATGTGTACAGATCAACTATTATGCAAATACCTGTAATACTAATAGAAATACTTTAAGGAACTCTATTTGGCAATAGTCTTCACTCCATTTGGCAATCTCTTATGAGAAAAGTGGCACTCTAAATAGAAATATAGGCTTCCTGATTTCCCATACCTGTTTTCCTTTCTGTTTCTCTTAAACATTTTAGACCACAGGTTTTTTTTACAAATTAATCCCCTTTCTTTCACACTGTTCATTTTCCTGTCACACTGCTACGCTCACTGATGTTTTTGAGGGCCAGTGGACTGAAAGAGAAACAGAATAATAATATGCTCTGGAAAATATGATTATAGCCTTATTCCCTCTTAGCATGAATCCTTTAGAGCTACAATATGTCATCTCATATAGTACATACCAGCTGTCCTCTTCATCGCTGCCATTCTCTAACTCCAGTAATTCCACTTCATCCAGAGCTGTTTCATCCAAGAGATCTTCCGTGTTTGTGTTTGCTTCCTTCATTTGCAAAGCTGGCTCAACTCCTGTGGCGAAATCTTCTAGCAACACTGTGGGGTTGCAATCCCAACGAGAGACGTCGTTTGTGTTAGCATCACTGTTATGCGTCTGGGTACCGCTCACAAACTTTGCACCGGAGAGCTCTTGGTCAGAACTGTTTTCACAACTGTGCTGTATTGTGGTCTCCTCCACATCCTTTTTAAAGAACTCACCACTTTCTTCTGCTTCTGACCTTATTTTACTCAGGGCTGAATGCAGGTCTGCCACGATTTGCAATTCCTGCTTATCCATTAGTACGTTGATGCTATTATTCATTTCCATGCCATTGAGCCTGGAATTGCAATTATCCACTCCAGCATCAGCTTGGCTCAGCATTTTGGCCTCCGGCACACTTCGTAGGCTTCTAGTTCTCAGCTGCTGGTTCTGGAGCTCAAGCCGCCTCACAAGCTCTTGCAATTTCCTCACTTCTTCCAGCTCAGGGCCCACCTGATCAGCCATTGACTGTGTATCAGGACCCATCACTGAGTTCTCTGCTGAGCTTCGGCTCAATTCCGTTCCAAGGTTGTGGTCTGGCTGAATTACAGTGGTGCTCCCAGGAACGACCATCTTCATGGAATCCCTGAGGAATTTTGCTAGAAAAAGATACCACAGAAGGTGGGTATTAAAGAAACAGTGAACACACTTAAACTATCAGCTTTCCTATTAATTAAATGTATTCGGTTTGATGACACAGCAAGAATGCCTTAGTGAATCCCAAAGCAATTTATCTGCAGGAATAGTATGTTTTATTTACAGTGGCTATCTTGACATGGTCAATGCTTCTTCGGTACAAGCAGTAACTGTAATGACTGCTATGAGATACATGGCTAATCTGCACCTATTATGTAACTTGACATTTATAATGAGAACTTGTAATGTAAATAATCTTCCCAAATCCAACCAGAGCTGCCCACATAGAGCACTTTCAACAGAAGCTTTTGTTTGGCAAGGTCATTTAGTAAACAGTATACCCAACTCTGCCTTCTTAAATATTACTGATCTAAAAGAAATTCAAAGAAAAATGTTGCCCGAGTCTGCGCGAAAAGAAAGATTTAGAAATGAAAGATTTGAAAGATAAACATATTACTGCAGTTCCATATGGTGGCAGTTTGTAACACTATCATTTTGAAAGATTAAATATTGAAAGAAGAAAAACTGAGCATTTCACATTAAACACAGACTGTAAAAATGTGGCTCACCCCCACCATTTATTCAATCATGTATTTGTTTCTTCAAGCTTTGATAAGAAATAAAATGAAATCCGGGACCGGCAGCAGTTTAGCGCTTAAGGCCAGAAACTAAATATTTTGCATTGTCTAAGGAATTAGGCAGCCTATACATTATTATAAAATAAATATACATACATCATAGTTTGGGAAAGTATCTTTAACACAGAATATTTTAGACTTCACTACAGATCAACGCTCTTTCAGAGAATAGTGACACTGGAAAGAGAACATGCAGAGTCTTTTTTCTTGATTAATAATAAAGCAAATACATAGAATGATATAAAGAGCACTATCAATATTTTATTATCCCACTTTATATGCTGTGCACCAAAAATTAGGAAAAACAAAAATAACACAGGTACCTATTTCTATACTAAGTAGGACTTGATACAAATAATATTGTTGGTTAAAATTATTCCTGGGCTCAAGTTTTCAAGTCTTGCAAAACAAAACCAATTTTTAAATTCCTAAGCTTTTGGTTCAGAGACCAAAGGGGGAGGAAGTATTCTTTCAATAATCTTTCTAATCTAATTCCTAGTCACTAAATGACTATCCTCATGAGAGTTTTATGTGTTCTTAATGAGTTGGAAAAAAGTCCAGTAACCCTATAATCTGAGTCAGATAATATGCATCCATCCACAAGAAAATAACAACGTTGGAAGGAATGGGTTTTTTTTTTAAAAAAGAAAATTGCTGAGAATGAAACTGTTGCATCTCTCACCAGATATGCTAAGCTCTCTTATTGCCACGTATTTCTAAAGGCAACTCATAGATCTCATTTTCACATCAAGACAAAGCTATAAATGGATCTAATGCTACACAACACAATTTACATTGCCCAACCCAAGTTTTATAAAACAAGTCCCCTTTTGTTAAATCAATTTACAAGGCCAACTAAAAAAAAAAAATACAATGAAAACATACTGTTGCATTTCACAATTTCTGATCCTATTTCAAGCAGACTGCTGCAATCCAACAGAGCCTGTCCACAACAAATGTAACAGCAACCGAAACGGCAGCATTCTAGCCTCTGTTACCTTTCCCCCCCGTTCCAAAAGTAAATTCTTACCAGCACATCTGTCAAGCACAACCACAGCGACAGAACCACTCTGGTCTCACTGGATGACCTCACAGCCCGAGTCATCAGGAGCTGCATGGAGCTGAGGAGGAAAAGGAGGTATGCAGTACCATTGCAACAGGGAGAAAAAGGAGGGGGGGGGGAATACATGAAACTACGTCCATGATGGTGAAGTGGCATGCAGAGCTATCTCTCCGGGCATGCCAGCTCTTTTGGGTTCTGCGCAGCAGCACCAGAAACTGGAAAAGCAGGTCCCTGGCATGCATGCGCGCGCTGGGAAGCTGAGCTTTCGGTTTCTGGCATGCGCACGCACGCCGGTCAGCTGGTCTTCACATGTGCATGCGTGCCAGAAACCAGAAGACCAGGTGACTGGTGTGCTTGCGCACGCTGGAAATCGGAAACCTGGTGCCCTCATGCATGCCAGGGAACTGCTCTTCCAGTTTCCAGGGCTTCTGCGCATGTGTGCCAGGGAGCTGCTCTTTGGTTTCCGGGGCTTCCCCGTGCTCGCATGTGCGTGCTCCCCACACCTTTTCAGTGCCGAAAAGGTTCACCAACACTGGACTACGTTATCACCAGAAGCTGTTACATAGACACCTTCCCCCCTGCAATTAAGGAAAATGGTGGCCAGATCTCAAAGGAAAAAAGTCAGATGTTGCAAAGAGAAAAAGGAGACCATGAAGACAACCAGCACAGAGAGAGCTCCCTCTTAAACACCCCCAAGTAGGACAAAGTATCTTCTCAACAGAAATAGGTGAATGGGGAAGGAAAGCGGACCGATGCTCTCCTTTGGGTTGTCTTATGGATGGAGGACCATGCAGTCCCAACCACACAGGTGCAGCCTCATTTATTTCTGAACCCCACCCCTATCTGGGGAAGGATTTTGCAGGGAAAGAGAAAGGGAGGAGTGGAGTTCCCAGAAAGCAAACCCAGGAACGAGATTGCCGCAAATTAAAGAAAAAGAGGGGAAGTTGCTCTTGGGGAGAAACCAAAAAGCTACAAATAACATGCTGCCTAGACTCAGAGGATGTGAGTTTTAGCAAAGCCCCTCTCTCTGACAGAGGAGAATTTTTGTAGCTCAGGGTTGAATTGTGGGGTCCTTGGTACTCCCTGACATTAGTGGATTTCTTCCAGACCTTTCATTACCCAACTAGGCGACCTCGTCAGTGCTGGAGGAGAGGGGGTTTGAGGAGGAGGACTATAGGACCCTTGGTGCTCTCTAAGCTTGGTGATTTTCTTGCAAACGTTCCATTGCCCAATATTTTGCATTTTCTAATAATTAACTAATAATAAAAGACACCTAAACTACGTGACCTCAGAGAAGGAAGAAGAAGATGTGGGGGAGGGGCAGGAGAATGACGACTATAGGATCCTTGGTGTTTTCTGAGCTTGATATTTCCTTGCAGATCTTTCATTACCCAACTAGGTGACCTCATCAGTGCTGGAAGGCAAGGGGGGTTGAGGAGAAAGACTGTGGGTCCTTGGTGGTCTAGGAGCTTGGGTTGTTTTCTTGCAGATTCCATTTCTCCTCCACTCCACATACCCTATTTCCTTCTAGCACTGATGATGTTATCTAGTTTGGTATGAAATATCTCCAAAAGAAAACAACCCAAGCTCTAGACCACCAGGACCCAAGCTTCCTCAACTTGCCCCCTGCCAAGCACCCTAGTCCTCCTCTTCCTCCTCCTCCCCCTCCTCCGCCCCCAATCCCCTCCCTTCCAGCACTGATAAGATTCCTAGTTGGTTAATGAAATGTCTCTGCAATAAATCCACTAAGCTCAAGAGCACCCAAACACCACAGTCCTCCTTTCCTCCTCTCCAAAACCCTACTCCCTCCTAGCACTGATGAGCATTACCCTAGTTGGGTAATGAAAGGTCTGCAAGAAAACAATCAAGCTCAGAAAGCCAGGATCCTATAGTTGTCTTCGTCCTTCTCCCCCTTGCACTGATGAGGTTATACAGTTGGGTAATAAACGTCTGCAAGAAATCACTAAGTTCAGAGAGCACCAAGGATCTATACTTGTCGTCGTCATCCTCCTCCTCCTCTCCCATTCCCTTCCAGCACTGATGAGGTTCCCTAGTTGGTAATGAAAGGCATGCAAGAAATCACTAAGCTCAGAAAACACCAAGGATCCTATAGTTGTCTTCCTCCTCCTCCTCCCCCAGCACTGATGAGATTAGAAATTCTGCAAGAAATTCACTAAAGAAAGAGCACCAAAGACCCCACAGTCCTCCTCCTCTCCATCCCTTAGCACTGATAGATCCCTAATTGGGAGATAGAGAGGATAGGATAGAAGGAAGATGAAGGAAGGAAGGAAGGAAGGAAGGAAGGAAGGATAAGGAAGGAAGGAAGGATAGATAGATAGATAGATAGATAGATAGATAGATAGATACTGTAAAGATATATAGATATAGATAGATGATACATGATAGATGATAGATATAGATGAGGTAGATAAGATACTGTAGATAGATATATTTAGATGTTAGATATAGATGATAGACAGGTAAATACTGTAGATATAGACAGATATTAGATATAGATGATAGACAGATGATAGATAAGATACGATAGATAAATATAGATAGATGGTAGATATGGATAGAGGGGGGAATGGAGAAGAGAGAGAGAGAGAGAGAGAGAAAGAAAAGAGAGAGAGAGAGAGAGAGAGAGAGAGAGAGAGAGAAAATCCTTTATTGGCCAAATGCGATTGGACACACAAGGAATTTGTCTTGATGCACCAAGCTCAGAAAGCACCAAGGATCCTAGAGTGGTTGTCTTCATCCTCCTCCTCCTCCTCATCACACTGATGAGGTTCCCTAGCTGGGTAATGAAACGTCTGCAAAGGAAGCAACCAGAGGACCCCCCTTCCCAGCTCCCCCTCCAAACCCCATAAAGATTACCCACCCACCCTACACAGAGAGAACATGAATTCACCCAAATAAGCAAAAAAAAAAAAAGAAAAAAAGAGGAGGGGGGCAGTTGCCTCAAGGCCCTTAGAGCCCCCCCCTCCAAGTCACGCGAGGGGGCTTCTTCACCTGCCCAGCCAGGCCAGGACCCTTTCAGGGAAGCGAGAAGGGCTGAAGGACGGCCTACCAAGAAGGATGGAAGCCGAGGATGGGGGAAGACCCGGCCCGGGAGCTTGAAGCGTGGGGGTGGGGGGGGGGAAACCAGGCCCGACGACCCGCCTGAGGGGAGCCGAGCGACCTTCGGAGCGCGCGCTCATCTCCTACCTGCTGCGCCGCCGCCGCCGCCGCCGCTTTGGCGCATGCGCACGCGCAGCCCGAGCCGCCGCTGTTGTTGCCGCGGCTGCTCCGTCTCGCGCCTCCCCTCTCTCGCGGCCCGATTGGCCGCGGCGCTAAAACTTCGCGCCCGTCATTTGCATAGGGCGGGACCGGAGGGGGGGGGGGGGGGGGGGGAAAGGAAGGGGATTGGCTGCGAGGAGGGAGGGAGGCAGGCGAGGGGAGGGGCGAGAGAGACACCCCCACCACCCCGATTAGGCGCCCAAAGCTCCGTCGCGAGTCCTTTCGGGCAAAAGTGGGGTGGGTTTTTTTTTTTTTTAGTGCGCCTGCGCGCTGGGCGGGAGCGGACGGCTAGCGATGGGCTGGAGAAGAGGAGCGCTTAGCGGAGCGCGTGGAGTTTCTGCGTGGGAAAGCAGCTTCCTCGGTGTTCTCCGCTGGGTACCCCGTTTGTAGCCACGCCTGTCCGTGGTTTAATGCAGACATGTCAGAACAGAACAGAATAAAGAATTAGAAATAGAATAGAATAGAATAGAACGGAATAGAATAGAATAGAATAGAATAGAATAGAATAGAATAGAATAGAATAGAAGAATGGAATGGAATAGAAATAAAAAATAAGACAATAGAAATAGAATAAGAAATACGAATAGAATAGAATATAAAAAGAATAAGAAATAAGAGAATAGAATAGAATAGAAATAGAATAAGAAATAAGAGAATAGAAATAGAATAAGAAATAAGAGAATAGAATATAAAAAGAATAAGAAATAAGAGAATAGAAATAGAATAAGAAATAAGAGAATAGAATAGAATAGAAATAGAATAAGAAATAAGAGAATAGAATATAAAAAGAATAAGAAATAAGAATAGAATAGAAATAGAATAAGAAATAAAGAGAATAGAATAGAATAGAAATAGAATAAGAAATAGAGAAATAGAATATAAAAAGAATAAGAAATAAGAATAGAATAGAAATAGAATAAGAAATAAGAGAAGAGAGAATAGAATAGAATAGAATTTAAAATGGAATGGAATAGCAATAAGAGGAGAATGGAATTGCAATTAGAATAGATATGGAATGAATAGAATAGAATAAATAAGGAAGAAGAGAGAGAGAGACATTAGAATAGAATAGCAATTAGAATACAATAAGAAATAGGAATAGACAAGAGAGATAAGAATAGAATTGAATAAGAAATAGGAATAAGATAGAATAAATAGGAAATAAGAGAATAGGAAATAGAAAGAGAAGAGAATGGAAGTGAAATTAGAATAGAATAGCAATGAAGAGAAGAAAAGAGATAAGAGAGATAAGAATAGAATAGCAATAAGAAGGAGAGGAGAGAATAGAATAGAGTGGAATAGAATAGAACAGAACAGTTGGAAGGGACCTTGGAGGTCTTCTAGTCCAGTCCTCTGCTCAAGCAGGAGACTCTATACTCGTGATGGTGAACCTATGGCACATGTGCCATAGGTGGCACACACTGCCGTCTCTGTGGGTATGCAAGCCATGGCCCAGTTCAGCTCTGCCAGCATGCACGCACACCTCCCGCCTGTCAGCTGGTCATTGGGTCTCTGCTGTGCATGCACGGGGGGGGGCTTGCACCCATGCATGGGGGGCACGGGGGAGATGCACACACATTACATTTTGGGGGTTCACACACATTTTGGGCACTCAGGCCGGAAAAGGTTAGCCATCTCTGCTCTATACTAATTCAGATAAGTGTCTGTCTAGTCCAGGGATGTCAAACTCAAGGCTCCGGGGACGGATCCAGCCAGCAGGTACTTAAATCTGGCCCGTGGGATCGCCCTGGAAACAGCGAAGGACTGGCTCATGGTGCCTCTGCCATGCAAAAAAATAGCTCCATTTTCACTGGCAGAGGATTGCAGGAGGCTGTCGCAGCTGAAAACGGAAGAGGCAATGGGGTCCCCCAGCCCCGCCTGGGCCATCACAGGTGCCCCTGACACGAATGACATCGAGCTAACCATGCCCACCCCAGCCATGCCCACCTGGCCCCCGAGGTCAAACACAACCCTGATGCAGCCCTCAATGAAATCGAGTTTGACATCCCTGGTTTAGTCTCTTCTTAAAAACCTCCCATGATGGAGTGCCCATGATTTCTGAATGTAAGCAGTTCCGCTGGTTAATTGTCCTCACTATTAGGACGTTTCTCCTTAATTCCAGGTTGCTTCTCTCTTTGATTAGGTTCCAACCCTTGTTTCTTGTCCTGTCCTCCGGTGCTTTGGAGAATAATGAATGAGGGGAAGGAAAGTGCATTTTGTAAATGTACTCTGCGGGTAGTAAAAAGTTATTAAAAATTAAAATGCATTTCCAGAGGCTAGCAAGGAGAGACTTGGAACCTGTGGCCTTTGGATAAATTATAACTTTTAGCAGCCCCAATAGAATTGTCTCTAATAAGGGATGCTGGAAGTCGTGGTTCAGCGACATTGGGATGGGGTGCAAACCCCCCGAATAATGAGCCTTGGTGGGCAGCAGACTAAAGCACTGTTAAGCAGCACCAGCTGCCTGCAATTACTGCAAGTTCAAATCTCACCAGGCTCAAGGTTGAATCAGCCTTCCATCCTTTCGAGGTAGGTAAAATGATGAGGACCGGATTGTGGGGGCAATAAACTGACTTTGTATAAAAAAGAACACACTGGGGGGGGGGGCGAAAGCCCTACTTAGCAGGTATATACAAAAGTATGAAGGCTATTGCTTAACACATTGTAAGCCTCCCTGAGTCTCCGGAGAAGGGCGGCATATAAATCGAACCAATAAATATAAATAAATCTGCATGAAGCTATGAACTCAGTCACCTGTTTGAGATGGAAGGCTACAGAAATTGAATTATTGAATGAATGAATGAATGAATGAATGATGGTTCTTGTTATGACCCATCAAGAACACCACCAGCAAATATTTGGAAGAGAAATCGTGTTGGAAGGTAACATTTCCCCCTGTGTTTCTCACTCAACAACTGTGGATAAGTTTTTTTTTTTTAAAAAAAAATCTTCAATTTAAATATTTTGGAATGCTGAGAGAATAAAATTCAAATCAACTTTCTCCAGGCTCCATTAAGTGTTCTAATTCTAATTAAAGCCTCTTCAGCAGATATGTATGCAGTCTGCGAACATCCAAATCTTTCTGGGAACCCATGCTCTTATTTCAAGCCTTACTCAACTTGGCGTGCTGAATATTCCAAGAACTGCCAACTTCATGGATTCCCAGGCTATATATAGCATGCCTGGAGAGGGCCACTGGGAATTGTGCCTTTGTTACACGCAACAGTGCAAAAACCTAACCTTAAGTCTTTGGCCAGACTGTCTCTTGTCACCTGATTGAAGAGTGGTTATAGCATCTCAGCGGTGCCCAGATGATACCCACGCAATGTTTCCCAGGCTTCTTTGGCTCCTTAAGATGCCAACCTTGTGGCCTTCCGAGTGCGCTTCAAGGTGTTGGTTCTTACTTTTAAAGTGCTCCATGGCTTAGGATCTGAGTACTTACGAGACCACCTGCTGCAACCGATAACCTCCCACCAACCAATACGCTCTCACAGAGTAGGCCTACTCATAGTCCCATCATTAAAACAATGTCGTCTAGTAGTTCCAAGGGAGAGAGCCTTCTCTGTGGGGGCACCTACTCTTTGGAACAAAATACCCCCTGGATTTTTATACGAATAATCCCAGATCTTCGCACTTTCTGACGGGCCCTGAAGACCTTTCTGTTTCAACAAGCAGGGCTAGCATAAACATCTAAATTCTATGCCAAGGTCTTAGCAGATACACCAAGTTGACTCAATTTATTATTTACTGTTTATTTAAAATAATATATATTATATGTATATGAAATCTTAATCTGTTCACCGCCCTGAGTCCTTCGGGAGAAGGGCGGTCTAGAAATTCAATAAATAAATAAATAAATAAATAAATAAACAAACAAACAAACAAACAAACAAACCAATATTGCATTGGGAAATACATCACACCATTCAATGAAGAAGTCCAATCAACTTTCCGCACAGAATATTTTATTAGAACCGAACGTGGCAATTTAGAATTTGCTTCAGAAGAAAAAAAAAAAACACAGAAAGGCAGAGAAGAACAGCACAGCAACAAAAAATAAAATTTTGTAATGACCTCGCGGTGCCTGTCTAAAGTTTTCCAGGATACAAGTCCTCAAGGAAATAGAAGGACGGTTCAGTTCCGTCTAAAATATCACATGCTGCTTAGGTAAACTCTATGCGCTGTTTGCGAAAACTCCACCTTTGGACAATTACCTTAACAGGAAATCAGCAGAGAAGATAAATATTTACTTTTTTAAAAAAAACAGACCTCACCCGATTTGGGATTTTCTTTTTCTTTCTTATGTTCTTAACTGAGAGGCCTTTCCAAAATGTTAAGACTACTGTTCCCATAATTCTCAGCCAGTTAAGCCCTATGGAGGATTATGGAAGTAGGGATCCAACATATCTGGAGGATGATACGATGGGTTGGGCAGGGCAATAGCTTCACAACCAAGGACTAATACTTGTGAAAGGAGAATTGTTCATTAAGTTAGATTTAACGTAGCTAAATAGGACCTTCCCGGAGGCCATCGAAATATCGTCCCCAGCTTTGAGACTTTGAGGTCAAAGATTCTTGTCTTGGTTGATTTTTTCCATCCACAAAAATTTCAACGTGCCCTTTTAGATGGAACATTTTGTACGAGTGAAATCTTCCTATTCAGTATTATGGGGGTGAGGTCCAGTTTATGTCCTTTTTCACCTCTTAACTACTTTTTTTTTCACCATCGTTCTTAGCAAAGGAAACCACTTAAGGAGGGAAAGAGGAAAAAAGCATATCCGGTTTGGCTCAGCGTCCTGCCTCTAACTCTCCGTTGGGAACCAAGCGAGAGAAAATTGTGACATAGCTGCAGTTAGCAAGATGCCAACATCTGTTGGCATTGTTGGCGTTCTGGAATCAAGCAGTTGGGAAGGTGAATTCTGATACCCGTTTTTTTTTTTTTTTTTACCTTTCTTGACCTTTCAAGAAAAGAATTAAGCACTTTCCCAACACCTATTGCGCCTGTCGAATGCAGAAGTCCTTCCCTTGGCAGCGTTCAAGAGAAAATGGCTTTGGAGGTGTTCAACATCTCCTTCTCAATATTCCATAAACAAAATATAAGGAATCTTGTGCAGCAATAGTGTTGGGTTATTGGAGACGTTATACATTCTCCCTCTTTAGATTATAATGTGCTTTGCTTCGTTTATTTCCAAAATACGCAAAGCTAATTCTGCCGTAGATTGAGCCTCTGCTCCCCACACGGAGTAGCATCCACAGTCTTTTTCCATGTAATTTGCAATTTCCATGTAATTTCCATGTTTTAACCAGGGGTGAAATCTAGCAGGCTCTTAACAGGTTCTGGAGAACCGGTAGCGGAAATTTTGAGTAGTTCGGAGAACCGGCAAATACCACCTCTGGCTGGCCCCAGAATGGGGTGGGAATGGAGATTTTACAATATCCTTCCCCCAGGAGGGGAGAGAATGGAGATTTTGCAGTAACCTTCCCCTGGAGTGGGGTGGGAATGGAGATTTTGCAATATCCTTCCCCTGCCACACCCACCAGAACCGGTAGGGAAAAATTTTGGATTTCACCCCTGGTTTTAACTCAGGAGAATTTAACTCTCCTTGTCTTGTATTCTTGTATGCGTATCCATGATGTACAATGACAATAAAGGCTTTGAACTTTGAGAAGCCTATTTCCCATTGTTTTGCACTGGTATCTGTGAAACAGGCGACGATCCAAGTTAAAATTGATATAGTGCGTAGAAAACAGAGACTGAAAGTGAGGCTTCTTATCTTTCTGCTTCCTGTTTGTTAAAACTTCCAATATACTCATCATAGAAAAATGATATATTTCCTCTTCTCTATATCTATATATTCCAGATTTTTTTTGTTAATATACAAAAATATATTAAGCTACTAGCTAGTTGAAAGCTTCAGTATAATTCTCTTCACTTGAGTCTGAAGAGAATAGGTGTAAAGGAATTAAAACTCAAAGAATATTGCAAAAAGTATGTTATCTCACATATAGGCTTATTATCCCTGTAGAGAGATGATACAAATAGCTAAGAAATTAACCGTAACTGATTTCCCAACAATGAAGAATGTATAATCTCAAACAGAATCAATGATATTTATAAAGTAATTATTCCCCAGAGAGACAATTATGATAGGAGAGGAAAAATACAGCAGCGGTAGACAGAAGACGCTGCCTAATACCAAATAGGACAATTGGACCATTTAATTCAAATGTTTTCCAAACTTGGGAAACTTTAAATTGTGAGGACTTCAACTCCCAGAATTCCATGCTAGATGGGGAATTCTGGGGGGGGGTGTTGAAATCCACACATCTTAAAATTTTTGCCATGTTTGAAAAACATTTGAGTTAATTCAGGGGTCTGCAACCTTATTTGGACCCGTTTCCCACAGAAAAGAAAACACCTGGAGCCACAAAATTTGGGTGGGCGTGGCCAACTCGATGTCATTCACTTCCACCAATCACATGACCCCCCCCACTAGCCACGCCTACCCAGCCCGTCATTAGGGCAGAGAACCAGTTGTTAAAAAACACCGGGAACCACAAAATCCTTTTGACATATCTCTCTCTCCCTCCTCTCTCCCTCCCTCTCTCCCTTCCTCTCTCTGTATCTCTCTGTCTCTCTCTTCCCCCTCTCTCTCTGTATCTCTCTGTCTCTTTCCTGGCCGCTTCTCCATTTCCGCCATCGCCCTTACCTTCTCAGGCCAGGAGAGGAATGACTGGGAGGGGAGGGGAGGGGCGGGGCCAACTAATAGTGGGATCACCTGACAGGGAGCCACAGCAGAGGGCCCAAAGAGCCACATGCGGCTCCGGAGCCGCAGGTTGCTGACCCTGAGTTAACTCAATAATTTCTTCTCTGGGTAAAACAAGGATATACAAAATAATGACTCCCCTGGCGTTTTGGATTCCAAATCCCATCAGCCTCAGCCCATGGTTAAAAAAAAAAAACCTGCAGAAGACATAACCTCAATGCCTGATGCGTGGTCCCAGGGATGCCCGAAGGCAAACTTAGAGGTGCGCAAAACATTGAAATTCTTACTTCAAACAATTCTAAGAGTGTTCCTCCCGAAATGGCTGGAAAAAAACCCCGGTGTTTTGTGCCTGATGCCTTGGATACCTTTGGAATCAAAACATTTTGCACATCCATTTTCAAACCCTTTGCATTCAAGGCACCTGTTTTGGAACTGACCGTTTCCTAGCTGTGGCTAAAGACTTCCCAGGGATAAATGGAATATGAAGTGCTCCTGATAAAAATGATTGAACCTCCCTCCTTTAAAAAAAACAAAAAAAAAAACATGATCCTGCTTCCTCTCCTTCCTGATATAAAGCCGCCTTTTATCGGTTGCTGGCCAAGTTGAACGAAGCCACGAGGCCATCATGGAAGGAAGGACAAAAGGACTTCTGGACGAGCAACGAAGACTGAGGAGGAGTCCTCAAATGCAGACAGTTGAAACTCAGGCAGCAATACATCCTCTTCCTGATGTAGGCATCCTCAAGGAATTAACTTCATCATTGTTGAATGTAAACTACTTGGCCTGCCTGAAGATGAGGAAGGAGGAAGACGGCTGGGGAAAGAGGATGCTTGCTGGATCAAAGAGTCCTCAGGAGAACGAGGCAGACAGATAAAGGCAGGCGTCTCTTCGGTCAGACTTGTCCAATCCATGGAATCTAAGGAGAAAATTGGACAGGGAACACGTCAGCTAGGCCACAGGTAGATTCTAAATTTTTTTACTACCTGTTCTGTGGGCGTGGCTTATTTTGTGGGTGTGGCTTGGTGGGGGGGGTAATGTGGCTGGTGGGTGGGCATGGTCAACTTTTTTTTTTAAACTTTTAAAAGCATTTTTTCTACAACCTTAAGAGGTTGCAGGAAAAAAAAATGCTTTTAAAAGCCTCTGATGATCAGGCAACTCAGCTGGGATCGCCAGAGGCTTTTAAAGGCATTTTTTCCCCCTACAACCTCTTTGGCCGAAGAGGTTGCAGAAAAAAATGCTTTTAAAAGCCTCTGACGATCCCAGCTGAGCCGCATGATCATCAGAGGCTTTTTTTTTTTTTTTTACTTTTAAAAGCATTTTTTTCAGCCGAAGAGGTTGTAAAAAAATGCTTTTAAAAGTAAAAAAAAAAAAAAAGCCTCGGATGAGGAGGGCAGGGTAAGCGAGCGGGCGGGGGACGGTTCGGGGGCGTGGCCAGCCAATGTTATTAGCAGTTCTCCGAACTACTACAATTTTTACTACTAGTTCTTGCAAACTGGTGTGAACGGGAGCAACCCACCACTGAGCTAGACTGACAAGCAACAGGTAGAAGCTTGCTCAAAGAGAGATCCGACCTAGAAATAAGGACAACTTTTCTGACTGCGCGAATCTTTAATCAATGGAAGTAGCCTGCCTCCTGGAATTGTAGATGCTCCATCTTGGGAGGTTTCAAAAATAAACTAGACAACCATTTGACTTGGATGGCATAAGTCTTCTGCCTTGAGCAGGGGTTGGACTAGAACACCAGTCACCAACTGGTGGTCCACGGCCGTGAGATAATTTTGGTGGTCCACAGAAAAATTATTGGCATTTTTTATATTGCACTAAATTATTATTATTATTATTAGTTAGACTTCTATACCGCTTCATAGTGCTTTACAGTCCTCTCTAAGCAGTTTACAAAGTTAGCATATAGCATATAGCATATTAGCATATTGCATTAGCATTAGCATATTGCCCCCAACAATCTGGGTCCTCATTTTACCACCTCGGGAAGGATGGAAGGCTGAGTCAACCTTGAGCCGGTGAGATTTGATCTGCTGATCTGCTGAACTAGCAGTCAGCTGAAGTAGCTGCAGTACTGCACTCTAACCACTGCGCCACCTCGGCTCTTTGAGGTCAGGAGTCCTCAAACTACGGCCCCTGGGCCGGACACATGCAATGAATGTTTGTGTTGCAGCAGAGAGTCTCCCCTTCGGGGTCTTTTTGTGCGGGTCAGAGGGGGGCAAAAATTCCGACTTGGGGTCTGCTTCGGCCTCCTGGTGTGGGGCTTTGGGCGAAGGCTGGAGGGAAGTGCCGCTGGTGGCCAAGAGCCAGAGGGCTTCATTCCAGTGGGACAGCATCATGGCCTGGAACTGGCTGACCATCTCAGCCCGCTGAGCCTGCAGGCGCCGGTACCTGGCCTTGCACTTTCACAGGTCTTCCCTCTGCTTGGAAAGCCTATGCTCCTAGTCCTCAGTGAGGTGCTTCTGCTGAGCCTCCTTCTCGGCCAGATCCAATTTGAACTGAGCTGTTTTGCCAACTCTTTTTCGTGGTGGCTGCTTAGCTCCAACAACTGCTTCCTCTTGGGGGCCCTAAGGTGCCCGGGCAGGCAGGCAAGGAGTGGCTGGGAGGGGAGGGGTGAGTAGAGGCTGGTGAGGTGCCCCTTGACATGAGTGACATCGAGTTGGCCATGCCCACCCAGTCACATGACCACCTAGCCACGCCCACCCAGCTGGTCATTAGGCAGATCATATTAATGGTCTGCAGGATTTAAAATTATGAATTTAGTGGTCCCTGAGGTCCGAAAGGTTGGTGACCCCTGGACTAAAAGACCTCCAAAGTCCCTTCTGGCCCTATGATTCTGTGTTCTAGGCAGGATCCTCTACCAATATCCCCACATCTCCAGATCTCTAACCCTTGCAGAATATGCTCACCTAAAAGAGCTTCTCGTAGCACTTATCACAGTGGACAATATCCCGATGAATGAAGATTTGATCCAAGAAATCTCCCATTGGCTTGTGGCAGATTCCGCACTGCGAGAGGAAAAAGCAAGATAAGTGCTCTCTACTTAGCTGTGGACATGTCTTTTGCATGCCTATATAAAATGTATACTGCTCTCAGCAAAGCAACTAACAAATAACCAGGGGCTCCGTCCGTAATGTATTTGCCATGTGACTGAATCAGATCATGCATGAATTCACAGGCTAAAGCTTAGGAGGGTCAGACAGAACGTGTGAGACTTGGTGATGAGGACATCCCATTATGCAGCTAAGGAGTAAAGGTTTCCATCTACTTTCTCCTCCCGAGTTATTTATTGGTATCCCGTCTTTATTACTTTTATCAAGAACTCAACTCAATTCCAACATGCCTTCCTCCTCTTATTTTCCCCATGTTGTGGCCCGCCAGCGGCCAGCGGAGCTGGTGGCAGACTCAGACAGTGAGGAGGTTGGGGAGGAACCTGGGCCAGTCCTGGAGTCTGGGGAAGGCTCTGATGAGGGCTCTGCATCGGAGGCAGAGAGGGGGCCAGGGCTGTTATGACAGGTATCAGCTGCCTTCGGAGTCGGACATCAGTGGGGCAGAAAAACAGCTGGAACCTGTTCCCAGCGTGCGCATGTGCAGAACTGCCAGGAGAAGGGAACAGCTAAAGAACAAGGGTCGACTCAGGAGTAAAGCCACAGGTGGACAGTGAATGTCCCCTCCCATAGGGTATAAAGAGTGAAAGAAGAGGGGAGTTTGCAAGAGACAATTAGTTTGCTTAATTGGTTCAGGACTCCTTGCCAAGTTTTGAAGATATCGGCCTGGCAGCTCTCCAAGCCAGATAAGGTCTGTGACTGTAAATTCTCCCTTGAAAGACTTTGCTGAATGTGAATGAGAGGAATTCACAGTAACTTAATAAAAAGGAGGTTTTGTCGGGACAAGGAGTCTGCTTCATGCTCTTGGGAAGTCTAGCTCAGAACACCTCACAGCAACAACCCTGTGAGGTGAGATGGGTTGAGAGAGAGAGAGTGATTGGCCTAAAGTCACCCAGTAGGCTTCCATGGTTAAGGTGGGACTTGAACTCACGGTCTCTTGCTTTCTAGCCTGGTGCCTTAACCACTATACCAAACTGGCGCCCCCTTCATAGCTCCATGAATACCACATTTATCAGGCGCATCCTTACTTTGAAGCAGTATTCATGGCAGCTGATGTTGAGGTTCTCAATAGATATCTTGGCACAGTTGCGGATTACTCGGCCACAGTAAGTGCAAATATCTTCCAGAGACCTAGGAGAAGGAAGACAGTGGTCAACATGCTTCTAACTTCATACTGCTTTGGAAGGGATCCCATATCAAACCACAAACAGGAGCAACATGCCAAAGGTTGGCTTTACCTTTTGGGAGATGTGTTATTCACGTAGCTCGTACTGCTGTAGCTTGGATTCTCCAGATCAGACAAGTCAACCAGGCTGCGACTGGGGAAGGAAAGAGTGAAGACTCTTATCAGTGTTACACCGCAAGATTTTTTTTTAAAAAAATTACTGACTAAATTCAGGAGATATTGTTGGGTTGTTGTTGTTTTTAAATGTTCCTGAAACAGCGCTTTCTCACGATTAGTGAGGAAGCCAAACATTAAAAGCCACGTAGTGTTTAATAGAATGCTGCATTATTCCGTGATGTCTTTCTGGAAAAGAAATTTCATCCGAAAGCAAAATTTTTTAAAAAAAATGCCGGACAAAGAGAAAACATTTAATGAAAGATGAAAAAGCTCTACTCTATTCCATTCTATTCCACTCCATTCCACTCCAATCCACTCCACTCCACTCCACTCTCACTCCTTTCCATCACTGATGATATTACCTAGTTAGGTAATGAAACCTCTGAAGAAAACCACCAAGCTCAGAGAGCACCAAGGACCCCCACAGAGGGACCACTGGCATGCATGGTATTTAGATGCTGAAGAAGACACGAGTGAACAAAAAGTACTAATGTGACGATAATTGGAGAAAATAATAAAAGAACCCACAGCTAAGTACAAGCCCAATAAAAACAAATTCTTCTGATTGATGGGGGATTTTTCGGCATTGCAAAAAGAATTGCTGGCTTGCCTTCCCTTTGGCTTCCTCACCTGTTGTAACGCGGAGAAGAGGACAATTCCATGCTTTTGATGGATTCTTTCACAAAGAGGAGGCCTTTGCTACAGGGGGACAAAAGAGATACACATTTCAGAGGAAACATTGCTTAATAGTGAATGTGACATCTGATATGTTGAAAAGCTAGAAGAAACAGTTCCCACCCACCCCCCAAAAAATCCCTGTCTTTCTTCAATATACCCTACCCTGATGCAGAGGGATCTGAATCATAGTTAGAAAAATTCTTCTGTTCAAAGGAAGCAGGGAGATCTTTTGCCTCGGAATCAGTAAAATTCCTGCAAGAGAAAGAAATTTTGAACACTATAATACTTAGATTAGATTAACAGAGTTGGAAGGGACCTTACAGGTCATCTAGTCCAACCCCCTTCACCCCTTCTGACAAATGGCAGTCCAATCTCTTCTTGAAAGTCTCAAGTGATGAAGCTCCCACAACTTCCGATGTTATCATGTTATCATAAATATCAGTGGTGAAATTCAATTTTTTTTTACTACCGGTTCTGTGGGCATGGCTTGGTGGTCATGGCTTGGTGGGCGTAGCAGGGGAAGAATACTGCAAAATCTCCATTCCCTCCCCACTCCAGGGGAAGGATACTGTAAAATCCCCATTCCGTCCCCACTCCTGGGGGAAAGATACTGCAAAATCTCCATTCCGTCCCCACTCCTGGGGGAAGGATACTGCAAAATCTCCATTCCCACCCCACTCCACAGGAAGGATACTGCAAAATCTCCATTCCCTCCCCACTCCTGGGGAAAAGATACTGCAAAATCTCCATTTCCACCCCACTCCACGGGAAGGATTACTGCAAAATCTCCATTCTGTCCCCACTCCTGGGGAAAGATACTGCAAAATCTCCATTCCCTCCCCACTCCAGGGAAAGATACTGCAAAATCTCCATTCCCTCCCCACTCCAGGGGAAAGTTACTGCAAAATCTCCATTCCATCCCCACTCCTGGGGGAAAGATACTGCAAAATCTCCATTCCCTCCCCCACTCCAGGGGAAGAATACTGCAAAATCTCCATTTCCACCCCACTCCACGGGAAGGATACTGCAAAATCTCCATTCTGTCCCCACTCCTGGGGAAAGATACTGCAAAATCTCCATTTCCACCCCACTCCACTGCGACTCAGGATACTGCATCTCCATTCTGTCCCCACTCCTGGGGGAAAGATACTGCAAAATCTCCGTTCCCTCCCCACTCCAGGGGAAGAATACTGCAAAATCTCCATTCCCTCCCCACTCCAGGGGAAAGTTACTGTAAAATCTCCATTCCCTCCCCACTCCAGGGGAAGGATACTGTAAAATCCCCATTCCGTCCCCACTCCTGGGGGAAGGATATTGCAAAATCTCCATTCCCACTCCTCTCTGGAGCCAGCCAGAGGTGGTATTTGCCGGTTTTCCGAACTACTCAGAATTTCCGCTACCGGTTCTCCAGAACCTGTCAGAACCTGCTGGATTTCACCCCTGTTAAATATCATGTTTATAGATCAGATACTCAAACTTGGTTTCTAGGCAAGATCATCTCACTTCATCCTCTCCTTGCAAAAAAAGTCAACAACGTGCAAGCAATGCATCTACTCATTCAGAGAAATTCTACAGGTTCTGAGATAAGACTCTTCTTCACCCCCTGTAGGATGAATGAATCCCCCACAAAATCTTTAGGAAAGGCAGTCTATACTAAAAGCACCCAAGGAATAAATGACTCTGATGCCACCTGCAGGATGATTTTAGATATTGTAAAAACAGTAGACCAGAAGATTAATAATGTGTGGCTTTAATTAGAATAGAGCTAGAAGGGATCTTGGAGATCTTCTAGACTGCTCAAGGAGGAGACCCCATACAATTTGAGACAAGTGGTTGTCCAGTCTCTTCTTAAAACCCTCGAATGATGAAGCACCCACAACTTCTAATTATCCTCAGTTAGGAAATTTCTCCTTAATTCCAGGTTGCTTCTCTCCTTGAATAGTTTCCATCCACTGTTTCTTGTCTTGCCTTCTGGTGCTTTGGAAAATAACTTTATCCCCCCTCTTCATTGTGGCAGCCCCTCAAATACGGGACCCATGTCACCCCTAGTCAGAGGTGGGTTTCAGCAGGTTCTGACCAGTTCTGGAGAACCGGTAGTGGAAATTTTGAGTAGTTTGGAGAACAGTAAATACCACCTCTGACTGGCCCCACCCCCATCTATTCTCTGCCTCCCGAGTCCCAGTGTCAAGTTTCCGAAAGATGCCCTAATTAATTCACGAGCCATGATCCAAACTTCAAAGGAAATATATTCATTTATTAGGAGCACCATTCCGGCAATACTGGGATGCAGTTAGGACTGATCCCACGTAGATTTACGTTCCCCTATGACCCTGTCTCTCCCCTCCTCTCTGGCCATGTCATAAATCACATTCTCCAATTAACCACTTTGGCTGGCTGCGAAACCTAACACCCTCCTTCTGATTGCGGTCAGAAAGAATGTATGGAATTCACTTCAGTTCTCCCTCCCTCCTGCTCATGGCAACTTGAAAGCTTTGCAAGTTGACACCCAGCTGATCGGGAGGGAATGGGGATTTTGCAGTAACCTTCCCCTGGAGTGGGGAGGGAATGGAGATTTTACAGTATCTTTCCCCTGGAGTGGGGAGGGAATGGGGATTCTGCAGTATCTTTCCCCTGCCATGCCCACCAAGCCACACCCACAGAATCGGTAGTAAAAAAATCTGAAACCCACCACTGACCCTCCTAGTCCTTTTTTCCTCCAGACTCCTTAGACTGCCCTACCGCGTAGGATAATTGCACAGATAAATGGGTACGGATTTAGATGGTCGGATTCCGAAAGATCTCCTGTATGGAGAATTAGTGCAGGGAAAGCGCCTCAGAGGGAGACCACAGCTGCGATATAAGGATATCTGCAAGAGGGACCTAAAGGCCCTGGGAATGGACATTAACAACTGGGAAACCTTGACCTCCGATCGTTCAGCTTGGAGGCTAAAGACGCAGCATGACCTTCTCCAGGGGTGAGTTCTAAATTTTTTTACTACCAGTTCTGTGGGCGTGGCTTATTTTGTGGATGTGGCTTGGAGGTCATGTGACTAGGTGGGTGTGGCTAGCTGGTCAGAGTCATTTCTGGAAGGTCCTCGCACTTACGACCAGTCCTCGCACTTACGACCCAACTCATTTGTTTGCTTTTAACACTGATCAGCTGTAGGACGGCCCTTTGAAGCCCCGCGGCAAGAGTTTAAACAGTTTTTTTCTCTCTAGTCATCAGCTGGGACTCAGGAGGCAGCAATTGATTGGGGGTGGAACCAAATAAAAGGTAAGAATAACGTGGGGGGTGAGGGGGGGGAGAACCGGTTTGGTGACGTCATATCGTCATCGCTACCGGCTCAGCCGAACCGGACCGAACCGGGAGGAACCCACCACTGGCCTTCTCCAATTTGGCAGGCCGAGGCAAAGAGGCAGTCCCGGAACCAGCGAAATCTGGGGTCTGGGCAGGGGACAGAATGTATCTGCCCTCAGTGTGGAAGGGATTGCCACTCTCGAATTGGCCTTTTTAGTTACACCAGATGCTGTTTTAGGACCTCTTTCCAGAGCACGATACCATAGTCTCTTGAGACTGAAGGATGCCAATGAAATGGGTACCTTAAATTTAGGAGAAATTTTACTTTTTTGGGGGGGGGGGATGCCTAGGGTTGCCAGGTGTCCACTATTTGAGCAGACAGTCCACTTTTTTCACATTATATTCACTATTTTTTTTCACAAAATAGTGGACATTTTTTTGTCCACTAGCTTTTTGATGAAATGGTACGTAATCTAAAGCTGTACAGTCTAAGAAAATAAGGATAGGAGAATCGCGTTTTGTCTTTTTTTTTTCATCAGTTAGAATGAGACAAAGATCGAATATCCATTGAACTCGATTCTCCGAAAAAATTAATGATGAGATTAAAATAAAAATATATTATAAAATTATGTACAGTTCACATTTTTAAAATGTATTGTAGCTTGTGTCGACTGACCTAAAATGGCGTGTTAAAATATTTGTAAGAAAATATATAATTTAATTGTAATTTTTTTTTTTTTTTTTACTACTTAACCCACCCACCCACCCCGCTTGTCCGCTATATTTTGGAAGCAGACCTGGTAACCCTAGGAATGCCTTCAGATTAGTCTTGATTCCTGGCAACTGCCTGGACAGGTCCCTGCAGTTTTCTTGGGAAGATTTCAGAAGCAATTTACCATTGATTTTTTTCCTAGGGCTGTGAGAGAATGACTGGCCCAAGGTCACCCAGTTGGTTTGATGCCCTGATTCTTTTTTTAAAAAACAAGATTCTAATAATTCACGTATTAGTTAACAATAAGGTATTCATTCTTAATCTTTACCTTCCGGTCTCTGTGTCACAGATGTTCTTATAAAAAGGCACTCTATGGCTTTTTGGCATACTGGTCCCAGCATCTCTGAAGGGGTAGTAAGACACACTAGGAAGAAATATAGATATGTATTAGTTCAAGTCTTAACAAAAATAAAAACAAAAACAAAAAACAGCACAACAACAAATGAAATGATGTAATGAACATACAAGAAAGACAATTCTGAATAATAAGATCCAGACATTTATTCTCAATATCACTCAGCTCAGTCGAATTACAAAATAAGAGAATAACAGAGTTGGAAGGGATTTTGGAGAACCCTCTGTTCTACCATTTCAGACAAAGTAATGTCTTAATATGGGACGCGGTGGCTCAGCGGCTAAGACACTGAGCTTGTCGATCGGAAGGTGGGCAGTTCAGTGGTTCGAATCCCTAGTGCCGTGTAACGGGGTGAGCTCCCGTGACTCGTCCCAGCTTCTGCAAACCTAGCAGTTCGAAAGCATGTAAAAAGTGCAAGTCGAAAAATAGGGACCACCTTTGGTGGGAAGGCAACAGGTTCCATGCGCTTTTGATGTTGAGTCATGCCGGCCACATGACAATGGAGACGTCTTCGGACAGCGCTGCCTCTCCGGCTTTGAAACGGAGATGAGTACCGCCCCCTTGAGTCGGGAACGACTAGCACATATGTGTGAGGGGAACTTTTACCTTTTTAATGTCCTAAACTTACTAAAACTTTGCTTTTTTTACAATGCATGTCCTGGTTTTTTTTTTTCCTATTCAGAACTCTCTCTTGGCAAAACCAGCCCCCCCATCCCACCCCCAAGGGCTAGACTGTTTCATGTGGGGGGGAAATGCAGGCCATTCTGCTACCCTTCACTGAAGGTGTGAGCTTACCAAAGATCAACCATCTAATTGTTAGGAAAATCTTCAAGAAAACACTGGTATTCAGCTGGTTCGAACCAATTTGGGCGAACTGGTAGTGGCCCACTTGCCCACTCACCCTGGTGCAATCCCGTCCCATATGTGTTTTTGACGCTGCACACATGTGTGGATAGCATGTGTGAGTGAATTGCCACATTTTTGACATCACATGCATGCATGGACGGCGCACATGCAAGCGATGCAAGCATGTGCATGCACGCGCTCACCTTTCCGGTGCTTTCCTAACCGATTGCTACAGTATGTGAAGCTCACCTCTTTTATATGATAGTTAAAACTTTTGTGATTTGTCATTTACTAAAATACAATGACACTAGACTGTTTCTGGATCGGCTTCTGGACCTTTAGATTACACACCTTAAAACTATGCGTGGTTTGAAATGTTTTCATTCATTACTCTTCATAATCTACAATTTGGCTATCTTAGCCTTTGATAAATATCAGAGGAGTTGGAACACGCAAAAGCTTAACCATTTTGCTTCAAAATTTTATTATCTTTGTTGTGCTGATCACCGTAATGGTGGTTGGAAACCCCCTTCTTCCTTTCCTTGTTCCCTCCTGGATTTCTGTTCTTTGCCTTCTCTGATCCTTTGTCTTGGGCGGTGGTGAAATCCAATTTTTTTTACTACTGGTTCTGTGGGCGTGGCTTGGTGGGCGTGCTGTGGCTTGGTGGGCGGTGCTTGGTGGGCATGGCAGGGGAAGGATACTGCAAAATCTCCATTTCCATCCCACTCCAGGGGGAGGATACTGCAAAATCCCCATTCCCTCCTCACTCCTGGGGGAAGAATATTGCAAAATCTCCATTCTCACCCCACTCTGGGGCCAGCCAGAGGTGGTATTTGCCGGTTCTCCGAACTACTCAAAATTTCTGCTACCGGTTCTCCGAACTACTCAAAATTTCTGCTAGCGGGTCTCCGAACTACTCAAAATTTCTACTACCAGTTCTCCAAATTATTCAAAATTTCTGGTACCAGTTCTCTGAACTACTCAAAATTTCCGCTACCGGTTCTCCGAACTACTCAAAATTTCTGCTATCGGTTCGCCGAACTACTCAAAATGTCCGCTACCGGTTCTCCGAACTTACTCAAAATTTCTGCTTCGGTTCGCCGAACTACTCAAAATGTCCGCTACCGGTTCTCCGAACTGCTCAAAATTTCCGCTACCGGTTCTCCAGAACCTGTCAGAACCTGCTGGAACCTGGTCTTGGGGTATTTTTGTATTTTGTAATGTTTATGTTTGTTTTAAACATTTTTAACAATCGAAAACCACCTAGAGTCCCTGCATGTTAGGCAGCATACTATTACTACTACTAATGATACTATTAAATAGGTGGTACCAATAGTAATAGGCACCTTGGGTGCAATCCCAAAACAATTGGAGCACCACTTGAACACCATCGGCATTGACAAATTCAGTCATCAGTCAATTGCACTAGTTGCCTTTACTTGGAACAGCTTACATCCTGCAACAATACCTTGAACACCATCAAACAACCACATCTGCCTATCCCAGGTCCTTGGAAAGGACTCGATAAGTAGACAGAAATGCCAAATCCAGGCTGAACATCTGGCTGACTGTGCAATGAACCATAATAATGATGATGCCTTCCCCAGATTTGGCACTCAGCATTTCAACAATGTTGCTCTGACTGGATGTCCAAATTAGAGAAAGCTGTCAAATTCTAGAACGCTAGAATTTATAATTCTAGAGTGGCTTTTGATCAGATTTTTCCTATGATGGAAATCAGAATCTCAAATATACGTGTCTGTCTATGCATGCATGCATTTCCACAACATACAGTATATGTTGCTTTGTTTCTGAGCAGTTTTCTTTATAAATTTATTACAATAAAGAAGAAGTATCAATTAATAGCAATAGCACTTAGACTTATATACCGCTTCACAGTACTTTACAGCCCTCTCTAAGCGGTTTACAGAGTCAGCCTATTGCCCCCAACAATCTGGGTCCTCATTTTACCAATCTCAGAAGGATGGAAGGCTGAGTCAACCTTGAGCCGGTAAGGATCAAACTCCTGGCAGTCAGCAGAATTAGCCTGCAATACTGCATTCTAGCCACTGCGCCACCACAGCTCTAATTATAATGCAATTATAATTAACCTACTGTACCACCATTCAGGGGTAGCATGATCTTAGTCATCCCCAAACACTTTCTGAAGAATCATCTGTCAACTCGCAAAGCATCCCTGGCCTGCTCTTGAGTTGCCATAGGCAAGGGAGATGGGAAAATGGCGAAGCAGCACGGCAGCCAAAAAACAAAAGCACATTCCAGACATATCTCTCTCAAGGCTGTCTCCCAGGGTTACCCACAGCGGCCGGAGTGGAGTGATCTCTACAACCTGTGAAATTGCTCCGTTGGCAAATGTGACTGATGACACACCCTAGGGGGAAGGGGGAAACAGGGTCAAGATTGGATCATAAATTACAGGGGGGTCAGAATTGGCTTCACTTGGAACATGCTGACATGAAGCTCCTATTAAATAACTGGATTTCTTTTGAAGCTTGGCTTGAAGCTCATGATTTAATTAGGGCATCTGTCGGAACCCTGACAGCAAGCCAACTCTGACCCCATGTAATTTACCACCCATCATCTTTTTATGACTCTGAAAATTTAATAAGCCACAATGGTCCAGATATCCAAGTACAAAGTTCTCAGATTTTATTTGCAAACCATTTTTCCCCTGTTGTTCCTAAAGGTGATCCAAGGAACATCACCCCAAAAGGACTGCTACACCATAAGAGGCCACATGTCCATAATAAGCCTAAAAGTGCTAATTGATACGTAAAAATGCAAGTTTAGAAATTATGACTCTGTCTCAAATAGCAATTGATCTCATGTTGAGGAGGAAGGCACTGACATGAGAATGTACGTGCCTCTATAGCTTGCTAAACGTTGACTAGCTTCTTCGTGGTTCCTGCTTTCCCTTTTCGAAATTCTTTAATTGGACAGCTGTTCAGATTGACAAGGCATTTCAATAGACAAAAGCCCCCTCCAAGCCTTATGAAGATATACATCCTCTCTAAAGTAGGACATTGGGGCAGTGGTGGGATTCAGCCGGTTCGGGCCAGTTCAGGCGAACCGGTAGTTAAATTGCTGCCTGGCCCCGCCCCTCCTATTCCAGGAGTCCCCACACGCCCTATTTTGGCTCCCAGTCAAGTGCCTCCTAGGCCCATAACAGGGCGTCCCCTCTCCTACAGCCCGTTTTCACTCCCAGGAGGCTGCAGGGAGGCCTACTAGGCCCAAAACGAGGTGTGGGGGTGTGTGGCACAGGCCTCCCCTCCACGGCCCATTTTTGCTCCCAAGAGGCTGCAGATAGGCCTACTAGGCCCAAAATGGGGCACGGGGAGCGGCATATTTTTGCTCCCAGGGGTGTGCAGGAGACCAAGTGCTGCCTGTCACACCTTCTGGCCATGCCCACCATGGCCACACCCACCCAGCCATTCATTAGGGCAGAGAACCAGTTGCTGAATTATTTGAATCCCACCATTGCATCGGGCCGTCTTCTCATCCCTACAAATGGCCCGCTTCATTTGATCTCCGGTGATTACCTTCTGCTGTGGAATGGTTGGTTGTACAAGTGGGATGCTATTCCGTTGTTGAATCCGAACATTCTGCGGTTGTAAAGTTGATTGTTCCTGTTTGTTCCATTCCTAGACTTGGAAGATCTGATAAAATGGCCAGCTTGGCGATCCGGATGTGAAAAAATCCTGAGACCAATGTCCAACACAGGGAGGATTGTAAATTGGGTTTTCTGTGATTGCTCTAACATGCTAAAAGTAGGTCAGTCCCTCCCAAGATATCCTGTCTCTCTCTCTCTCTCTCTCTCTCTCTCTCTCAGAGGACAGTTGATTAGAAAGTTTCTTTCCGGTTTATGAATTACCAGTTTAGGTAATTCATAAACATGGAAGATTTCTGGGAATAAGCATCTGGGAATAAGTGGCATCCTCCAGATGTAAAGAGGGTGAGTGGAAAGGAAAACCCACCACATCTGCCTGGGGTTCGAAGAAGCCATTTTCAAATAGTTTGCAAAATGACAAACTATTAACAATGCTAACAAGGATGGAAAAGGCGACCAAGATTCCAATCCTAACCATATCTACTTGGGAGTTAGTTATTAGAAGTCAAAGGCTCTAGCATCCAAGTAATATGCTCAGAATTCCGATAAAGAAGAATATATTAAAGGAAAGAGAACATGAAAACACCCTAGAGAAGAAAAACAAACTCTAGAAATGACTCCAGAAAATCATTGATAGGAATGTAAGTAGGCCATTTCATGAGTTACTTCTCATGAAATGTGTTCACTATAAAATAATTCTTCAAATATCAACTCAAAAATATTTGGCTGTTTGAAAAAAAACTCGAGAGGAAGAAGATAAAAGCTACAGCATGGTTGCTGAGGAACCTAGAACCCCAAAAATCCATTGGGAAGAACTTGGAGGTGGGGGAAGAAAATAAGAAATGAGGAGGAGAGATGGATAAACAATGCATAATAAATATCATACATTCAGTCTTAAAAACATGCCTTATCATACTTCTTTGTAACATAGCTCAATTGACAGTGAAAATGAGGTTAGTTTTTCGATCAAAAAGAAAGAAGGACACAATTAAAATTATTCTAACGAGGAGATGATCAACTGGCAAAGAGAATGCTCTTTGGGCATCTCCTGTTCAGGATAAACCATGATCTATAATCATCAAGATAACAAAGTTCTCTAAAGTATAATTAATTTCAGGTTCTAAAGGGATTGGACACCATGATGAAACAAAAATGTAACTCAATGCAAGAGAAGAAAAAACATTCTTGATGCTGTACAGCAGCCAAATTGCTTAGAACAATTCACTGACTACCAAGAACATAAAAGTGAATATGCTGGAAAAAGGATGCATCAATTGACAAAAAGGCATTGTAGAATAACTTCCTATTATCTCTTAGTGAAACTTTACAAGGTATGTGAATACCCTTCTAATAGTAAACCTGGTTTTGTGCGTCACTCTCAGAAGGGCGTGGATATTTTTAATTCTAACATTTGGCACCCTCTATCCATGAATAATTTCAGATTTTGGTATAATCTAGGCATTCCCTTTAAGAAAAGAAAGAGATGACTTAATCTGAAATACTAAGACTTAAATATATTGAGACTCCAAGACTTTTTTTTAATACAGAAATGTTATTGAGTTGAAGAATCTTACAGTTTGCAAAAGTTATACAAGTAGGAAACAAGGTTTGATCTAGAAACCTCTCCTTGCAGATCTAAAATCTAAACTAGAAGAAGAAGAGAAGAAAAGAGAGGAGGAAGATGAGAACTAAGAATAGGGAACCCCCCCCAAACTAAAACTGAAGGATAGAGAAATAGTGTGCTGAGCCATCCAGTGCTTTTAAGCTAGACCATCAAGGAACTGAACCTGAAACCACCAAGCAAAATGGCAAGCACATTCCTGATAATAAGGAAGCTATCTCTCCATTTCTTTTACTTAAGATCATAGCTGTCCATTCCTAACCGCAATGACACTAAATGATAAAACATGCCTTGTGGCATCCCAACATGTGTTTTGTCACTTGCTACCCCCATCCCAAAGCAGAGACATCATCCTGCCAACAAATGTGCGAATAGTCAAGGCGATGGTTTTCCCAGTTGCAATGTCTGGCTGTGAAAGTTGGACCATAAGGAAGGCTGAGCGCCAAAGAATCAAGGTCTTTGAACTCTGGTGCTGGAGAAGCCTCCTGCGAGTCCCTTGGACTGCAAGGGAATCAAAACGGTCAGTCCTAGAGGAGATCATCCCTGACTGCTCTTTAGAAGGCCAGATCCTGAAGATGAAACTCAAATACTTTGGCCACCTAATGAGAAGGAAGGGCTCACTGGAGAAGAGCCTAATGCTGGGAAGGATTGAGGGCAAAAGAAGAATGGGACGTCAGAGAATGAGGTGGCTGGATGGAGTCACTGAAGCAGTTGGCGTGAGCTTAAATCAGGGGTCAGCAATCTGCGGCTCTGGAGCTGCATGTGGCTCTTTCATCCCTCTGATGCAGCTCCCTGTTGCTGGTCAGCTCCACAATTGATAAAGCTTTCGGTTAGGACAGGTAGTGGAAAAAGGATGCTGTGCTAGGAGGAGACTATGGTGGGGGAACCAGACTTCTGGTCAGCTGCAGAATTGAACGGGGGCTTCCGGTTAGGACCTTTGTGGCTCTTTGAGTGTTTAAGGTTGCCAACCCCTGGTTTAAATGTACTCCAGAGGATGGTAGAGGACAGGAAAGCTTGGAGGAACGTTGTCCATGGGATCGCGATGGGTCGGACACAACTTCTCAACTAACAACAACAACAAACCCCCACCTCTGTGGGGGTATCTATGCCAAAGACCTACCTAACACTCTATTTGGTGTGAGAGCCCACGCAGAATAATCCACCCTCAGCAAAAGCCACAATCTTGTACCAGGCTACAACTTAAACCCACCTAAAGCGAGTGTGCAGCTAAATGTGGCCCAGAACTCTATCTCCAGGTTGACAACTGCACAACCTGTTTTAACCGATTCCAGGCAACTATGGAATCGAGTCAGGTTTGACACAGGTGATTGTTGCAATGAGCTAAGAATCACCGTGGATTAAGAAAAAGAAAAATGTATCCTCACCAGGAAGATGAAATAGGGTTTTAAAACCATGTACAGTCCCAATTCAACATATGCTTTCCAATGTATTAGATTGTTTCCTCTCTCTGTTCAGTATTTTGTGTCCCAGTGACAACACAGTCTGAGACACAGAAATGAAAGCGAGGAACAATCATTAACAGCAGATAATGATCCATCCATACCCTGATATGGTATCTCCTCCCACTTAGGACTGTATGATTGTAACCTTGTTGCTGGTATCCTTACGATTTATATTGACTGTTTCCTAATATGATTTGATTGCTTATTTGTACCCGATGACTATCATTAAGTGTTGTACCTTATGACTCTTGACGAATGTATCTTTTCTTTTATGTACATTGAGAGCATATGCACCAAAGACAAATTCCTTGTGTGTCCAATCACACTTGGCCAATAAAGAATTCTATTCTATTCTTTGAAAGAGATTTCAAAGCCAAATCTGCTTTCCTTGAGTTGAAGGAGGACAGGCAGGAAATGTAAAATAAAGCAGGACAATTGCTCAGTGTCTCACCAAGGTGTCAGCAGCTGAAGGCCAGTTCCTTACCTGTCTGAATCTTCATCTGATCTCTGATCTCTGTACTGGTACTGCGGGGAGGTAATTCTATTCTCTGTAGCAAAGGAACTGTACCTGCCAAGGAAGAAAAGAGAATGTCTATTTACTTCTGCTATCAAAAACCAACCAACCAACCAATCAATCAATCCTACCAAGAGCCTTGGTAGTACAGTGGTCTAAAGCACCCTGTTATTAAGACCAGCTGCCTGCAATTACTGCAGGTTCGAATCTCGCCAGGCTCAAGGTTGACTCAGCCTTCCATCCTTTCTAAGGTAGGTAAATTGAGGACCCAGTTGTGGGGGCAATAAGCTGACTTTGTATAAATATACAAAAGGATGAAGGCTATTGCTTAGCACATTGTAAGCCGCCCTGAGTCTCCGGAGAAGGGCAGCATATAAATCAAATTTAAAAAAAAAAATCAATCAGAATAGAGCTGGAAGGGACCTTGGAGGTCTTCTAGTCCAGCCCCCTGCTTAAGCAGGAGACTCTATACTATAACCCTTCCAGTGGTTCTCATTTGAGCAGAAACAGGTATGGCAGATGCATCAAAAGGTCTTTTGTTCCTGCCAAAGAGAGGACAGGAAGTTCTACAGGTAGTCCTTTCTTGATGACGCTCGTTCAGAGGCTGTTCAAACTTACGATGACACAGAATAAGTGGTACTTATGACCAGTCTTTGAAACTGGGACTATTGGCATCGCTCCTGTGGTCATATGATTGCAATTGGAGCATTTGGCAACCAGTCTAGATTTCTGAGCACCGCAGAATCCCACAATCACACGATTTGTGATTTGTGTCAACTGGCTTCCCAGAAGCAAAATCAATGTGGAAGCCAGCAGGAAGTCAGAAGGATCCCATGAGATCATCGCTTAAGAACCCAGTATGATCCTCGCTTAATGATGGCATTAAGATGGTCCCAATTACCATAATTAAATAAGGACTACTTGTAATTTAGGGAGGCGGTGGCTCAATGGCTAAGACGCTGAGCTTGTCGATCAGAATGTGGGCAGTTCAGAGGTTCGAATCCCTAGTGCCGCATAATGGGGTGAGCTCCTGTTACTTGTTCCAGCTTCTGCCAACGTAGCAGTTCGAAAGCACATAAAAAATGCAAGTAGAAAAATAGGGACCACCTTTAGTGGGAAGGTAACAACGTTCCGTGAGCCTTTGGCGTTTAGTCATGCCGGCCACATGACCCCGGAGACGTCTTCGGACAGCGCTGGCTCTTCAGCTTTGAAACGGAGATGAGCACCGCCCCCTAGAGTCGGGAACGACTAGCACATACGTGCAGAGGAACCTTTACCTTTACTTGTAGTTTGTAGCAAAAAATGATCACATTGTACCTCTTTTCAACCAGCAGGAATCCTTTGCCGCAAACTTTACATGTTGTACACAACATTTTGCTATTCTCAAGTCAGTTTTTCTTTTTTTTACTGAATCCAAAATTCACCTGGAAATCTCCACATCCGATTCCTCCCTCTTGGGACTACTTAGAAGTTCACACTGGATTCCAGTGGTACTCAGACTATTTTCTCCAGGCTGTAGCTCAGACCTGAAAAAATAAAATAAAATCCCCCCCATAGAAGAGAATATTTGTAACTCAGGGTTGAACTGCGGAGTCCTTGATGCTCACCTAGCTAATCAGACTAGCACTGATGATGTTACCTAGTATGGTAATGAAAGGCCTGCAAAAAAAAACAACCAAACTCTGAGAGCACCAAGGACTTCACAAAAATAAGAATATTGGCAAATCTGTTCCTCTTAAACTTTGCTGCATAGTGTTCCCAGGCCTTTTTCCTGCAACCTCCAATTTTATTGGAGATTTTTTATTCTTTTTCATTTGTGCTTTATAAATGCTTTTAACATTAAATGGCCACAAAAAGTCACACATTATTATTATTTTCTTTTTTTTTACCTTGCAGCCTTCTGTGATTCATTCAAGATGGAATGACAGACAGTGGTGGGTTTCAAATTGTCTTACTACCGGTTCTGTGGGCTTGGCTTGGTGGGCGTGGCATGGCTTGGTGGGTGTGGCTTGGTGGGCGTGGTAGGAAGGATATTATAAAATCTCCATTCCCACCCCACTCCAGGGGAAGGATACTGTAAAATCCCCATTTCCTCCCGATCAGCTGGGACTTGGGAGGCAGAGAATAGATGGGGGCGGGGCCAGTCAGAATTTTTACTACCGGTTCTCCGAACTACTCAAAATTTCTGTTACCGGTTCTCCAGAACTGATCAGAACCTGCTGAAACCCACCTCTGGACAGGCATGTTTTCATCAAGGTGTTACAGGTAGCCTTTGACTTGCAACCATGTGTTTAGTGATTGGTTGAAGTTACAACGGCATTGAAAACAGTGACTTATGACCAGTTTTCACACTTACAACCGCTGTAGTATCTTCACAGTCACATGATCAAAATTTGCTTGGCAACTGGCATGTATTTATGACGGTTTGCACTGTCGTGATGTCATGCAACTACCATTCGTAACCTTCCAATACGGTTTCCGACAAAAACGATGTGGGAAGCCAGATTCGCTGAATGACTGCATGTTTCGCTTAAGAACTGCAAGTGATTTGCTTAACAACCGTGGCAAAAAGGTGGTAAAATGGGGCAAAACTCTCTTAACAACGGCCTTGCTTAACAGTGGAAATTTTGGGCTCAATTGTGGTTGTTAAATCGAGGACTTGCAATACAAATCTTTTTTGTAGCATTCTAGTGCCAGGGTTCTTGGATATTTTCCCCCTTTCTTCTCCGTACCTTTTTGAGTCAAAACCCTCGTTGTTGTCCAGGTGAGGGATGTCCTGTACCCCATTCCTGGGGATACGTCAGTGTTTTCCCTGGTGAAAAAGGAAGACAAAAAGAGATTGTTCAGTACAGATGAAGAATTGGACGTGTCAGTGAAGAAAACCTGAATTTGGTAGCTTTTCTCTTCCCTCCTCATCCCTTTTTCCCTCTCTCTCTCTCCCTCTCCCTCTCTCTCCCTCTCTCTCTCTCTCCATTTCTCTTTCTCTTTCTGTCTGTCTCTCTCCCTGCCTCTCTCTGTCTCTCTCTGTGTGTGTCTCTCTGTGTGTCACTCTGTCTCTCTGTCTCTGTGTGTGTCTCTCTGTCTCACTCTCTGTCTGTTTCTCTTTCTGTCTCTCTGTCTCTCTCTCTGTGTCTCTCTGTGTGTCACTCTGTCTCTCTCTCTTTCTGTCTCTCTGTCTCTCTCTGTGTGTGTCTCTCTGTGTCACTCTCTGTCTCTGTTTCTCTTTCTGTCTCTCTGTCTCTCTATCTCTCTCTGTGTGTGTCTCTCTGTGTGTCACTCTGTCTCTCTGTCTCTGTGTGTGTCTCTCTGTCTCACTCTCTGTCTCTGTTTCTCTTTCTGTCTCTCTTCTGTGTCTCTCTGTGTGTCACTCTGTCTCTCTCTTTCTGTCTCTCTGTCTCTCTCTGTGTGTGTCTCTCTGTGTCACTCTCTGTCTCTGTTTCTCTTTCTGTCTCTCTGTCTCTCTCTCTGTGTCTCTCTGTGTCACTCTGTCTCTCTCTTTCTCTCTCTCTCTGTCTGTCTGCCTCTCTGTTTCTCTGTGTGTTTCTGTGTCACTATCTCTCTCTTTCTGTCTCTCTATCTCTCTCTGTGTGTGTCTCTCTGTGTGTCACTCTCTGTCTCTGTTTCTCTTTCTGTCTCTCTGTCTCTCCCCTGTGTCTCTCTGTGTGTCACTCTGTCTCTCTCTTTCTCTCTCTGTCTGTCTGCCTCTCTCTGTTTCTCTCTGTGTGTCTCTGTCACTCTCTCTCTCTTTCTGTCTCTCTATCTCTCTCTGTGTGTCACTCTGTCTCTGTCTCTCTCTCTCTCTCTCTCTCTCTGTGTGTGTGTGTGTGTGTGTCTGTGTCTGTGTCTGTGTCTCTCTGTCTGCCTCTCTCTTTCTGCCTCTCTGTCTCTCTGTCTGCCTCTCTCTGTTTCTCTCTGTGTGTCTCTCTGTGTGTCACACACTCTCTCTCTCTTTCTTTCTGTCTCTCTGTCTCTCTTTCTGACTCTCTCTCTGTGTCTCTCTCTACTGGGTATGTGTATTAGTTTGTAAGCCTATGTATAGAGAAACCATTCTTACTTTTGAAAACTAAACAGGAAGATTAATTAAAATGCACAGTCTGTAAGGACCAGCCTTTCCCCCCTTCCAAGAAAGTACGAACTCTTGAAAACTTTGTATTTCAAAAGGAACCTTTTTATTGAAAAGGGATGAAAGCAAGTCAAAATTCAAAGCAGGCTCTGAGGTCCCTCAGGGCATGCAGTCCAGGATAAAGGGAATTAGGAATCCCACCCCACCGTCCGATGCGGATTCCCACCAATCCGCCGATGTGAAGATGATATCGTACCGGCCTCTTTGAGAAGCAGATAAGAAGAGCTTCTCAGGGCTATCTTGCAATCCACACGCCCTCCCTCCCCTCTCATTTCCCCACAGGTGAGAATTCTCCAGGCATTTCTGGCACCAGGCAACGGTTATAATCCAGGTTAAAGTTTATACAAAGAGGACCAGGCAGGAAATTGGATACTTAGGATACATAGGAAAGAGAACTAAATGTGGCAAATCCAAATCCCCCACTTCTTCCACGAAGAATGGCAGATACACGGATCTGACAGTCAATGAAATCACCTTTTTTGGATATGTTTCCATGGAGTCATAAACCCTACGCTAAATATATTTGTTTTATGTTTTGTTGTTCCCGTAAAGCAAGGATGTTATTGATTTTTGAGGAATTATTTATAGCAACGTTCCTCCAAGCCAGCGCTGGTCAATTTTCTGGGCCTACAGGTCCCATTATCCTCACCTAGCAAGGCCATCAGGTCTAGCACCCCTGTGTTTGTTCTGCCTCCAAAAACTTTGGAAAACTCAAAATAGATATTTAACGGACATGCTTGTTGGGACTAAGGCAAGGATTATCTTATCTGTTGTTACTTGGAATGATTCTTGTGGCATAATCTTGGTTTTCTGAATGCTGAGAATCTCCCTGAATTCTTACTTTTCTGCGGCTGGCTGATGATAGCAGAATTCTGCAGCTTTTGAGTCCGGATCCTTAAGTTTTCTTTCTCCATTGGAGACGTCATGTTTGTGCTCCAGGGCAGATCTGTTGAAAAAAAATGATTGTCTACCATGAAGATCCTGTTTCTCCTTTTTATTTGTTTGTTTGTTTGTAACATTTATTGGCCACCCATCTTACTTCAAGGTAACTTGCAATAGTAAAAGATAAAAACTATATAAACTGCTGTGGGAGATGGTAATTGAACATTCTCCCTCTCTCCCTCTCCCTCTCTCCCCTCCCTCTTTCTTTCCTTCCTTCCTTCCTTCCTTTCCTTCCTTCCTTCCCTTCCTCCCTTCCCTCCCTCTTCCTTCCTTCTTTCCTCCCTTCCTTTCCTTCTCCCTTCCTCCCTCCCTCCTCCCCCTTCCTTCCTTCCTTTTTTCTTTCCTTCCTTCCTTCTTCCCTTCCTTCCTTCCCTTCCTTCCTTCCTTTTTTCTTTCCTTCCTTCCCTTCCTCCCTCCATCCCTCTTCCTTCCTTCTTTCCTTCCCTCCCTCCCTCTTCCTTCCTTCTTTCCTTCCTTCCTTCCCTTCCTTCCCTTCCTCCCTCCCTCCCTCTTTCTTCTTTCCTTCTTTCCTTCCTTCCCTTCCTCCCTCCCTCCCTCTTCCTTCTTCTTTCCTTCCTTCCTTCCCTTCCTCCCTCCATCCCTCTTCCTTCCTTCTTTCCTTCCCTCCCTCCCTCTTCCTTCCTTCTTTCCTTCCTTCCTTCCCTTCCTCCCTCCCTCCCTCTTCTTCTTTCCTTCTTTCCTTCCTTCCTTCCTCCCCCTCCCTCTTCCTTCCTTCTTCCTCCTCCTTTCCTTCCTTCCCTTCCTCCCTCCCTCCCTTTCCTTCCTTCTTTCCTTCCTTCCTTCCCTTCCTCCCTCCCTCCCTCCCTCTTTCTTCTTTCCTTCCTTTCTTCCTTTCCCATTTTTCCAAAGAAACAACCATAGCTTTATGTCTGGGGACAGCATCAGAGAAGTATGGTTGTTTCCCATTTGCCACTCAAAATTCCTGCAAAAAATATTTGCTGGAAACTGCCTTAAATTTAATGAAGCTTCCTGTTGAGAAGGGCTACAGCACTAAACATTTTGAACATCGCTAACCATCAAACCAAAGTGTTCTTTGGAAAAGAACTTACTTGTCAAAAAACATTTGACTCTGCATTTCATTCTTCTCGCTGTGGTTAGAAAACAAGTGATGTTGGAAAACACGTATTAGAATGTTTTAATTTTAGAAATGTTTTTAAAGAAAAGCGTAGTGCTTTAAAATGAATCATTCCCCCCCCTTAAGGTTAAAGAAGCTGAAAGAATACAGTAAATTTTATTAATAGACATGGTGATAGTTTATAAAGCTTATTAAGTGCAAATAGAAATACATAGTTTTTCAACAAGGAAGATAAAGCCGCAATGGTGAAATCGATTGTTCTATTTAAAGAGGAGAATATATTGATGGTTTTTTAAAATTTGGATATCACTTCTGGATTTTGTGCTTGTGATGAAAACAACAACAAAAAAAAATACAACGTTGACTTTAGTTTTGCCGATTAGATAGATTTGTTGTTATAGTGACAACATAATGAATAGTACTATTACAAATGTGTAAAAGTAAAAGATTGAGGTTGTAATATTATCTCGTACTGTGCTAAAAAGAGTCATTTTTTTCTTTCTTCCGTATACCTCATAATTTCTACCTCATATACCTCATATACCTCATAATTTCTTTCCCCTTTTCTTTTTCCTTCCCTTAATTTCCTTTTTTAAATTTTTCTTTGTATTTTATACATTGATAAAAATTATATTTAAAAAATAAAGAAAAAAGTTCTTCATCCTTTCTACTTCCTTCCTAAAATCCTCAACTGACCAATAACTGTCCATAGAGAAGGGGGAGGGGCATCAAAATAGTTAAGACCTCAACCTGTCACTATGCAACGGAAGCCCCGCCCATTTTATGTGCCTGGCATTCTGAAGAAACATATTGCCAGCCTTGAAATTCAGAAAACTCCAAATGAATCCATTGCACATTCTTCAGTGAGCAATAGAAGTCCCACCAATGTCCTGTCCTGACCTTGCCATCTATAGTCTGTTTCATGGGACATTCATGTTCATAATTGAGGCTTCAAAAGCTGCCAAGTTGCTCCTTTTCTCCTTAGTCTATGTATATAAAAATGGCTCTGTGTGTGTATGTTCCAGCATAACTCTGGAATGCCTCGAGCAATTTCAACCAAACTTGGTACACAGATGACTTACTCTCTGGAAAGAAATACTCTGGGGGTAAGACACCTCTAACACCCCTCAGTGTGTGTATGTGTGTGTGTGTCTGTCTGTCTGTATGTGTATGTTCTAGCATAACTCTGGAATGCCTGGGCCGCTGAAATGAAAAGGAATGAATTATATCTATAGCGTCAAATCACAGTACTTTTGACAGTGATACTGTGCATTTTGGATTCAAGTTCTGTTAAGATACAGGCTGTTGTGCCTTAAAATGGCTTCCTTGGTTCTTTAAAAAAAACAAACTAACTAACACCCTAGGCCCTCAGCTTCAAGCAAAAGAGGGCAAGTTGTCCGGGGAGGTGCCTGCTAATGCAGATAATCACCTCAAAGGCTGTTCTCTGTAGAATTTTTCCCAGGCTGTTGGCAAGGGCAATTAGGTCTCTAATACTCACCACAGTGGTTGAGCCAATCCTTTTCCTGTCTAATACAGGATTGGGATAAATAAATACCCGGGCAACACCGGGTTATCAGCTAGTTTATATATAAAAAAGAAATGATTGTAACAGTTCACTCTGACGTCTTAGACTCATAGGGCTGGAAGTGACCTTGGAGGTCTTCTACTCCAAACTCTCTGCCCAGGACAGATTTTACGCCATCCTAGTTACAACTACTGTAACGGTCTCTACATGGGGCTCCCCTTGAAGAGCACCCGGAAGCTCCAACTGGTCCAGAATGCGGCCGCACGGGTGATTATGGGGGCGACATGGCGCACCCATGTAACACCTCTCCTGCACGAGCTGCACTGGCTCCCGGTGGTCTTCCGGGTGCGATTCAAGGTGTTGGTTACCACCTTTAAAGCGCTCCATGGCTTAGGACCGGAGTATATACGAGATTGCCTTCTGCCACCGATAGCCTCCCACTGGCCAATACACTCCCACAGAGAGGGGCTCCTCAGGGTGCCGTCGGCCAAACAATGTCGACTGGCGACATCCAGGGGGAGAGCCTTCTCTGTGGGGGCACCAGCCCTCTGGAATGAGGTTCGTATGATCCCCGACCTGCGTACCTTTTGCCGCGCCCTGAAGACCCTTCTGTTCCAACAAGCCGGCCTGACCTAATAGGAATTTTTAAATTGGGTGTTTGTTAGATCTTAATTTCGTGGGCCAAATTTTATATATTTGTTTTTAAATTGTCCTTAAATTTTGTGGTTTATATGTATTTTAATATGGCTGTACACCGCCCTGAGTCCTTTGGGAGAAGGGCGGTATAGAAGTTCAATAACATCAAATCAAATCAAAATCAAATGGTTGTCCAGTCTATTCTTGAAAACTTCCAAAGATGGAGCACCCATAACTCTGAAAGGCAAGCTGTTCCATCGATTAATTGGTCAGGTATGTCTTTCGTGCCAGCTTGGCTCTCCCTTTAATGCTTCTTGTCCTTTGGAGCTTTAGAGAACAGTTTGGACTCGTGTGGGCTTTACCTTCTCTTTGGAGAAGTAGAGATCCTGGGGACAGAATCATGTCCAGAACTCATTTCACACTTCTCGTCTGACTTGTTACTGGAAAAGGGAAACAAATTATGGTTGAATAAAGCATGGAGGTCGGCTAAAAAAAACCATACTGAGAAATTGAAGATAGTATGAAGATACTAAGGAATGAGAGCCAGTTGGTCTAATGGTTCAGGCACCAAGCTAAAAACTAGGAGCTTGGGAGTTCTAGTCCTGCCTTAAACCACAAAATCTGGCCAGTCTTTTTCAGTCCACAGTAACAGTTTTGGGCGACAAGCTAGTCAGTCAATTACTGTTGCAACTAATGGATCACAGTCAGTTGATCTCAAAAAAAGCAGACCCTGTATTTGAACATGTCCCCAGTTTAACCAAAAGAAAGTTAAAGAACATCTTACTGAAAACACACAAGCAGCTTGAAAATTCCCTAAATAAACCAACAAACCTAAGTTCTGGGGTTCGTCACAGACATTACCTGCTCTCCACAGATATGGAGTAGTTGAATGAAGTTTCAAGGTAGGGTTTCGAGGCCACATTTCTGCTGGTGGTTGTATCAACACTACAAAAGCAAAGAGAAAAAGAAACCTTTAATGTGGAGATCAAGTTATTGGTAGGTGAAAGTTACCAATAGTAGTAACTGTGAGAGGGATCTTGGCATCCTAGTGGACAACCATTTAGATATGAGCCAGCCGTGTGCAGCAGCTGCCAAAAAAGCCAACACAGTTCTAGGCTGCATAAACAGAGGGATAGAATCAAGATCACAGGAAGTGTTAATACCACTTTATAATGCCTTGGTAAGGCTACATTTGGAATCCTGCATCCAGTTTTGGTCGCCACGATGTAAAAAAGAGACTCTAGAAAGAGTGCAGAGAAGAGCAACCAAGATGATGAGGGGACTGGAGGCTAAAACATATGAAGAATGGTTGCAGGAATTGGGTATATCTAGTTTAATGAAGAGAAGGACTAGGAGAGACATGATAGCAGTATTCCAATACCTCAGGGGCTGCCACAAGGAAGAGGGAGTCAAGCTATTCTCCAAAGCCCCTGAGGGTAGAACAAGAAGCAATGGGTGGAAACTAATCAGGGAGAGAATTTAGAGCTAAGGAGAAATTTCCTGACAATTAGAACAATTAATAAGTGGAACAACTTGCCTGCAGAAGTTGTGGATGCTCCAACACTTGAAAAATTTAAGAAGATGTTGGATAACCATTTGTCTGAAGTTGTGGTAGGGTTTCCTGCCTGGGCAGGGGGTTGGACTAGAAGATCTCCAAGGTCCCTTCCAACTCTGTTATTCTATTCTATTCTATTTTAAAGTTGCTATGATATGTAAGTATTACTTCTATTTTTTTGATCGTCATATTGATTGTCTTTGAATCCGTGATGAAATCCTCCAAGGTTTGCTACCGGTTTCTTGCGTGCGCATGTGCAGTACATGCCAAATGTGTGTGGTGCACACGCATGCACACTGCACACCAAATACACGCTGCACGTGCGCATGTGCAATGTGTGCCAAATGCGTGGGAAAAGGCGGCTTAAGAAGGTAAGTAGAACAGCTGGGATCAACAGTAAAAATAAAATGATTATGCTGGGATTAACAGTAAAATTAAGATGATTATGCTGGGATCAACAGCAAAAAAACAAAAATGATTATGCTGGGTATGACAGCAAAAACAAGAAGGATTATGTTGGGATTAACAGTAAAAATGAAATGATTATGCTGGGTTAAATAGTAAAAATAAAAATGAATATGCTGGGATTAACAGTAAAAGATGATGATTCAGATGAAGATGATGTGTTGGGATAAACAGTTAAAGTAAAGATGATTGTGCTAGGATTAGTGGTAAAAATAAAATGATTATGTTGGGATTAATAATTAAAATTAGGATATGTTGGGATAAACAGCAATGAAGATGATTATATTGGGAGCAATAGTGAAAATATTATTTAAATGCTTATAACAATTGTAATGATTTATACTTTTAAAATACATTCATCTAAGTAAAAAGAAAAAGAAAAATGAAATGATATTTGGTTAGGATTTAAAGATTTAAGTAACGGGTTTTGGGGATAATGGCATTGTTAAATAGACAGAATTTAGAGAAATAATTGAGTAAAATATTAAATTGTGTTAATTAAAAATTAAGATTTGTTAGTGATTTGTATCAATTTATGACTGGATCAATGCTTCGTTTTGAAAATATGTATTTTAGCTTTATGTTTTGTTTTGTTTTGTTTTTTAAAAAAAGAAAGTAAGTATAACAGCTGGGGGAAAACAGATGTGCTGCGTGATTTATATTCTCCAGAAAGCAAGATTTCCTGCTTTCTAGCAAATATAAATCATGCAGCACAACTGATCGTCGGAAATACTGATTCGGGCAAACCGGTAGCATTTTTTTACTACCGGTTCGCTTGAACCAGTGCGAACCAGTAGCATTTCACCCCTGCTTTGAAGCCAGTTCCGAGGGATGGTCCTGAGCTATAAAACTTATCTGTCTTGAATTCATCTGAACCTATTTTTCTTTGAGCCTGACATTTTGATTCAGCTACTTTGTGCATTTGCTAAATGAAAATCTGGGAACCTTCCACAGATATTGCTTAAAGTACAATTTCAATTAGCCCCAATCAGCAAAGATAAGTGAAGGATGCTGGGAGATGTAGTTCAGCAACCTCTGGAGAATCTCTAGAGAGGAGTTTCTCATCTTTATAGAGACCTTGTGATGGGATGTTTCCTTAATGTAATGTGAATCTGAACATAGGAGATATATTTTTTTGTAATTTACAGTGGCTATAATCTGATCATGATAGCACCTTGAAATCGAAGTTTACACCTGCAAGCTTAATTGCTACTTTAATCATTATTTTACTTGATGGATGGTAATGTACTATTTTAAAGTAATTTGGCACAGTTAAGTTGTCAATAACAGTGTTATTATGCCATCACACTGACTACCTGTCCATAAAAATATTTCAAACTTCTTTTCTCGTTTAAAAGAATTTTCAAAGCAAATTAATGTTTTTCAGCCAGGTTGATTGCCATATTATTGGATGGGAGAGGGGAAGGGAAATTGCAGATTATACTAACCTTGTCCTCACAGAAATATTGGCCAACCTTGATTCATTCTGGGGAGACTCTGAGGTTCTTCTTTCTCCGTTAGTGCTGTCAACAAGCCCAAAACAGTCTGGTTGATTTGCGTATTGTGATTCCTCTACAAACCATGGAATTACTAATCCAACTAAATTCCCTTTTAATGACTCTGTAATCCCTTCCTCCGGGAGAGAGTCGGGGTGACTGGATGGAGCTGAGCAGGTAGATCATAATAGCAATGACAAGAATAAGAGTAATCGGTTGTTTACCTTTTCCCACGACTGTTAAACCATGCTGAGGCAGGTACAGTCTGACTTCTGGATCGTGGACTGAAGTCATTTGGTACATCAACCCTTTCAAGAAAAGAAAACGCCCTTCAAATAAAATATATAGTTCTTCTCACCTCTGTATTGTTAGAATAGAAGACATTTCTGCCGACACTGACAAGGACTACAATTTCACTTACTTTTTAGCCACAATGGCTGGTACCTCTTGCGTTGGGCTTCTGAAAACAGACAAGATTGTGATTACATATTAAAAAATGAAAACTCCTTTGCATTCAAAAGATCAGGGTCTCCCTTGAAGAGCACATTCGTTGTTTTGTGAATTAAAGTTATTTAATAGAATAGAATCACTTAACAAATGCATGCAGGTTGCTATAAAAACTGCAACTTTCCTAAGTTTCATTGTTTTGCAAACTAAAGTTATTTAATAGAATAGAATCACTTTACAAATGCATGTGTCTTGCTTTAAAATTTGCAACTTAGAAGTGTCATTGTTTTGTGAATTAAAGTTATTTAATAGAATAGAATCACTTTTACAAATGCATGCGTCTTGCTATAAAAACTGCAGCTTTTCTATTCTAAGTTTCCTGTCCAGTTTTGCTATAGCTGATCTTCATTTCACAAAATCTTTGCTCTTCTTTGCTGCTAATAACTTTCCTCAACGTGGATGTTGCAATATTTTCAGGATCAGACTCAATAAAGATAATAGGAGTTAGAGCTTTAAATATATTTCTTTTTAATTATGATAGGCATTCTATATTCACTGAATATTCAAGGTAGAAGCAACGAGAATGGTGAGGGTGGCTCCTTATATATACAAGGGGTGGAGCTAGGAATGGGAGTGGTAAGTTATGAATACATTAAAGTCCAAAGAATAAGTTAACCTCTGATGTTCCATATATACATTATTTACACATTGGAGAATAAGGCATTTACATCTGACAGTGGAACTTCCAGATCTGCTATGAACATTGAAGCTGTCCATGAAGAATAGGCCTCGTTAGCACCCTCGCTTGTGTCCTTTGCTACTGCTTTCTTCATAGCAACATAACTAAGTATAGTACATAAAATTATCTGCCACAATGTCCTTCCTGTCAACGACTACTTCAGCTTCAACCACAACAATACACGAGCACACAATAGATACAAACTCAAGGTAAACCGCTCCAAATTAGATTGCAGAAAATACGACTTCAGCAACAGAGTGGTCAATGCTTGGAATGCACTACCTGACTCTGTGGTTTCTTCCCCAAATCCCCAAAACTTTAACCTTAAACTGTCTACTGTTGTCCTCACCCCATTCCTAAGAGGTCTGTAAGAGGCGTGCATAAGTGCACCAGCCTGCCTACCGTCCCTGTCCTAATATTCCTTTTTTACTTACTCTTTTCATGTATTCAAATTATGTTTATACTTTTACCTGTTATCTTATATATGCTTGACAAATAAACTTATTATTATTATTATTACTACTACTACTATTATTACTATTATTATTATTATTATCTGCAAACATTATATAATTGTATTATATACAATTGTACATACTTTTTACAGCTGTGAGACTTGTTCTATCCTCACTACCTGTAGTCCCATCAGAATAACTTCTCTAAATGCCTTCCAATTCTGCTAGATTGCCCCTGGAATTAAGAGTTACCAGTCCTATACAGACAATCCTCGGTTAACAACAGCGTGGAATTTTTGTCGCTAAGTGATGTGGTCATAAAGCATGATGCCATATAACTGCATGTCTTAGCAACAGCAATTCCAGCACTTCCGGTTGCCATCCTTAACTGAATCTTGCACCATGGTTAAGAGCAATTTCATGTGGTCACCACTGGCGATTTCCTGCTGGTTTCCCCATTGATTTTGCTTGTTGGATGCTGCAGTGAAGGTCGCATAGGGCAATCACGTGATCGCAGGATGTTACATTGTCATAATTGTAAGTTAGTTCCAGAGGGGTTTCAGCAGGTTCTGACCAGTTCTGGAGAACCAGTAGTGGACATTTTGAGTAGTTCAGAGAACCGGTAAATACAACCTCTGACTGGCCCCACCCCCATCTATTCTCTGCCTCCCGAGTCCAAGCTGATCGGGAGGAAATGGGGATTTTGCAGTATTCTTCCCCTGGAATGGGGAGGGAATGGAGATTTTATAGTTCCCCTGCCATGCCCACCAAGCCATGCCCATCAAGCTATGCCCACAGAACCAGTAGTAAAAAATTTTGAATCCCACCACTGCTGCAACTTCATCCTGGAACACATACAATACACTACCCTTCGCAATATGGTATTGTTTTTAAACTTACGCTCCACTTTTCTTTGCCGCTGAAAGGACATAGGAGCGTTCCCTGCCAGCCGTTCGCCTCAGGACACTACTAGCGGCTTCTGTCCTACAAAACAAGGGACAAAAAAGAAGATAACACTCTGGCTCATAAAAACCCCGGGTTTTATTCTGGCATCATCCCTAAGTAAGAAGTTCCTCCTCTTTTCCATGACCTGCGAGCTTTTTACTTGCAGGTCATTTTTTCAAATGAAAGACTGTTCCATCCACTTGCTCTTCAACCAGACTGAGAATATTTATTTGATTATACATGTAGTAACAGCTGCAAGGATTGTTTTTGCACTAAATTGCAAAAGAAAATACCTTTAGAAGGAGAAGTTTTAGACTGTGCAGAAATGAATAAATTAGCTTTGATGATTAAAGAAAGAGAGGATTCAGAATACTTTAAGATATGGGATCAATTTTATCATTGGTTAGAAAAGAGATATAGATAAGCAAATCAATAGTTATGTAAAAAAATGGTATAATTAGAATATTGTACTTTTGGAGATACAGTATGTTGTAATAGATTGGGTGATAATGAAGACAGAAGAAACAACAAAAAGATGAAGTCATGGAGAAAACACCGAGATGTCGCATGGAAGGAATGACTGATGTATTAAATGTTTTGTTTGTGTATAAAATAAAAAAACTTTTTCAAAAAAACCAACAAACCAGACTGAGAATAAAGGTAAAGATAAAGGTTCCCTTTGCATATATGTGCTGGTCGTTCTCAACTCTAGGGGATGGTGTTCATCTCCGTTTCAAAGCCGAAGAGCCAGCGCTGTCCAAAGACATCATATGGCCAGCATGACTCAATGCCAAAGGCGCATGGAACACTGTTACCTTCCCACCAAAGGTGGTCCCTATTTTTCTACTTGCTGTTACGTGGCACTAGGGATTCGAACCACTGACCTGCCGACCTTTCGATCGACAAGCTCAGCGTCTTAGCCACTGAGCCACCACGTCCCTAGAATAGACTGAATAGAATAGACTGAGAATAAGGCAACGCCAAAGATTGGCGTTTAAATCCCTTGAGAACAACAGGATCTGTTCAATAGAATGTTCAATGGGTTGTTGATTAACTTAATCTCACCCTAGATTGAATTTCAGCTGATTTAAGCAATCCATCCAGATTCCTGCTAAAAGCGTCTGAAAAATTAGAAATAAAATGGTCATCCCCCACTCACTTTTGCTCTAGCTCCTCTAGTTACTCAGCTCTACCCCCAAGGGGTACCCAAAAGATTATCTGAAGTTTAATACATATCTTCATTCACACGTCATTAAGTTCATACTATAAAGCTCTCAAACTTTCCAGACTGAATTTTGCTTGTCTTTAACCTAACTTTCACATAATGGACAACTTGTGAAGGAAATGGCAGGGAAGGAAGGAAGGAACGGTTGAAGATCGTAACTCAACAGGAGGGAAGGCATCTGCTTTTGCATGTAATAAAAAGACACCAAAAATGGAATCTCCAGATGGACTGGTGGACAATTCCTTGCATGATAGCATAGCATAGCATAGCATAGCATAGCATAGCATAGCATAGCATAGCATAGCAAAGTTGGAAGGAACCTTGGAAGTCTTTTAATCCAACTCCCTGCCCAGGCAGGAAACCCTACACCACTTCAGACAAATGGTTATCCAACATCTTCTTAAAAATTTCCAGTGTTGGAGCATTCACAACTTCTGGAGGCAAGTTGTTTGACTGATTAATTGTTTTAACTGTCAGTTAGTCAGTTAAACTAATTTCTCCTTAGTTTTAAGTTGCTTCTCTCCTTGATTAGTTTCCACCCATTGCTTCTTGTCCTGCCCTCAGGGGCTTTGGAGAATAGCTTGACTCCCTCTTCTTTGTGGCAGCCCCTGAGATATTGGAACACTGCTATCATGTCTTCCCTAGTCCTTCTTTTCATTAAACTAGACATACCCAGTTCCTGCAACCGTTCTTTATATGTTTTAGCCTCCAGTCCTCTAATCATCTTTGTTGCTCTTCTCTGCACTCTTTCTAGAGTCTCCACATCTTTTTTTACATGTTGACAGTACTAAATTAGTTGGACCAAGGATATGATTCCTTAGGAAGCAGCTTCCTCCGTTTCCAGCTGTGGAACTTCTGGATCCATTTACTCTTAGATTAAAAAAAGAGGGCTCTACACCTCATTCAGAATCACTACATCCTTGACTTTGATATAGATGACGTTCAGTGGTGGGATTCAGCCGGTTCGTACCACTTCGGGAGAACCGGTTGTTAACTTTCTGACCAGTTTGGTGAACTGGTTGTTGGAAGAAAACATTAGGGCAGAGAACCGGTTGTTAAATTATTTGAATCCCACCACTGATGACATTGATGATGTTACCTAGTTTGGTAATGAAACTTCTGCAAGAAAACCACCAAGATAAGAGAATCCAAAGATCCCACAGTCCTCCTCCTCCTCCTCCTCCTCCTCCTCCTCCTCCTCCTCCTCCTCCTCCTCCTCCTCTCTACAAACCCAATTTCTTTCTAACATTGATGATGTTCCCAGCTGGGTAAAGAAATGTCTGCAAGAAAACCATCAAGCTCAGCTGCCAGGTTACTAGTGGCACAGTATTGGAAGAAGGAAGATCCACCTACTATTGAGGAATGGACATTAAAAGTTGTGCATCTGGCTGAGAAGGCAAAAATTTCATCATATCTTAAAGACCATTCAAAGGAAAGATACATATCGGAATGGAGAAGATGGATTGACTATATTCAAAACAAGTATCAGACTAAGAAGATTCATATAGTTTATGAGTGAAATATTTTTAATTTTTAGCTTATGTTTATAGTGTTTTGAGTCATAAGGAGTTAAAGACGTAGAAAGAATTTGAAGTCAACAATTTGTTAGCATATTTTAGTTTTATGTTTGTGAGCGCTATACCCTGTGCTTGTTCTGGGAAGTCAGGGAGGGGGGTGGGGGGATGGGTGGGAGGGCAAGGGGGGAGGGATGGGGTGAGGGGGGAAGGGTGGGGGGGGAGAAAATGTTTGTATTTCCTATAAAACTTTTCAATAAAAAAAAAAAAGAAAACCATCAAGCTCAGAGCCTGGGGCTTAGAGGTTAATGCATCTACCTAATATGCAAGTAGTCCAGTTTCGAATCCCAGAAAAGGTATGGCTAGCTGACAAGAGCTAAATAGCTTGAAACAGATCTATACTAGTCTCCCTTTATTTTTTTGTCGTTAAAATATAAATTCAACACAAAAATAGTTTGTCGCAAAAGCAACTGCCTGCGAAGCCTCTTGGATTGGGGCTGAAAGGCAAAAGCAGAAGTAGTCCAATAATTGGGTAAACCAGGTTGCCCTGATAGACCACTCTCACCATCAAAACCCATCAAGCTCAGAGAATACCAAGGGCCCCAGGATCCAGACTTTATCAAAGTACCTCTTTTTCTGCTCCTCTGGAGAAACAGAGGGTTGTCCATCTCCTGGGTGTGACAGTTCACGCTTAATATTGTAGGGAGCTCTGAAGCACAGATAAAAGAGAAAGTAGGAGGTGAGATTTTTCCCCCCCACAATTACCCACAAAGAAACACTAATCCTCAGTTAGAGGTTGAAGGATCTCTTATCTGTGCTTCCAGTTGTCCCAGCCTCTGACCCTACTACCTCTTTCCTTTGAGATACTCACAGTTTTTTGTAATCTTCAGTGGACATCTTGGGCCCTTGGGAGGAAGGGGAGGTCTGGTTTGGGATCCTGACACTGGGGGAAAAAAGGAGGGGTACATCAAGAGATTCAATAAAGAGAGGGGCTGCTGACTGACAGAGACTCGTGCACCTCAAAATTAATGGGGAAAGCAGAGAGGCTGTTTCAAGATCAGCCATGGAGTGTTTTAATGTCATTGTTGTCAATAAGCATATTTCATTTTAAAAGATTTCCCTTTGATGTACGGAAACACGGGGTAGAAGGGCACATAGACAGGGTTGGGCTGCCGAGGGTTCGCAAGGGTTCGGGAGAACCTCTAGCTAAGATTCTGTGCAGTTCGGAGAATCCCCATATCCCACTCCTGGCTGGCCCCGCCCACCCCGCCCCTCCCAGGAGTCCCCACACGGCCCATTTTGGATGCAGAACAGTGCAGGGCGCGAGTGGAAGCTCGGGGAGAAGGGGGGAAAACAGACCTACCAGAAGTTCGGGAAGGTCTGTTTCCGGCCTCCAGAGGGCCTCCGGAATCTGGGGAGGGCGTTTTCACCCTCCTGGAGGCTTGAGGAAAGCCTCTAGAGCCTGGGGAGGGCAAAATGCTCACCCTCACCGTGGCACAGGAGGCCGACTAGGCCATGTCCACCATGGCCACGCCCACCCAGAAACTGGGCAGAGAACCCCTTGCTAAAATTTTTGAAGCCCCACCCCTGCACCTAGCTAACAAGTTACGGTACTTTCCTGTTGGAAAAGATTCCAAAATTCACATGGCACCCAACCTATAAGGATTTCAAAAGTCTCTGAAAATGCGGCTTTGCTTCCACAAAGAGTAGTTTTCTTTTGGGATATTGTGAGAAATTTTGTCTGGGTATATACAGTATATCTTTTCTTTTTCAATCCTTTTTAATCACTCTCTCGCACACACTCTCTTTTTTTCCTTTTAAGTATGTACACTGCCCCAGAGTCATTTGGAAAAGCAGGCAGCTTCCCAAATCTAATGAAATACATAAATAACAAAACAAGATTTTCGACCGTGGCATCACAATGAAACGGATTTTAATGTTCATTAATAAAGGAAACAAATTAAATGCATCCTGTTTGTTTATTCATGAGGATTTTTAGAATGCGCCATTCTAACCTGCTCTAGATGTTCTACATAATAAAAAGCCAGAGCAGTAAAATAAGGAACCAAATACGAGAAGTCCATTATCCAAAAATACACAAAACACAATACAATCTTACAAGGCAACATCTTAGAGGGGATTTTGTCCTGCTTCAAGGCCTATGTAAGAGATATTCTGAGATATTCTATGATAAGTAGAATATCTCAGTCCCTCTTAGTACCAAGTTAACAAAGTTGAAGTTTGACTCTTAGACCAACCTTTTCTGAGTCCCATTGGATGTTGCCTTGGACGGAGATGACTTATCAATGGTCTTGGTGAAAACTCCCCTAGAAGAAAGAGAGAAATCCAGAAAATTCCTGGGTCAAATTTCATCAGGTGAATAAACTGGAAGTTAGAGCAAAGCTTTGCAACCTGGAATAGTGCTGGTCAGTGCCCTCTTACAGAACACTCCATTGCATTCCCTCATCCTACTTAAGTTTAGGTGGATAGTTTTGATATTCTGCTAGGATTTTAAAACCATTCAGCTGACTTCTTCTGTATCGACCCTGCCCTCTGTTCTGTGTTATTGAGGCCCCAGAAGCATCAGCACTCACAGCAGGAATTCCAAATACTGAAAGAAATGAACTATTCCCTCTTTTCTATTTCAATTTAGAACATAGAATAGGGTTGGAAGGGACCTTGGAGAACCTCTAGTCCAACTCCTTGCTCAAGCAAGAGACCCTAGACCAGAGGTCTCCAACCTTGGCAACTTTAAGACTTATGGACTTCAACTCCCAGAATTCCTCAGTCAATTCTAGAAGTTGAAGTCCACAAGTCTTAAAGTTGCCAAGGTTGGAGACCCCTGCCCTAGACTATTCTGAACAAATGGCTGTCGAGTCTCTTCTTGAAAATCTCCAGTGATAGAGCACCCACAACTTCTGGAGTTAACATCGCCTTCAGAAGTTGGAGGTGCCCCCATCACTGGAGGCTTTTAAGAAGAGACTAGACAGCCATTTGTCTGAAATGGTATAGGGTTTTGTACTCGAGCATGGGGTTGGAGTAGAAGACTTCCAAGGTCCATTCTAATAGTCTATGTTTTATGTTCTAAACCATTCCACTGAATAATTGTTCTCATTCTCAGGAAATTTCTCCTTAGCTGTAGGTTGGATCTCTCTTTAATGATCTTCCACCCATTGCTTCTTGTCCTGCCCTCTGGTGCTTTGGAGATTAGGTTGACCCCCTCTTCTCTGTATCAGCTCCTCAAGTACCTTACCATATCACCCCTAGTCATCCCAAAGGTGCTTTTTCAGAAGGCAACTTGACTTTCTGGCTTTTCTTTGAAGATGTTCCCCTTCTCATCCAAGAAGCTTCTTCAGCTCTGAAGTCTTCAAAGAAAAAAACAGAAAGTCCAGGTGTTTCTTGGAAAAAAAAAACACCTTTGACACAACCATGACCTGGATGACTGAGAATCTTCCTAGACAATCACCCCTAGTCCTTCTCTTTGTTGGACTAGACACATCTAATTCTCTCAATTGCTCTCTCTATGATTTACATTCCAGACTTCTTTATCAACCTTGCTGTTCTTCTCTACACTCTTTCTAGGATCTAACATCTTGTTTGTATCCTGGTGACCAGAACTGGATGCAGTATTCCAAGCATGGACTCAACAGTATAAACAGTATAAAGTGGTACTATCACTTCACGTAAACTTGAAACTCTCCTTCTGTTGATGCAACTGAGCACTGCAATTTCTTATGACTCACCTGATGAGATACCCAGAAGATGATGTGGCAGTAGAAGAACTAGATGGAAGAAAGAGACAATCAGATGTGACTTTCTCAACAACTGAAGCTAATCCAACCTTCCCCAGTTATACAAGTGTTGTTGGTGCTATCAGCATTTTCTTCTGAGCTCAAAATTCAAGGGATTAATCTTTGTGGAAGTGTCTTCATTTTTTAGGGGACGCGGTGGCTCAGTGGCTACAACGCTGAGCTTGTCGATCGAAAGGTTGGCAGTTCAGCAGTTCGAATCCCTAGTGCTGCATAACGGGGTGAGCTCTTGTTACTTGCCCCAGCTTCTGCCAATCTAGCAGTTTGAAAGCACATAAAAAATGCAAATAGAAAAATAGGGACCACCTTATGGGAAGGTAACAGTGTTCCGTGTGCCTTTGGCATGGAGTCATGCCGGCCACATGACCATGGAGATGTCTTCGGACAGCGCTGGCTCTTCGGCTTTGAAACGGAGATGAGCACCGCCCCCTAGAGTCGGGAACGACTAGCACATATGTGCGAGGGGAACCTTTATATTTACTTTTACTTCTTCTTTTTTAAAAAAAAAAAAAATGGGTATAATACCACAATTAAAATATAACAAAAAAGCATCACACTCACTTTGGGGAAAGATTTTTATGTGCTGAAGGAGACTCTTGTTCTCTGTGGGAAGATGGTGCTGTACAAGGTACCCTGAAAGAAGACAGAGATTGTCAAAATAAGGACATTAATGTTCTAGTTGGATAAGGCAGGACAAAACACCTCAAATTAACATTGAGTTCTGAAAGAGATGACTTGTACATGAAAGTATTCACAGTTTGGTCTAGTGGTGAAGGCATCTGGCTTGAAACCAGGACTCTGGGAGTTCTAGTTCCGCCTTAGGCATGAAGACTGGCAGGTGAATTGGGGCCAGTCCTTCTCTTTCTCAACCTACCCACCTCATAGGATCGTTGCTGGAGGGAAAATAGGAGCAGGCACATTATGGACTCTAACCTGAGTTGAACAGATAAATGTGGGCTATAAATCTATTAACAAAGTTAGAGTGGGAAAGACAGACCAGGCAAACGGAATGCTAGTTCTTAAGATGCCATCTGCATTGAAGCATTCTCTCACTGAGGCAAACTCCCCATCCTTGTTGAAGGATTTTTTTTTCTGGCCTGTTTGGAAGGAGATAATGGTGGAGTAATCCAGAACATCTGGAGAAGGTTGGAAGAGAGTCACTGCCTTAGGGCAAGGATGCAGCATTTAATATTAGGGTAATAATAGAACTATGCACAAGTGGACTCATAGTGATGGAGGTGCCCTTTACACATGATATGGGAAATGTTAGATATAATTCTATAGGAGGGATGGACACTCCATGCCTGGATAACCCTTGCAGAGATCACTTGGAGCGTTCTGTTGGAGTTTGATGGCAGATGGTGGTGGTGGTGGTGGTGGTGGAGGAGGAGGAGGAGGAGGAGGAGGAGGAGGAGGAGGAGGAGGACGAGGAGGAGGAAGAGAAAGAAGAGAAAGAAGAGGAATATGATAAGGTTTGCAAAAGTTGCAATACCTGCTGGTTGATCTCTTAAGAATGTTCTCTAGGACCCAAGACAATATGTTTACATAGATATGGACCTCAACAGAATAGATGGATATCCAACTAAGCAACAGGTGCGTGAATAGCTCAGCTAGTGCTAGGCTGAAAAGGCCTTTCAAAGGAGCCCAGAATTGTACACCAGACCGGAAAACTAAAAAACCATTGTGGGAGACATCTGTGAGAAAGGTTTTTTTCCAGCATCCTGTTGTCAAGAAACCCACAAAAGTATGAGTTACAGGGTAGAGCTTGATCTGAAGAAAAGCTTAGCTGTGTTCAACTTAATAGAAAAGGCCTTGAAAATTAAGCTTTCAAAGGAAGAATTTAATTTTGCACCACCAAGTTTTTCGTAGGTAGGCTGTGTGATGATACATGACTGCCCTGCCTCTTGATATTTCATCATCTCCTCTGCAGATTGCAGATAGCAAACAAATTGCACATAAAAAGGTGGCATGTCCTCCCATGCACAGTTTACGGCTGCAGAAGCTTGCCTCATTCTGCCTCCTTCATTTTAAGACACCTCTCTTAAAGAGGTTTAATCCCTATATTATCACCCTCTCACTTCTCAATTTGGACCTGTGTGGACTATTGCGGCAAGTACTATTCCCACATGACCAGTGTGTGAGAGGTGGATGCTGATTGAGTGATGTTCTTTGAGCTCTCCTCTAAGGACAGGAAGACAGTGTGGAAGTGTCTTCTGAGGTAAAAAGGTAAAAAGAAGCCATTTTTTTCCCCAAGGGAAGGAATCGTTGAGGAAACTGGAGCAAATTTTAGGATAGAGTTGCTTCATACTCACAAAGGACGGTGGTTCTGCTTCTCCTCAGAATCAGACCTGTGATGGATCCAACTCTTGTCCCCTTTCAGAGTTGTCCTTACTTTCATTTGGGTAATAATCCGTTTCCGGTCTTCCTCGCTGGGTAGGATGACACCATCTTTAAAAAATGGATCAAGAAGAAGTTGGAAGCCCCCAAGAACAGAGAGTCTAATAAGTATCAGATGAACTTAGAGAGCTTGGACTACAAACTTGTCTTGAGGACCTTCTCATTCTGGTTTTGAGCTGATTATTCAGGAGGAGAAGTGGCTTTAAAGATCTCAAGGTTGTTTTTGGAAAAAGAGGGAACGTCACTGGGGTAAGTGCTGGACTCATATTCATCAACAATCTCAGAAGGTCTCAACAAATAAACACAATTTGAATACATTACAATTGTTAACTGAGAAAGGGCCCTTAATCTGTCTCAGGTGTAATTTGTAGCTGCGCAACCATTTAAATCCAACATAATTTAAATCCTTAATTGTTCAACGTATCTGATGCCATCAGCTGTAGCTCATAAGAGTTTATGACTTTTAATAAAACGTGTTAATCTTAAAAAGCGTTACCAGACTGCTCCTGACTCATCTCTATTTGTTTTGTCTGATTTCTGGATTTTTAAACAAGTAATCAAGTTGTGTTGTCATTTATAATTAACCCCGTAGCATAACTCCAAGGCATCTCAGTACTTCTGGTTTAAAGGAAGCACATTATACAAATTTGGGATTAAGCATCCCATAATGTTCATTTACCTTTCATGGCGCCAAGAGACAACATGATTCACACTGGCTCCCTCACTGTGCAGTTTCCAGGGTTTGACACAAAAATGGAACTAGGACAGAAGAAATGAAAACCAGATTATTCCTGTAAAACGCAGCAGAAGGCAAACAGATGCTCCTCAGCCTTCCCTTGATGTTCCAAGAAAGCCATACTCACAACACATACCTGTTATGGAAACTAGGATCTCTGTAGGTTAGGGGGGAAAGTCAAGATGGTCTCTACCCTCAAAATGATGCTATAGGGCCCTGCACATCAGAACAACTAGATACAAGGACAGTTTTTCCCCCATGCCATCACTATGTAACCAAATAATTCCCACAACACTGTCAAACTATTTACTAAGACTGTATTACTATTATTCCTCTCATCTTTCCTATTAACTATTTCTTTTTCTACCTTTGTGGCTTGTATCTTTACAATTTATGTTGTTTTATTTAGTTTCCTAGTACAATTTATGTTGATTGCTTATTTAGTATCCTATAACTATCACTGTTGCATCTTATGATTTATGATGTCTTTTTATGATGATTATGATCATGATTTATCACTTTTATGTATACTAAGAGCTTATGCACCAAAGACAGATTCCTGTCCAATCACACTTGGCCAATAAAGAATTCTATTCTATTCTATTCTATTCTATTCTATTCTATTCTATTCTATCTATTCTATTCTATTCTATTCTATTCTATTCTATTTTCTATTCCCATTCTCTCTTCTCTTCTCTTCTCTTCTCTTCTCTTCTCTATTCTATTCTATTCTATTCTATTCTATTCTATTCTATTCTATTCTATTCTATTCTATTCTATTCGATATTCCCATTCTCTCTTCTCTTCTCTTCTCTTCTCTTCTCTATTCTATTCCTATTCTATTCTATTCTATTCTATTCTATTCTATTCTATTCTATTCTATTCTATTCCGGGTTCATTTTACTTAGACTGAGAGAACATGCAGAAGTCACCAATGAAGTTCAGAGCTAAATTGTGCTGAGATTTGAACACAGCTCTTTGCAATCTTTAGCCTGCCATTCGCAGCCAAGATGGGCAACATTTGTTAATGGAAGCCAAACATTTGGTGGGCAAATATGAGAAAGGGGGATACCAAGATTAGCCCTGGAGCAGAGCAATTACACAATGCTTTTTATGAAGGAGCTAAGATTTGCAAGAGGGATTGGTGTTTTCTGGGTGGCTTGTGGATTTCGACTTTTGATTCTCTTGGGTTTTTTTGAAGTGTGCTGAGTCCATAACAGACCTTGTTGTCTTCTCTATCCTCCATCCCCACCCAGAATCAATCTGCTGAAATGTTGCATTTCTGGTTTGCATGCATTCTTGCATATTTGCCATCACAGACCGGTCTGTAGTGGTGAGGTGCTCCTGAATTCCAGTAAGTGTGGTTTCAGGAGCTGTAGACTCCCAAAGAAAAATGGTCCAAGATCCCGCATGGTCCATAAGTCATTCTTCAGTGCTGGAGTGCTAATCTTGCAGGCTTTGCCTCCAACTCTCACTGACTAGGAGCCCTGGTGGCACAATAGTTACAATGCAGTATTGCAGGCTAATTCTGTCCACAGTCTGGAGTTCAATCCTGACCGGCTCAAGGATGACTCAGCCTTCCATCCTTCTGAGGTCAGTAAAATGAGGACTTAGATTGTTGGGGGCAATATGCTGATCTTGTATACTGCTCAGAGAGTGCAGTAAAACACTATGGGGTGATATATACAGTAAGTCTAAATGCTATTACTATTGCGACTAGCAAGATATGAATAGAATAGAATAGAATAGAATAGAATAGAATAGAATAGAATAGAATAGAATAGAATAGAATAGAATAGAATAGAATAGAATAACTTGGAAGGGACCTTGGAGGTCTTCTAGCCCAACCCCCTGCTCAGGCAGGAAACCCTATACCATTTCAGACAAATGGTTGTCCAGTCTCTTCTTAAAATCGTCCAGTGTTGAACATTCACAACTTCTGGAGGCAAGTTGTTCCACTGGTTAATTGTTCTAACTGTCAGGACATTTCTTCTAGGTTGCATCTCTCCTTGATTAGTTTCCACCCATTGCTTCTTGTCCTGCCCTCTGGTGCTTTGGAGAATAGCTTGACTCCCTCTTCTTTGGGGCAACTCCTGAGATATTGGAACACTGCTATCATGTCTCCCCTGGTCCTTCTCTTCATTCAACTAACATACCCAGTTCCTGCAACCGTTCTTCATATGTTTTAGCCTCTTGTCCCCTAATCCTCTTTCTTGCTCTTCTCTGCACTCTTTCTAGAGTCTCAACATCTTTTTCACATCGTGGCAACCAAAACTGAATGCAGGATTCCAAGTGTGGCCTTACCAAGGCATTATAAAGTGGTATTCACACTTCCAGTGATCTTCATTCTATTTCTCTGTTAATTCAGTCTAGGCTGTGTTGGCTTTTTGGCTGCTGCAACAGACGGCTGTCTCATATTGAAGTGATTGTCCACTAGGACTCCAAGATCCCTCTCACAGTTACTACTATTGAGCGAGTACCACCTTTACTGTACCCGTGCATTCGATATGGAAGGAGGAAACTGTCACTAAAGAGCTGGGTTGAGATTTGCAGCGTGATTCATACTTGGAAAAGCTGAGCATTGGCAAGAATTGCTTGTTGTTGCCCAAAGCCATAGCTGAAGCAAACTGCCGACATGCCCAGCTTTGTATAAATCTGCCAAGCCAGAAATTCAAGTGCAGCCTGAATGTTTGGGATGAGCTTTTTCCAAGTTCAAATGAGAGGCGGGTGGAGACAGTTGAGAGCCGTGGAGGAAAAAACATGACTCTTCGGTGTCCCAATGAGAGTGTTCTGACTCTAGATGTACAGTTGGATACAGGGAAGGTTGCTCATGGATGCATCGCATTATGGAGCAGAGAACACCTCTGATTAACAGCGACAAAAATGTTCTCATGTAAGAATGTGTGACATTCTGTTTGGATTCACATGTCGTGCTAAACCGCAGCACGATAAGATTATGTTTGATGGAATTGGAGAGCCAACTCAGTTGTGAGTGATAACCCACCATTTATGGCTTACAAATCCAACCAACTGTGGTTTGTTGTTCAAAGAAGCCACAACTTAATGCGGTGTGAATCCATCGCTATGTTCCACTTCTTATGATTCTAAATGCCCTTTTCATGTTTACCTAACTAAACATGTGTCATTTATTAATATTCACCCACTTAGGGTTTTTATTTTCTCCTCTATGTATTCCTGCATACCTAAGTATTCCAAATTATTGGGAGGGAAGGTAGGGAAGAGAAGGGAGGGGAGGGAGGGGTGGAAGAAGGGGAAGGAAAGAAGGAAGGAAGAAGAAGGAAAGGAGAAGGAAGGAAGGAAGGAACCTAGGAAGGAAGGAAGAAAAAGAAATAAAGGAAAGAAGGAACCTAGGAAGGAAGGAAGGAAGGAAGGAAGAAGGAAGGAAGGAAGGAAGGAAGGAAGGAAGGAAGAAACCTAGGAAGGAAGGAATGAACCTAGAAGGAAGGAAGGAAGGAATCTGGAACTGGACAATCCTGTTCAGTGTTTTGGAAGAATAAAATAATAGACATGGACGCTATTGTTGGCCTGACAACAGGAAAAAGGAATGAGAATGACCATGCTGGAAAGCAACATGTCTACTTAATTTCTCTTACACTGAACGGTCAATTCTCTCTCTCTCTCTCTCTCTCTCTCTCTCTCTCTCTCCTCTCTCTCTCTCTCTCTCTCTCTCTCTCTCTCTCTCTCTCTCTCTCTCTCTCTCTCTCTCTCTCTCTGATCCTCTCATCTCTCTCTCTCTCCCTCTCTCTCTCTCTTCTCTCTCTCTCTCTCTCTCTCTCTCTCTCTCTCTCTCTCTCTCTCTCTCTCTCTCTCTCTCTCTCTCTCTGCATGGCTACAATCTTCCATGGACCTACAGAGGAAGGTAGGACAACCTGTTCTCATCTTGCTTTGATTATTGTAGCATCGGACCTACTGAAGATGATCCCAGCAGAGAAATAAAGAACGGATCCGTTCTTTAATGGGAATGTAATGGGATGTTCAAATGAGATAATATGGGAAAGGGGAGGGAAGTAAAGTCATCCCTGTGTGCAAACTTCTGGAAGAGAAGGCATGGGGTTGGAGACCAATGAACAGACAACCAACCCTAAGAGAAAAAGGCAGTTGTTGGTAGACTGGACCACACTGGACCACGGATGGGAAGTGCAAGGAGCAGAGGAACAACCAATCAAATCTCACTGTGGCTGTAATCCAGACAGAGCCTCACCCAGATCTCCTGCCCTCTCCCTGCAACCCGGAGTGGACTTTCTGAAGTTGGCTTAAGAAACAGCTGGAAGCCCCATGGAAGACAAGCAGCTTTGGGCCCAGCACAGAGTTACTCTTAGGGGCCTTCCTGTTCTGGCCTAGGCTTCCCAAAAGCACGAAGCTGACTCCTCGTCCCGATAAAACCCCTTTTATTTAGTTTAAAGGGAATTCCTCTCCTGCAAAGTCCCGGCCAACAGTCTTTCAAGAGATTTCGCAACTACAGATCTTTATCAGGCTTGGAGAGCTGCCAGGTCGATATCTTCCAAATGCCAGGCTATAGCAGCAATTACTTGGCAAGAAGTCAGGAACAGATCTTCACCCTCATGAATTGAATTAATTGTCTCTTGCAAACTCCCCTCCCCTTTCGCTCCTCTTTATTCCCTATGGGAAGGGCCATTCACCGTCCACCTATGGCTTTACTCCTGAGTCGACCTTTGTTCCTTAGCTGTTCCCTTCTCCTGGCAGCTCTCTGCATGCGCACACTGGGAACAGGCTCCAGCTGTTCTTCTGCCCCAATGATGTCCGACTCTAAAGGCAGCTTACAACTGTCAGACGGCCCTGGCCCCATCTCTGCCACCGATGCAGAGCCCTCATCAGAGCCTTCCCCAGACTTCAGAACTGGCCCATGTTCCTCCCCAACCTCCTCACTGTCTTGAGTCTGCCACCATCTCCGCTGGCTACTGGCGGGCCACAACACTTCCAAACACCACTCTTCCTGGAGAACTTTTTGAAGGGTGTGCCCAGACAAGCTTCATTTTTTGGC